TGATAACTTCACGTTATGCGGGGTTACTGAAACAGAAGCAAATTATGTAATATTATATACATGTGTGACATCATTCATTAATACTGTATTAATATGTAAATTGAAATACTCTTATATTTTTTATAACTTCAATTTAATGTCATTTTTTCAGTTTAGGCAGTAGGCAATATGCTGTAGGTACTTACATATAAACACGGTAGAATTGTTTCTGATAGGTACCTAATATAATATTTATACAATACTAGTAGGTGTCAGCTACTTCATCTGCTAAAAAGTAATTGGTTTGCCAAAACAACTCCCACTTTTTTACCCCCCTCCAGGATGATTTCTGTGATAAAAACTATCCTATGCCCTTTCCCAGGACTCAAACGATCTCTAAACCAAATTTGGTTTAGTGGTTGGCTTGAAGGGGTAGCTGACAGACAGACACACTTCCGTATTTATAATATTAGCATGGATAAAAATTCAACAAGTACCGTTACATTCAGCGAAATAGGAATGGGATATCCGCTATTAAAACAGCTCGCTCATATCACAGAATAAATAGTAGTCGTTCTTATTTAGTATATTAAGTATAGCAGTATAGTTCCGTGCTTGCCCCCTTACCCAAACCCCAATGATAGCGTGACGTCTACTCTCTACTATAGTCTATACTGAATGTGTCAATAAGGTGACGGAGGGTAATTTTCTTTTGGGGAGATTCCTATCACAGTTAATGGAAGATGTTATAGAAGACCTAAAAAATATAGGAAATGCAGGGTTCAAGCGTTTTTCATGAAAATAATAACTGTTGTAGAAGGATGACAAAAAGTCATTGCCACCTGTGCCACAATAGAGTGAAGCTATAATACTAAAACCTCATAATTATACCTTCTTCCAGTACAATATTAAAATTTGTTAGTTCATCGTGGTCGTAGAGTCGATTTTCGCTCTTTCTTTTATTATAATAGAGGCTAGTATGGTGAAGTTTAATGGCTGCTATACCCATGGTGTATCGACGACGCCATGTCTGCCTGCCAGGGTCATTGCCCTCGCCTCCTTGCCCAGTCGATATGACGTTTCATGTACACGTAAGAAATGATGGTGACAGTAATAGTTTGAGCAAATGTTAATTTTACTGTTTTTAATATTCATACTGCACTAGCAAACCCGGCGAACTCCGTTTCGCCACCAGATGGCTTCGTTTTATGTAACATTTCGTTTGGTGATTAAAAGAACTTTTTTTTTTTTAATTTTTCCTGAATTTTCTTTGCTATAAACCTCACGGAGCCCGAGGCCTTTCCAACGAATGCAAAACCGTGGAAATCGGTTCGTGCGTTCTGGAGTTATAGCGTCAGGAAGGAAAACCCGACTTATTTTTATATAGTAGATTGGAGAGATTTTAAGAGAGGTATGGCAAAGAAATTTTCTGCTCGAATTGGAGTGCCCGTCTGGGGAAATAATAAATAAATATTTCCAACACTCACACCAATTAGCCTAGCCCCAAAGTAAGCACTGCTAATGCTTGTGTTATGTGATACTAGGCAATCTACCCTAGTATCCCATAACACAAGCCTTAGTGCTTGCTTGTAGATAGAATACATATATTGTACATATATACAAATACTACTCCAGTACAAATGCTCGTATTCATCACACAAACATCTGCCCCCAACGGGATTCGAACCCGGGACCTATCGAGTCGGCGACACCATGAAACCCGGCGTATAAACCATTCGGCCACGGAGGTCGTCAAACCTTCATCTATAATAATAACCTCCACCTTACAGAAAACCACAGTTAAATAACACAACCTTCCCGTTTGTGTTGTGTTTTTGTCGGTAAGTAAGGTTCCAGGGCTCCACGGGGTAGGGGAATGGGTCAGGGTAGGCAAGGGCGCGAGTGATGTTGCTTGTATCACAAGCGTCTATAGGCTATGGTGGCCGCTTATCATCAGGCGGGCCAAATTCGTTGATTGCCACCACCCTTTTAACATAAAAAAACCTTGTGGCTTGGCAGAGCATCAAAGACGCAGCAGCTTGAGACAAACTTGAAATAAGAAATCTTGGCTTTTTTATCAAAAACATCAACATCAACAGCTACGCTACATTAAGTATTTAGTGCGTAGGTATGACGTTAAACTCCTTTCCGGGCTACATAGAAATAATAGAGAATCTCTTAACAATGCAATGTTCTAAAAATAGTCAACACTTCTTCATGATTCAATACGGAATCGGTTGACCTTCATAGTTCGCAAATATTGTTTGTTTAACCGTTGAATGATTCAGAATCGAAACCGGTTATTATGTAATCGAAATGTTTTATTAACAATTAATGTTTTTATTTATGCAAATACCTAAGACGTTTCATGAGTAATCTGCCTAGAGAGAATTTCATAAATAGCTCGGAAACTATTTAATTCCCTTACGCACCAATATCGCATTCGATCTTGATCTCTTCATATATATATCAATCATCTAATGTCCAGATGTTTAAATCTAAAGAAAATGTTAACTATAATAAACCCACGCGGGCCAGGCAGCAGACAGGACTCGAACCCGCATCCTCCAGTTTTGTATAGATATTTTGCAGATAAGAGCAACAGACGGAATGAGAATTAAAAATCTTCCATACAAAACTTCTTGATTATTGACGCGTATCGAGTTCGTATTCAAGTATTTAAATTCGATATTTGGCTTGTCACTGTCATGCCCCAATCTCCCTATTCCATCCATTGGGAAGGCCTGTGCCCCAGCAGTGAGGACACTAATAGGCTGATGATGATGAAGGGTACTGTACAGTAAAAACCCGTAAATAGTGAATTATCAGGTTTATGGAAGGAATCTAAACAGTTAATGAAAAATTATAGACACATTTAGAGACCACCGTTACTTTTACATTAAAAAAAATCGGGCAAGTGCTATTCGGGCTCGCGCACTAAGGGTTCCATACCCATTATCTATACAACATTGGACTTTATTATAATATCGATCAAAAACGACAATAAGATGACGTCTGTTGTATGTATGGGAGATTGCAACAAACCGTGAAAGAAAATATAATTTGTTTGTTTTTGTCACCACTTACAAATTACAATAGGCATCGGCGTTGTCAGTATTTGTTGTTAAATATAGCATATGGGACATCATATACCACCAAGACTTCACATTCTTAACTAGAGAACTACACATTTTGTACCAAAAATGGTTTAAAACTGACAACTTTGCCCCCCCCCCCCCTTTTTCTTTGTTATTGAATATATATTTATATCCTACTCAACGAGCTCTTGACAATGATATGTCATATGCTGGGGTAAAAGAGAAAAAAAACAACTCTTTTATGTATGGGTCCGGACACCCCATGAAAAATAATTTAATAGATTTTTTAACTAAATATTCGGCTTTGGGCTAGCATTCTACACAAAATACCAAAATTTCATTTCTGTAACAATGTTTACAATGTAGAGACCCGTAACTAACATACGGGCAAACAGACAGACGACAAAACGATATAAGCCAAACATGGTTAATGAAAAAACTAAAAAAATATTACTTATTATTTCAAAATGGTTGTAAAGCCTTTGCTTTGTATCTAATCAAACTATTTAAGATCAGAGCAATTAAGAGCGTGTGTGTCTATGAAATGTATTAATTGCTGTGTCTTTAGATTTCTCATAAGATAAAATTAACGGTTTTTGCTATAATTATTATCACGGTTCGATGGGCATCGTCTTGTTATTTTAAGCGTATGTTTATCAGTTTTAAAATGACTGTTTGCTGCTATTATAGGTAATTTTGACTGTATTTACCTTGTTGTTTAATGCATTGTGTAACTATAATTACGTGTCTATCATAATACGTTCTATTTAGATGTCACCAATTAAATTTATTCCTCATAGCTCATGTACACTTTATTTAGTTAGTACCATGATCAATGTCATTCATTATCCTGTGAAGCAAATCTCGTTTCAAATAATACATTCGGCTGCCACTAAAAAAATGTTAATAGGCGCTTACTTTTATTAAACTAATAAAAAGGAGAAAGCAATATATTCCTACATTTTGTTGCAGAATCAACAAAGAAAAAATGTATTATAAATTTTCTTAAATGTTTCATTTTGAGTTTTAAAGGAGTGCAAACGCTTTGGGAGTGGCGATAGTCTATCAATGTAATCTTATCAACGAAGCGGCTTGATGTCAGAAATAACAATATGGCATTCATACCGTTTGTAGATATTTTATTGTGAAAGTGAAACTTTATTCATGATTATTGGATACTTAATTTAACGGTGAAATTCAAGGTAACACTTATTGATTTATTTTGTAATGACAACGTTACGCTTCATTGGTATGCACTCATAAGAAAACATTGGAAGGATACAATCTTAGTTCAGCGGTTTATTGTTAATTCGTTGTGTAAGCCAGATGTTAATACCATGTATTCAAACTTGATTCAAGCACAAAATATAAAGTGGGATGCGAGATCGCGACGCTACCATCCCTGTTCTTTTACGGACGAAGGAATTTTTACCCATATATTTTTCAACATTTCATAAGCATATTGAAAAAATATTCTTGATCTGTCCTCTCGCTAACTAAGCCAATAACTTAATGTACTTTCCGGAGCATGAGGACCTCGATGGGAATCATCCGCAATGGCCGGTTATCGAATAAGTGACAAAAAGTGGCTTAGCTTAGCACTATGCCAACGAGTTCTTGTATCGCAAAAACCTGTTCGTATGCCTTAAAACATTCATGTAGGTACCTAGTTTTAGACAGGATTCTCACTGCGGTGCAACAGATTGGATTGCAGTAGTCTCCTTCCTCATCCTCACAGGACACCGCTGAGGGTCCGTGAGCGGCCGGCCCTCTTCTTCGCTGATGTCAGGGTATAAAAAGGCGGCGCTATGCGCACCTCCCTCTTTCCTAGTCAGACTAAAGAGCATTGTTTGCTTTATTTTCCAGCATTGGAAAAAGGTATCCCGTTCTGCTTACTCAAAATCGTTTTGTGTTTGTTTCCAGATCTTGAACGTGGCGTGGTGAGCATCGGGTCGCGATGACGACCGACATCTCGGTGTCCCGGTGGGACCCCTCCATCGGCCACGGCCAGGAAATCATCGAGGAGTTTGAGTACGACGGCGGCAACTCCTCGTCGAGGCTTTTCGAACGATCGCGCATTAAAGCGCTAGCAGGTGATCTTACTTGTCATTAAATCTCATAAATTATTACACTTAAAGATAAGACGAAAGATGAATTCTAAAGCTATCAGCTTATTACGTTATCCTTTCGATAGGATTCTATTTGTGACATACTGACTTACATTTTGGAAAACGTACATTTGATAAAATAAAATATGTCAAAAATTTGATATGAATCATAAGAAAGATATTTCACTAATTGTTAGTCAAATTCTCTTATAAAACAGATTGCACTGTTTGCTAGACTTTACAAATGCAGGTATTTCATAGGCTTTGTTGTTAAGTCAGTGGGTTTCTTTATGTTGATGTCTAATGGCTCTTACATACAGTGTCGGTGGCACTACCGCCGGCTTTACCCCAGAAGACAGTTGCTGGCATGGCCGTCGTCAGGGGGTATGCGGGCGTGCGCGCGTTCTGCTAGGATGTTTAAGTGATGCTCAACAGCTTTGTTCAAGTTTTCCGGCACTTGCCCGGCGGCACTAGAAGTACGGCAATAGCCGGAGTCACGTGTCACTCGGCAATTGCCGGCGGCTAGTGCTTCCGGTACTGTGTGAAGGAGCTATAAGCGCTGTAATTTTTTTTTATATTTCCAACACGCACACCAATTAGCCTAGCCTTTCAGGCTAAGTAAGCGCTGTAAGGCTTGTATTATGGGATACTAGGATAACGGGTAATATACATATACAGTACATATATAAGTATATTTATATAGAAATACATATTAAACATCCATGACTGGAGTACAATTGCTCGTATTCATCACACAAACATCTGCCCCCCACCGGGATTCGAACCCGGTCTCGAGTCGGCGACACCGTGAAACCCGGCGTACAAACCACTCGACCACGGAGGTCGTCAAATTGATTGTGACGAATTTTAGCATTGGAGTGGAGCCTTGGAGAAGAACATAATTGTTGAGTAAACTACGAACATAATTGTTGAGTTTTGAGTTTTGACAATGTTTTGATATAATACTATTTATTTTGATGTGGACAGTCAGTTCTACTCACAAGGACTCTCGTCTTTGCAATCAAATCTTGGGCCTTGATCCTGTTATTTTTTGACGGCATAAGAATTCTGTTTGCGTATCGTATATTTATACTCGTTTGCATTCTATGTTCACAATGCAGAAATCAGTATTAGTAATCTAGCATAATCAGTATCTGCGTGACCATATGCAGTAGATTTCTACTTTTTTGGTAGATTATGACCTTTCATCAGTAGGAAAAAAGAAATCAGTATTTTTTGGTAGATTTCAGAATTGAGCTTGCAAATTTAGTAGATTTTAATTTTTTAATGAATATCACCCTAAAAATTCAAATTCTCGTTTGTCTATGGACACGGGAATTCCCTGTATTGTCTTTTGAAGTTCACACCATAACTAAAGCAGGATAGCCTATACAGGTTTATGGGAAGTATGAAAGAGACAGACTATCGCAAGCAAATAGTACATTCATGATTAGATCATTCATTCGATTCAACTGGACGGGTGTATTCCGTAATATATATCAGCATACTGGCCAGTGCTAATGACGTCGTGAATCGACGCTATACTGGTGAATTGTTCCGAATTATACAGGCCAGTGCACTGACGTCATAAATCGACGAAATATTAAAAATAGTGCGAATAAAGAAGATTTTTTTATTCACCTCATCAATTAAAGGAATTCTCTTGGTTCGGATGCCATTATTGTTCTTAAATAAAAAAGAAATTGAATTCGAATGCATCTCACGCACGCTCGGTCATACGTCATATTCGTTTTCCCGGTAAAAATATGGTAGCATACCAGTACAATATGGCGTCGGATTCGTGACGTCATTACCACTGACCAGTATACTGATGTATATTTCGGAATACACCCATTGTTTATATTTCATGGTGAATCACGAACTAAAGCGTATGTTTACCTAATTTGTTAGTTTTTACGAGATGAAGCGAAGATTTCTTCAAACTTACCGTGCCGAATGGGAGCAAGATCCCCTTTTTTCAATGTGGTTGTGTAAATGAAAAGACGACGATGATACAAGTGCCCTGATGGTAATATGCTAAAGTAATGGAAGCGAAAACGATGTACAGTGTACAGTCGCCATCAGATATATCTGAGCATACAAGGTGACCAAATACATCTGAACAGTTAAAATGTCATTAAGTTCTATACGCTACAAGTGACCATAAATATCTGAACATTCATTACTTCAATAATATCTGAGCAGATGCCTGTCAATAATATCTGAACATACAACTTTTCAAAAATATCTGAACACGTCAATGATTATGTATCTACGCAGATCATGCACTGGGCTTACATATTTTGTTACTGCGTGATTGAAAGGATGAACTAAAAACAAAGGCTAAATATAAGGAATAAATACGATGAGAAGGGAATAAAAATCTATCAGAAAATCATTCGTGTAGGTCACCACGAGTAGTAGAAATGGAATATGCCTAATTTTTTCTCTATTTATTTTTTATAATTAACGAGAAGTTATGTTTTTATTTTATTCTATAGATTAAATTCTCAATATCTCCTTAGAAATTTATTTAAAAAAAAAGACAACTGCGTTTTTTAACCGCAATAGAAATAAGTAATAATTTGGAGGAAACATTTGTCCCACTATTTCCATTGCAGTGGAAAATGGAAATCTGTACTTGTCATGCTCAAACTGGGCGCCATCCTTACAAAAAATTTATTTACTGTCTGAGTGGATGTGTTTATTTGGTTTGGGTATGTATTATTTATAAAAGTGAAAGTTAATAAAAAACAATTTTAATTCTTATAAATTTTTATTGAGTTAAATAATCAAAAAATGTAAACGAATTAACTTGGTACCTACCTCAGTAGATGCTTAAGCTTAAGTATTTATTATTATAATCGAGATCGAAATAAAAAAAAGCAACTTCTGATACAATGAGTTTAAAATTAAATAGTAACAAAATGTTTTATTCTTATAATTATACATGAGATCAAATCAAAAAGTTATCAGGCAATTAGTAAGGTTCTTGAAATTAGCGTATTATTATTAGTTTAATAATTTCCCAATATTATCAATGCCCGTTTAGACGGGAATTTCTAACAGACGTAGACGGCCGTGACGTATATTGTCGACTTTTCAACAAAAACGCAGACCAATAAGTTATTTTGCTCACCATTTTTAGGGTTCCGTAGCCAAATGGCAAAAAAACGATATTCATACAAAAATAGAAAAAAAAACCTATGGACTTAGATTTTTTTTATCAAATCTTTACGTGTGGGGTATGGATAGGTCTATAAAATTGATAGGTCTATAAATTTAATATGGGACCCATTTCCACTAAATGTTGTTAGAATTCATAATGCAATAAGGTCGAAATTTTAGTTTGATAGTGTTTTGATGACGTAATGTCATAACGAATCGACCCTTGAAATGATAACCTCTTTACAAAATACTATTTCGTGTCAGTGTCAGTGAAGAAAACAGTTTAATGTGACATTTTTACAAAGTATAATTCGGAAACGGAACATAACATAACATCGGAAATGATCTTTTGCTGTCGCTTCAGATGACGTAATTGCATGGTTGCCCCTAGAAACGTAAAGTTGTCAATGGTAAACATTATGACATTGACGTTGCATTAAAATATTAGCTTTATACAGCTTGCAGCAGATTGCTATACGATATTCAAAGGTTAAAGCATTATTAAAGCTCGTGTCTGTACATTACCATGCAAACTTCTAGCAAAAGTTGATTTGAACGAGATCAAGTAATTTGTTTTTTTAAATACGTCATATTATTTAAAAATAATATGACGAATTAAAAAAAACACAACCGCAATTTACATTTAATTCAATATAAAAATATTTATTTAGATAATGGTACGGAACCCTTCGTGCGCGAGTCCGAGTCGCACTTGACTGGTTTTTAAATATGCATACTATTCAAATATACTGCTTATAGACATGTTTTCTCCTGCTAACCAATCTACAGTACAGACATGGATTGTGAAATCTTGCAGATCCATGTTATTGTAAGCTGCCTTTTTATGATTTCATTTTTGACCATCATCATTTGCATGCCCTTTTCCCAATTCTATTTGTGGTCGGCGCAACATGTCTTCCGCTTCCATTCTCCTCTATCACTCGCAATATCAACACTCACTCCCTTACTGGCCATGTCCTCATTCACATAATCTATCCATCTTTTCTCTCCCCGGGTAACCCTCCACTCTCATTATACAGGTTGGCTTATTGAAATGGGTCAGGATGGGAAAGTCTGAAACTATAATATATATGAAGATCTGTTCTGAGGAACAAGATTTTAATAAAAATAAAAACTGCATTCATACATTTAAGAAAAACCCTGTGATCAGCACGGGAATCAAACCCGGTCGTTTAGAAAAAAAAACTTACACTATTTCTATTTAAATATCGATTATGTAGGTCTGAAGCAGTAAATGTTTCTATTAAACGTGATGTCTAAAATGAGTAAAATGCATTTTTGTCACATAATTTAAATTATTTCAGTAGAGGTTCTAAGTGACCACCGTTTTTTAATACAAAATTTAACACGTATAGGTAACTTATCTTACTAATAAATAGAAATAGGAAATAGTGTTAGTTTTTTTTTTCAAAACGACCGGGTTCGATTCCCGAGCTGACCACAGGGTTTTTCTTAAATGTATGAATGCAGTTTTAATTTTTATTAAAATCGATGACATAGTTCCTAAGAACAGATCTTCGTATATATTATAGTTCAGACTTTCCCATACTGACCCATTTAAATGAGCCATCTTGTATACTCTCATATTAAATTTTTGACCATTATATAATTATTTGCCGAACAAGGATTGCTGCCTGATTTTTTAAATTGCTTACAAAATCTTTTTGTTCCGACCAAATTATTTAAAGGCTGACCAATTATAATTATACTTCTCATGAAACATTAGTATTTTGTGTAACCTCCTTCTGCATTTAATACGTCTTGTAAACGTTTCCTCATGGAACCAACTACCTTCTCACAAAAACCTCGACCTCTGAACGATTCCCAAACATCATTTGCATGTCGCCTTACGGCTTCTGTTCGACATTGATTCCCATCCCACTCTTGCACCATTTTACCCCAAAGGTTTTCGATGGGATTGAGGTCTGGACTTTTTGGTGGTAGTTTGATTAAAGTTAGTTCTCTCTGTTCATGAATCCATGTCTGTACTGTACGAGCATTATGTACTGAGCTGTTGTCTTGAAGGAATGTAATTTGTTGTTCTGGATAAAAAACTTGAGCTGTAGGAAGAAAAGTATCTTCCAGAAGTTCCTTATAATTCATTGCATTCATTCGTCCACTTATTTCCACAAGCTCACCAGGACCATCTTTGCACATCCATCCCCAAAATCCAATTGAAATACGTCCACTCCGGCGATTAGGCAGCACATTTTGTTCTAAGTAACGAGTGTTTTCGGGTCGCCACAAACTTAATCGCCCATTATCTGATGAGCAGAAAACCTTTTCGTCCATGAAAATAACGTTTTGAAAATTTAAATTTAAATAATTAGCTGCAAATTGTAGCCGCTGCATTTTGTGCCTTGGCGTGAGAGTTGGTTTTCTTGCCGGTACTCTATTTTTAAACCTCCTTTTAATCGTCTTCTAATGGTGCTAGTGGATATTTCGAATGTGCTTGAAAATTGTGTAGTGTTTATAAATCTGTCATTTTTGGCTTTATCTATAATAGCTATGTCTTGGTTATTTGTAATAATACGCGGGCGACCAAATGAAACATGATTATTTAATGTTTCTTCTTGCTGCCATCTTTCTAGCCATAAATATACAGTATTTCTCTGAAATAAATACAATTTTATACTTTGTGAATAAAGTTTCATGTTTTGTGGGCAATTGATTTTTAGCTTTTTTCTCCGTGATACTTACGGCTATCTGTAGCTCATCGGCGATATCTTTTACGGATAAACCATCATTTTTTAGTTGTATTATTTTATGTTTCATTTCCGCATCAATACGGTACGAACTCATATTAATTATAGTTAATTTATGGTATGAACTAATACGTAAGCAAGCTGCTTGAATTTATTTGTGCATGACACATGACAGAGGTGATAAGAATAAAAACTTATTGACATTTTAACTGTTCAGATGTATTTGGTCATCTTGTATGATCAGATATATCTGATGGCGACTGTACAAATACGTTAATGATGATGATGGTAATGCGTAATTGTACTAATTATAAAGCAATTAAAAATAATACATACCTAATTAATTAGTATTGAAAAAATATAACTAGAAAAATTTCCACGCGGGCCAGGCAGCAGGCGGGACTCGAACCCGCACCCTTCGCAATCCGGACGAATGCACTGACCAATTATGCTACCGCGGCCCTCACGGACCGCGTGGAAATTCTTCTAGCCATTCTTAAGCTGCAAGGCAGCGCCATCTCTTCGCATTACAGATAACCCTTAATGTCAAATGAATACTTTTACAAGTATTAAACATTTGAAAGAAGAAATAGCAATTATAGTTATAATTACAAAAATCAAGCAGTACATGCTTTAAAATAATAAAAATTATAGTATTGATAATTCAGAATCACACTTTTTATTGTGCCTTTTTTTTTAAATAAAACTGTTTCATAGAAATATGGACTTTTATTTATAAAATAACAACAGTTACAGGGTAAATTTACTAAGGCTTTGCGGTTTGAAGTTCCACTTTGTTATTGCTCTCACCTCACAATTTCACAGTTTAAAACAAAGTAATGTGTAATGAACAAAATATTATCGATAAATACATAATTACACACTTATAACAATAATATTGTATTTATAATTTTTATTATTTTAAAGCATGTAACTGCTTGATGTTTAAATCTAAAGAAAATATAACTAGAAAAAATTCCACGCGGACCAGGCAGCAGACGGGTCTTATTACTTGTAAAAGTATTCATTTGACATTGTGGGTTACCTATAATGCGAAGAGATGGCGCTGCCTTGCAGCTTAAGAATGGCTAGAGGAATTTCGACGTGGTCCGTGAGGGCCAGGGTAGCATAATTGGTCAGTACAATATTGTATGTGTTGTGTAAAACGTGACAATTTATCCGAGGAGACAATGGCGATTATTTAAAAAACCAACCGCAAAACCCTAGTTGATTCACCTACAACCTAGTTCCATGGTTATAATAAAGTAGGTAGTTTTTTTTTGGTAGATCACATTATCTGTTCACTACATTTTGGTAGATTTTTTTAAGGTTGCATAGTAGATTGAAAAAAAAATCTGGTCACACTGATCAGTATAAGAGGGAACTTCATGCATAAATCCTTTGCACTGAATAGAGTCAACGATGTAGTTAGAGATGAGTCACTATTATACAATTAATGATCTATGTAGTTATTCGCCATTGTGAGTTGAATACTTGATGGAATTAATATGCAGAGGATTCGAAGATAATGTAGGAGGTGGTTCAAAGCACAATTTTCTTTTTTAAGTACATATTGTTACGTAACACGTGTAAGGTCATGGTATGACCTTGTATGTACTATCATCAACGTCGGTACAATGCTCGCCATTAGTTTATCAGTAACGCAAACCACAACTTCTGGTTTTCCTATAAAAACAGGGGTCGTTAACATTTCGTCAACCTTTTAATGTTAAAATAAATGTAATATTTTATTATTTGAACTTTTATTTGTATTACTAATCTTATGTAGTGTTTGTTTACCTCTATGAGAACTACATTGCAGTACTTGATATACCTTATGATATGGACGTTATCAGTGACAAATCTACTATCGGATTTCTTAAAACTATTCTCGTACGTTCAATATAATGGTACAGTTTAGTATTAACATGATTTTTAACACGTTAAATCTAACAAATGTTTTCTTTGTAAACTTATAAGTAGTTTAATGCTTTAAGTAATTAGAGTTGTCGAATTGTTGCCGTCATCTGGAGCGATAGTATCGAATATCCTTGTGTGTGGGGCAGTAGAATTTTGTCGCTCTAATTGTTCCCGTGTCGTGGTCCGGCGGGTGCGCGACGGGGCAGTGAGGGCAGGCTCAGCTCAGTCGTTGGTCTGTGCTGGTGTGGTGACATGACATCCACAGAATGCTACGACCTCATCAAGAGGGGCGTCGACATAGAAGTGCCTGGCTTGGAAGCGTATTATGACAAGGTCGTGCTAGAACTAAGAGGTTCGTTGTGTTCTTCAATATTAAAGCTAGTGCAGTGTTGTGGACAGGTGGTAGTGATGCATCTGTTGATCGATGATGGGATCCCCTCTGTAAGTTATAAAGGTTAAATCGTAAAGAACCGGAAAAAATCGCATCAGAATAAGGCGTGTATCAGAATAACTAACATGTTATCATTAATTTTATTACTTCAATTAAACGCATTTTTAGTAACTAATTAAGCTTTACTGTTACTCATTAACACGTTTTATGAACTACATAATGTAGATATAAAATAATAATAAATTTTATTGAACCAGTGATGCTTAATGTAAATGTGATACGCGTGCTACGATGATTCATTAGGTAAATGTCATGCCACTATTGATAATATTTAAATAGTTACTGTTAGTAGTTAGTTATTAAACTTTTTTACTCAAGGAATATTTATAAAAGGATGTATTTTGTAATTTGGCGCTCAATGAATGCCTTACATTATGAAGAGTAACACACACAACACGAATATTGTTTTCAATGCGAAACAGTTACTGTATTGTTTGATGAGATGACCTACTCTGATATGCAATATTGTTTTTCTTCTATAAAATTATTTGTTATTTAAATACAAACCTATGCAGAGCGTAAAAATAAGCAAAACAAAACGGCTTACGGGATAATTATTTAATTATTAATCGTCGCTACCAATAATTATTTACGTAGCTTAGCTAACACCCTGCATAAGAGTTTACGGTCTGAAGCGTGCGAACTGATCACAGGTAACCTAACACCCATATCTTATTACTAGTAGTATTAATTACTGAATCCTACACCCTCTGGCCTGGGCGTTATTGCGATGTCTGCTCGTGCGGCGGACGGCAGCAGCAGGGCGCGCGCGACCGTCCCGCCCAAGCCGCCGCCCATCTGGTCACCTCTCCGCGGACGACCACATTGGCGGTTAATGTGTTAACAACCATTCATTTTCAGTTTTCGTTATTCATTTGTTTTTCGATATGAGCGTTTATTTTGTACATTACTTTCACAATTTCGAAGGTCAGGTCAAATGTAGCTAGAAACCATTTTTTATATTGTCCAATATTTTCGCATTGTATAATGCCAACTTTTGTAGTTCTTGTTCTTACAATGTGTGATGTGATTTATCTAATAGATTTTTATCACTGCTATGGTGTGATTATAGGAAATGCCTATGAATACTTTGTGGCTCTGCCAATCCCACAAAGGAACTGTAGGATCAATGTTTGTATGTAAGAATGTTAATTGAGTCGTTCCCCCAAATGTTTTCTTTCATCTTTTAACTTTTATTTAAAGCAAATAAATACTATACTATTCATTAGCTATTGTGTTGTGGAATTATCAAAGGATTGTATTTTAAAAGAGGTGTTATCATTCCACAGACGAACGAGAGAGTGTGCAGAAGAAGACGTTTCAGAAATGGGTGAACTCGCACTTGGTCCGCGTGGGGTGCCGCATCGGCGACCTCTACGTCGATATGAGGGACGGCAAGATGCTTATCAAACTGCTGGAAGTGCTCTCCGGCGAAAGACTGGTAAGCTCCCTCCTAGCTAGAACGTAAACAATTTCCATTCTATTAAGAAAAGGTACTTAACAATGTACTTTATAATCCCCTTTAGTGCACTTGTGAACGAGACGATTTTCCGGGCCTAGAGACGGTATTAAACTGGTGTCGTTTAACATAGTATCTGATAATTCACTTATGAACTGACGTGATGACGGACAAAGAAAACCGAAACAAATGCAAGTAGTTGGTTCTGAAAATTGAAATTAGTGATGGCCAATAAGGTTAAATATGCAGGAAGTAAGAAGAGGTCGGTTGCAGCTATGCCACATCGTTGCAGCTCGAAGCTGCTTCTTTTGACCCTGATAAATATCAGAAAAATTCTGGCACATCTCAAATCTATGATTACTTAGATGCTCCTTTTGTATAAAGAAAGATCTTAAATCTATAGGCTGGTTATATTAAATACAGATTTTATGAACTTAATTTTACTACTGGACATCATGAAAAAGGCTAATACCACACAAGAATATTATAGCTATAGTACTCTAATAAAGGAGGAAAGGGTGAACTTAATACGGTTCACTCTTTCCTCCTTCAGAATTTATAAATAACTGCAAAAGTATTTGTTACTGCACATTAAAGAGTTGAACTATAAACGGATGTATTTTGGATAACAACACATTTGCGCACCTGTAAAATCGACCTTCCTATAAAATTAACTTTCAATTGCATGAACAATTCACACTTGGCGTATGTTTTCATTGCGAACGCTTACTCGTTCAACATTATTAATCTCCAAATCTGTACGTGCTTCATCATCGGTGAATGAGGTCATAAGTGTTGTTGCCAATATAAGAACGATTGGTAGGTAGATAGCTATTACAAATCAAATCAATTTGTGTTATATCATAAGTTCAACCTTATTACAACTCAACCTTAAAAATATTTTTCGAGTTGTTTTCGTATGTTTAGCGGTAAATTTAATAGATAAGAATCTATAAAAGCATGTAGAATTTAAAGTAACGTAGAGCTTTATAGCCGGTTTAAAAAACAGTTTTTACACAATGTTGCTCCGATCTCAAGGCAAGTGGCCAAAGTACTTGTTTCACAGAATTCAGGAATAAGGATGACGCTACAATTCATGACAAGTGACATCAGAAACAATGAAAAATACTTCGATTATAACACTATACAAGCCCCCCCCCCCCCCTCATTTTTTATTTAATTTATATATTATCACAATAATTTCAAGTTCCTAATTTGAAAGATAATTATACAACCTTCATTGTTATTTATTTCATACGCCGAATTGAAATGTATTGTGATAAGAATTGCAGTTATAAATTCGGGGTGCAGAATCACTATCCTTCGATCATATTGTTCTTTGAAGCACTATCACATATTGCTGCTGCAGTTGAATAATTTGTAGTGATAGTGTTTGTAATTCAGCGATAGTGCCATTTACCGTGTAATATAGCAAAACCCTTAAAAGAGCTAACCTCATGAATATTTTATGTAGCGACATATACCACAGAACGATATATTAGCCTTTACCCCTATTAATTTCACCGTCACTTAACATCAGGTGGAGTGGAGTCATTTGTCGGACTAATCTATAAAAATTTATACTTATATAAATAACTACCGGCCGCCCGCGATTTCGTACGCGTGGAGTTAGTTAGAAATAAAGGTTCACTGCTCGTTCCCCGTAGGTGATAGCGTGATAATATGTAGCCTATATGTTGACCCGACATCTTAATAATATTCGTGCCAAATTTGAAGTAAATCCATGCAGTACTTTTTGAGTTTATCCCGGATATACATACAGACAAACAGACAAAAAATGTAAAAACTATATTTTTGGCTTCGATATTGACTGTAGAACACACCCCAGGTATTCTTTAACAAAATATTCAATGTACAGTTTTGACTTTCCTACCATTTTATTATATGTATAGATGAACGAAGAATTTCCTTGGAAAAGCAACGTAGTCTTTTGACTCATAAATGATTTTAGGATTCCGAGAACAGACACTATAAATAATACTAAAGAGTTTATTATTAAAGCCTCGTAATAAAAGAGAATCTTGAATTTCAGCCTTGAGATATGCATATCCCATGTTCTCCTCTACTCGGGTCGAGGACCACTTCATGAGTTTGAGTATCACTAAGAGTCGCCTCTCAGACCCGTTTCAGTGCTATTACGTCATGAGTAGAATTAAAAGAGGCACGACTTCTTTCAAGGAACTTTTAAAGAAACATTTCTGTTTATGATTTGAATTACCGTGAAATTATTAAGAAATTAATTTGGTCTCTCAGAAACTATTTGAGCTTTGTGATTTCGTTATATTTAAATTTAAAATACTCGTGCTTACGGTTGCATTGTTTTTTCCAGTTATTTTTACATGTTATTACAATATCATAGTGAAGGTTGAGAAGTCTCAGAACATTTGTATTCATAGATTTTCTAACCATAAAATTAAGTGTTATTTCATATTTAGATTAACATGTAAGTATTGCTCAAAATTAAGTGTTGTGTATTACCTAATGCTTTCAGGCACATTTGCACAAAAGTTCTTGTATGAAATTTAAAAGCTAATAATGTTTAAGTATCTCATTGGTTCATCTCTTCTAAACAATTGCCAAGGATGGAATGATGTGTTAAACATAAAGAAGAAAGCGAGTAAGTAGTTCACCTTACAGAATACCGCAGTTAAATAACACTACGTTTTATTGGTGTTGTATTTCTGTTGGCGAGTAAGGTTCCAGAACTCCACGGGGCAGAGGATTTGGGTCAGGGCAAAGCCACGAGTGATATTTCTAGTATTTGAGATACTAATAGGTTATAGGTTACTCGTCTATAGGTTATGGTAGCGCGTACCATCAGGCCGGCCATATGTGTCTATGTTAGCCACCAATTTAACATAAAATCCAAAAATAAAAAATCAATATCGTTTATTCAGTCTAGGCTGTTACAAGCACTTGTGAATGTCGAAAAGCTACACGCCATCGGTTCGCAAATCTACGGCGGGAGACCTTGTACTGAGAAGAACCGGCAAGGAACTCAGCAAGGCCTGTTTTTTCTCCCTGTAATATATACAGAGTCGTCAAATTGAGAAATGACTTCAATATGAGGTCACTCATGATGTCATTTTGCATTATAAATGTAAATAATATAAAAAATATTACTAACAAAAAAAAACTGTTTTAACAAAGTTTAGGAATGCCGTGTCCTACTGTTTAGGCATAAAAAAAATTACGATTAAAGTTAAGTACAACGATTAAAAGTACCCAATTTATCAAGAGATGACTTATCTCCGCTTGCAGCACCCGTTCACGAGCATGACGCATGAACCAGCCATCGTTTCGCTCAACCAAATTTATAAAAAAGGGTTTCGCAGAACCTATATCAAAATTTGATGTTGTATTGTTGCAGCCACGACCAACGAAGGGCAAGATGCGTATCCACTGCTTAGAGAACGTGGACAAAGCGCTCCAGTTCTTGCGCGAGCAGCGTGTGCACCTGGAGAACATGGGATCGCACGACATCGTGGACGGCAACCCCAGGCTCAACCTCGGCCTCATCTGGACCATCATCTTGCGGTTCCAGGTTAGTAGGCTCTTTACTTTGTTCTGGTTAAAATATGTGTTGCAGTTTTATGAAAAATAACGTCACTCAGTGCAAACGAATATTCCTTTAATCGTAAATAATATTAAAAATACGATTTTTTTTTATTTGTTAGGCTTTCACATTTGAACCATTGCATTTTATGCAGATATGTAGTAATGAGATAGAAACTTGAGGGGGTGAAATGGGGAATCAAATTTTATATGGGAAACCACGCAGAGGGTGAGATATATATATAAATACCTCCTCTTCGTTTAATAAGGTCTTGACACAAGTTCTGAGTGGCATGTCGTTATCTAGATTGTAGAATGAAGTTTACTCCCCTTAACTTCAAACACTTAGTTGCCATGCAAAACCGATTGAATAGTTTTTAAATAGCTTTATCAAAGTCTTGATGCATCTTTCTTTATGATTTCTATTTGTCATTTTACTAGATTCAAGATATCACGATCGAAGAAACGGACAACAAAGAAACGAAGTCCGCCAAAGACGCCCTGCTATTATGGTGTCAAATGAAGACGGCCGGCTACAACAATGTGAACGTTCGCAACTTCACGACCTCGTGGCGCGACGGGTTGGCTTTCAACGCGATCATACACAAACACCGGCCTGACCTGATACAGTTTGAGAGACTGCATAGGAGCAATCCGATACATAATCTGAACAACGCCTTCAATGTGGCTGAAGATAAACTTGGACTCACCAAGTTGCTGGACGCTGAAGGTAAGGACAATCGAGTTATGAACGCAAATAAATTATGCGTATTTGTAGCAAATATCCGCGAGAATTTGATCTCCTTTTGAGTAAGTATCCTCCACATAAGAAGACAGCAGCCAATAACCTCTATTACTGTCGTGTTCCTTTGAACTGCACTAAAATGGAGAGAAATGTTTAAGTCAGCAAGTTCGGAGTCAGCATGTGGTAATTCAGCTGCTTTCACTCCACTCATACTAGCTTATCAGATGGGGTTGAGTCAATTGCTAGGCCATATGAAAGTCTAGTTTAGCGTTATTAGTTTAATTTTGTAAGTGTAACAAAAAATCATAAACAATCTCAGTCACATTCAGAGAAGTCAATTAACTTTAAGCTGATGCTGTCACTTTCTTCGCGATAACAATATAAAATGAGACCAGACAACACGCGACTCGATGAAGCATTAAAAAATTCGACGTTTCAGAGTACGTCTATAAGTGGCAAAATAAATTTTATAAAATGACTTCCACGAATTATATCATAACCAGCTGTGCCCCGCGGTGTTACCCGCGGTTTAATAGGATTTTTTCCCTGCAGTAAAACGTAGCCTATGTGTTAATCCAGGCTGTCAGCTAACTCCTTACCAAATTTTATTAAAATCGCTCCAGCCGTTTAGACGTGAAGAAATAACAAACATTCACACTCACAAAATTTCGCCTTTATAATATTAGTGTGATGAAGTCGAAACTTGGCGTCTCTCAATATAATAATACCGAGAGAAAAACGACATGGTGACGATCGTAGTGGCCGAGTGGTTTGTACGTTGGGTTTCAAGATGTCGCCTACTCAGATCTCCCGGGTTCGAATCCTGGTGGGCAAATGTTAGTATGAGGAATACGAGCATTTGTAACTAAGTAATGTATGTGTATATATATTTCTAGATAAATATACTTATATATGTATGTGTTAATATTATGTATTCTATCCGTTACCCTAGTATCCCATAATACAAGCCTTATATTGCATACTTTGGGGCTAGACTAAAAAAACCAGCCCTTGCTGAGTTGCTCGTCTTTTCTTCTCAGTACAAGGTCTCCCGCCACACGCCAGCACACGTGGAGTGCTCGTAAAAGCTTAAATTGAATTTGAGTTTTGAACTTTTTTTCTCCATCCAGATATCGCTGTGGACCATCCCGACGAGAAGTCTATCATCACATATGTGGTGACCTACTACCATTACTTCAGCAAGATGAAGCAGGAGACGGTGCAAGGCAAGAGAATCGGCAAAGTGGTCGGCATTGCCATGGAAAACGACAAGATGATGCAGGAGTACGAGTCGCTCACCAGGTAATACGACTGTCCGGATTGGTGAAAATTCTAGTACTGTACCAGCTATCTTCACGTCTGGACTTCACCATCACTTAACATCAGGTGGGGTGAGATCATTTGTAGGACCTATCTATTAAAAAAAAAATGATTTCTTTCACCTGTCTTTATTGCAAGGTGGCTTTACTGTCCGTTTTTGTGTGACTTTCACGTTTTAAGTTCTTAAAAGCTGAGTTAAGAAAAAATCCGGCGAGCGTGTATGTTAAGAGTAATGAATGTGAATGAAGCGACTGATGTGTGTGCGAACCGTGCCTTATAACCCTTAGCACGAACCAATATCGAATTCGAATAGTTGATTTCGATCTCAATACGCGATAAAAGCCAAGAAGTTTAGTATGGAAGATTTTTAATTTTCGTTACGTCCGTTGTGACGGTGTTAAAATTTCCGTACAAGACTTCTTGACAATTAAGATCGAATTCGATAATGACTCGTGCATTCTCTGTCTACTCCACACGGGAAACAATAATTCTACCCTTTAATTAATAAATCTAGTCTAATAAAGGCTAATATTAATATTATTTTCCTAAATAGCATTTGCAGTTAGTAATAGTTTTGTGTAATTAAAAATAAATAAATGATAATTTTAATTTCAGTGATCTCCTGCAATGGATCGAGAGTACTATCGAAGCTCTCGGCGACAGGACATTCGCCAACTCGTTGGAGGGCGTGCGCCAACAGCTGATACAATTCGCCAACTACCGTACTGTTGAGAAACCGCCCAAGTGAGTAAACTAATGAATTAGTTTAGTTTCTCAGGTTTTATGTATAGAGAAGGTAGTAGGTACACACTCGTACGAGTAAGCCATGCATTTTTAAAAACAGACGCTTATAAATAACGAGGCATTCTATTGGTTAAAGAATTTTCCTCTACAATCCCACAAACTTTACCTCTTTATAATATTAGAATAGTTAAAATGGAGATACTGCTGTCAAATAAGAATGGCCACGTAAAATGCTAACAAGAGTTATTTTGCTGTCTTTGAAGTTTAAAGACCTTCATAATGGAGTATCTTGTTTGAATGTGAACAATTGCTTTATTTTTATAGGTAGCGGCAAACTTCTTGAGCAAAACCACAGACAAAATAATAAATGCGCAGTAGACGTTTTTGTACGTAAAATTTCTACTGCGCAGGCTTCCTTGTCTAGTTGTCGTTGCTCAAGAAGTTTGCCGTGTTGTATAGTACCTGTTAATAGTTCTGTTTCTGGTGTTTATACTATAATTTCATGTTTATTTCTACAGGTTTGTAGAGAAAGGCAACTTGGAAGTGTTGCTTTTCACCCTCCAATCACGCATGCGCGCCGCTAATCAAAAGCCGTATACGCCTAAAGAGGGTCGTATGATTCACGATATCAATCGCGCCTGGGAACGGCTGGAAAAGGCGGAGCACGAGCGAGAATTGGCGCTGAGAGAAGAACTCATACGACAAGAGAAGCTGGAACAACTGGCGGCCAGGTATGTTACATTAAATCATCATCAGCTTATTAATGTCCCCACTGCTGGGGCACAGGCCTATGGATGGAATAGGTAGATTGGGCCATGACCCAACACGGCCCAGTGCGGATTGGAGGGTGCTAATGACTGCAGATGCAGCCGGGACCAACGACCTAACGTGCCTTTCGAATCACGGAAGAACAGGAGATGGTAGATTTTTGGTCACCCATCCAATGACCGACCACCGAAAGTTGCTTAACTTCAACGATTGCAGCCGAACGCGCTAACCACTTGCGCCATTGATCTCTTTCATATAGTTACATAACATATACTCACGTAAATGTGTAACTTAAATTGTAGTGAAGAAGCAATAAAGAATTAAATTTGAAACTTTTGTTTCTATACATTTTTCATGAAAACGAATTAGTCTTTATCACACACATAAAAACTCATGGAAATTTGGGATAGGATAAAATTTAGTTTTTCTGTCATAGAGTTATGACAACATTACAATTAGGCCAATTATATAAAAGCTGAACATTCGTTGTTACTAACTCGTTTTCATTATATCCTTATCACATCTTTCATGTTGATCGATATCACATCAAGTGAGGTTATAAAATATATCACGCTATCAGCTTTAATATAAAATATACGAAACACAAAATTTCTACTCTCCTTATTTCTACCCCCATTCTATCAAGAATATGTGTCATTGCAGGAAGAAACTGTCTCCAAATACACAGTTTAATTCCACCTTCTTTGGAGCCAGGATCCCTCTTGATATGTGTACAACTATTTTTCTAATAAACATTTATCCACCCCTCTAGATTCAACCGTAAAGCCCAAATGCGTGAGACCTGGCTCTCTGAGAACCAGCGTCTGGTCAGCCAGGATAACTTCGGCTTCGACCTGGCTGCAGTGGAAGCAGCTGCTAAGAAGCACGAGGCAATAGAAACCGATATATTCGCTTATGAAGAACGAGTACAGGCTGTGGTTGGAGTTTGCTCTGAACTACAGGCAGAGAGGTACGTATGAGATGAAATTTTATAAGGACCTGTCAGTATATTATCTATAGAGTTTTGATACGCTGCCTCTATGCAAAATATAAATGTACGTAACTAGATCGACCATAGCTGCGTTCGTTATTTGCATCTGATCAATATTTTTATTCTGAATTTTTCGTTTATTACATCTAGAGGTAGGAGATAAAAATCTGAACTGCTCGGTAATTCCGCTCAGATCAGTTTGATGTAAATCTGTTTGCTTGGAGTATTTTGACCGAGACGAGAAAGATTAATCTGGTTATCTGTCATGTTGTGAGGTTATGTTTTTTATGTTGTAGGGTTAGAAGTTTTTTTATGTCTTGTATGAATCTAATCTATGGTTGATCATGCCGTTCGTTAATAGCAATCCGCTCAGATTAATTTTGGATCACATGACCAAAAATCCGTCGCTTCTGCGATGCAAATACCGAACGTAGCTACTGTATGTCCAGGAATATTTTATATTTAATAATGTCATGCTTTATCAGGGATGTTTGGTGGTCATCCCTGATAAAGCATGATATGATTTATAGTGTTGCGATGTATCTAAACATTTCTTAACACTGCAAGTCCATGCAAAACCACTACACCCTTTTTAACAGACTTATCTGCTTGAGAAAGATAGTAAAAGCTGCTAGTTAAGCTTTAAACATTAACGTTATTATACATTGTTAAACAGATACCATGACATGGAACGCGTTTGCGCCCGTCGCGACAACGTACTGCGACTGTGGGCGTATCTATTGGAGCTGCTCAGAGCTCGGCGCGCCAGACTTGAACTATCGCTTCAATTGCAACAAAACTTCCAGGTAACTAACTATACACTTAAAAGCACAAAAAAAATCCTTCTTAATTATGCTCTTCTAGACATTCTTGTGACTAATCTATACCAATATTAAAATATATAAATATTTGTATATGCCTGCCTGTTGCGCTGTCTCGCTTAAATAGACAAATGATTCGGGTTAATTTCGCTATGAAGAGGAATGGGTAATTGGAGAAGCGAATGGTCATGAGATTGAGAGTGAAATAAGGGCTGAAACGAAAACTTGATTTAATGCGACAGAATTTAGGAATTAAGTATGTTTCACATATGCAATTTTATCCTACAGGCTGATCGATCAATCAATATCATAATTTCTATATTTATCACCACTACTATTTTTCCTCTATTATTAACAAGATAAAATTAGACGGATTAATTATAATTTAATTAAACAAGTTAAAATACATTTTACATCAAAGCAAACCTTTCTAATTGTCAGCACGACACAGACTAGTTCACAAGAAGTATTTTTCTTAATCACTGTAGATTAATTTACAAACATGACATCGGCAGAAATGAAATTGTTCCTTGTTCTTGACGAAATAAAGTGCATTATTACAAAAAGTGTTTTTGGTTCATAGGAAATGCTATACATACTGGATTCCATGGAGGAGATCAAGATGCGCTTACTGACAGACGACTATGGCAAACATTTGATGGGTGTGGAAGATTTGCTTCAGAAACATGCGCTTGTTGAGGCTGATATCAACGTACTTGGGGAACGCGTCAAGGTATTGTAATAGTGTTTACCTTTATGAATTTCCTAGTGACTCTTGATTAATAGTGAGGAAATATACCCTATTCGAATGGGAAGTTATAGTTTAATTCATAATCATAATACACTTATTTATTGTTAAAATATATTTGGTTCAATGGAATATATTGTCATAGTAGGGCTTCGGCTGATAAAGCAAAATTGCCGTTATGAAGAGGACTTCTACTGTTCGTTAGTAACGTGTAAACATCTATTATTATCAATGTTAGCTGTGCGTATCCAGTTATCATCAAGATTTTGATAACAATCTTTTGTTTTACCACTCTTTAAACAAAGAAGATTGACTTTCAAACGGTATAATGGTTTTATCATGTGCTTTACCAACTTTTTACCACAAGAGATTGACTTTTAAACTATATGTTTGTATATTCTTTACGACCTCCGTGCCTGAGTGGTATATACGCCGGGTTTCATGGCGGGTCCCGAATGCACGTTAAGCCGTTAGTTCCCGGCTGCATCTGCAATCGTTAGCACCCGCCAATACCCACTGGGCCCGCGTGGTGGGTCATGGCCCAATCTCCCTATTCCGTCCTTAGGGAAGGCTTGTGCCCCAGCAGTGGGGATATTAATAGGCTGATGATGATTATTATTTTATCAGGTGGTAGTCGGTCAATCCCAACGATTCTTGGAACAAGAAGAGGGCGGGTATCGACCCTGCGACCCCGCCATCACGGTGGAGCGTATCCAGCAGCTGGAGAACGCGTACGCTGAACTGGTGCATCTGGCCGTAGAGCGCAGGTACATTTATTGTGAATGCTGAAATATTGACTGTTTGCCTAGATCGGCACTGTTCTAATCAAAGAGCAATGAATTGCGTAGATTATACTTTGTAATGATTTTTTACAAAGTTGTCCAAGATTTAGTAGTAAATAAATTTTGGTTAAATTTAATGTATTTGGAGATTGAAAATCTTTTAAAAGAGAAACTTTGGTTGTTTTAAATGTGTGCAGAGTTAGTGAGCTTTAAACTTATTCTTACTAATTTTATTAAATTTTTGGCGTCAAAACATTGCTAACTTTCGAAATGACGAAATAAAAGTGCAATGTCTATGTCTTTTCAATACATTATGGGACTTAATGGTGAAAGTAGGAAGGAAGGAAGCCATATGGTTGCTATTTTAGCATTCTTTCTATGTATTTTTTTTATTATAAAGATTGTGCATAAATTATGGTCGCTCTATCTGTACTGGTTTAAGGTCACGTTTATTAGAACTCGTACGATGAACTAGTGCATCTGGCCGTAGAGCGCAGGTATCTACCTGCGCTCTACGGCCGTAATCGTAATCTATGCGTATATTCAGGAGTAATATTTTTTTGCCTTTCTTGTTTTAGGCTGTGGTTTTTAAACACGTACTCAACTCTACTTTTAAAGCCGTACTCAAAAACGGCAAATTAATTTAATGTTTCATTAAGTCACGTTTTATTTTAATCTATTTTTATGGCCAAGAAAGTGAAATCATCAACTTTAGTCAAACCTAAAAGCTAATTGACTTCTCTGAGTGCTGCCACTAGTACCTGTTTTGCGTCCTTGTGATGTCCTGGCATCTCAACTTCCAACGAGCTTCCCTTCATGAATACCTATGAATGTCTTTGAAACCCTTGCTGAACACTGAACTGGTGCAAATATCTAATGCTTTTCTCCTCTACCACACAAACAGGAAGCGCTTGGAAGACAGCCGCAAGCTATGGCAGTTCTACTGGGACATGGCTGATGAGGAGAACTGGATCAAGGAGAAGGAGCAGATTGTGTCCGTGGACGATATTGGACACGACCTTACCACTGGTAAGATTATTTACAACTTGTACCTGTCTTACTCAACGATATTAATACCCTAGATACACCAACACGAACAAAGTGCCCGAAACCTGTCCAAAAGGTACATTGGACGATCCACGGAGCACCGGAAGATGATCGCATAGTCAAAAAATATATAAAAGCATTATTTGAACATTAAAAGTCACCTTTAATACATACCGTATAAGGTCTTAATTAAAACGCATGCGTCAAAGAGTTATGACAGTTCGAAATGCAAGCTCGAAAAATTTTACGAGCTATATGTTATATGCAGAAGAATATAGACCTTATTTCTTTGATTCTACGCGCAATTCTGAATGCGCTATTAGCTAAATGGCAGGTACGGACCGCGCGGAAAAGAGACGGCTATATTACCGACCATGCATTTGAATATCACAAATATTTTCTATTAAATCAGTACATAGTAAGTATTAAAACAAAATTTGTTTGAAATGCATTAAATTAACAAACATAGATTAGATACCTATCGCTAATCGTCACTTTACATACTATAAGTATTATTTTCGCATATTTTCACGGAGCTCTACGGCAAATTAACTTTTTAACGGTCCGCGCGTGACTGTGGACCAAGAAGTGCTTGAGTGGAGTTCAAGCACAAGTTCGTTCAAGTTGATTGGGACACATTTTGAGCGCACGTGGGATATCTACGTTATTTAATATCGTTGGTCTTACTACTCAACTGATACTAAAATGAATAAATTGAATTGCGCCTGCGAGGTTAGCGCAATCGGTGGTGCAATTACGGAATTTAGATGCTCTATCGATTCTATATCTATAGAGATATTACTATGATATGGAGAAACAAGCGGACTTTAATGTACTGATGTTAATGTCTGACTGATGTCTGTTATAATTTATTAGAAAATATTTATGTACCTGCCGCCCGCACCACTCACGGTCCCCTTGCTCGTCCTCCCCTACACCCTGTACCCCACAGGCGAGGACTCAGTTAAGCGGTCTACCTATAAATGGTCACCAGAAAATCGTAGATAAATGATCACCTAAAAATACAATTGGTAACTATACTAAAAACTAAAGGTGAATGGTGAAAGACTGGGTGAAGCATTTGTAGTGTTTTAATGGATCAATAATATTTTTTTTGATGACCATTTAAATATGTGCCTAATTTATTGTAATGTGTTCTCTGTCCAACAAACGTAAAACTAGTCAGATTAGTGAGAAAATAACACTGTTTTAAGCTTTATTCGATAGAGAACAACGAAATAGAAAATGATTAATTAAGATAAAAATATAACTTAAGTGGTCTTTAGCTTTACTTTGTCTCGCCATTAAAGTACAGACATTGATAGTAGTGGAAAGAAAGCATTTTAGCTTATTGTCTAGGTTCAACAGAAATGTTTAATAATGCATTTTTTTGATTATACAATACCACATACTCGGCTGAATCCAGTAGCAGTTAAACTTTTTCTAGTAAAAGTTTTCTATGTTTATAAAATCTCGCAGTTTAATGCTTGAAATTTAATATACCCTAAAATGTATCACATCGTTTCTAAAATGGATAACTATTTTCATAGTGTACCTCCTGATCTCGAAGCACAAAGCGCTCGAAGCGGACGTTTTGGCTCACGAGCCTCAACTGATGTCTGTAGCGGCTGTGGGTGACGAACTAATCTCACAGGGACACTTCGGTGCTGACAGGATCCAGGTAAAATCAACCTTATAATAACTAGCATAAAAACAAATTTGTTAGGGAATGATTCTCACTAGCTTTCTGCGGGTGACGAACTGATCTCACAAGGACACTTCGGTGCTGACAGGATCCAGGTAAAATATACCTTAGAATAACTAGCATAAACACTATTTTGTTAGGAAATGATTCTCACGAGCCGCAACTATATAATGTCTGTGGCTGCTGTGGGTGACGAAATATCGCAAGGAAACAGGGGAACAGGATCCAAGTAAAATAAACCTTAAACAACTAATATAAAGACGATTTTACTATGGGACGCGTTTTAGCGTTTTGAAATAGAAATTAATTGTGTTTGTTAGTTATGTTTCTTAATTTTGGTCAGAGTTTGTAAACTCGCAAGTTTCAATAATATTACAGCAAAGTTCAACGTTTGGCTTCATGCTTAGCGCTAATTTATCATTGACAGGCTTAATGATTTAAGTCACGCGAACTGGCAACGTATAATATTTTAAAATAAATCAACCTTTTGGTGTATATATTACACCCGCAAACTTAAGACTCAAATATAGCTATGCTATGTCGCAACTTAATATACATTCCAAGACAAACTACAACTGCCGAATACGTATTCTGCAAAACCATAATACATGAACATCACGTGGAGTGCACGAAGGCGTTGTCATATCCTATTGGACAAAACCCTACAAATTAAAATTAAAAAATATTATGCCGAAATTTTTATAAAATACTTTTTGATTAGGTATAAAGCGCGATAAATTAACTTTTTTTAGCCGCTGTGGACTAGTAAAAGATCTGAAACTTCAGGAACAATGGAAAAAAAATCTTCGGGTTTTTCACCCGTTTAAAAGTGTTTTACTAAATAACTGGTATGCGTGAAAATATTCATACTAATATGAAAGTCTGCTAACATTAATAAATAGAAATATGTCTTAATACGAAAGTGTGTCTGTCTGTTACCTCTTCACGCTTAAGTTGCTGAACTGATTTAGATGAAATTTGGTAAAGATATATATGTAGTTTGCCTGGAAAGGATATATAGGATAATTTTATCCTAGAATTCACGCTTTAAGTAGATAGCTAGCTAGTAAAATATAAATATTTAACCTTAATTTATTTGTCTAGGACCGTCTCCGCGACATCCTGTCTCAATGGAACCACTTGTTGGACGTGGTGTCTCTCCGCAAGAACCGACTCGACGCCGCCGTTCGATACCACCAATTGTTCGCCGACGCCGACGACATCGACAACTGGATGTTGGACACTCTCAGGTATAATTATAATGTGATCCATTTGATTGCCATGTTTTCATTATCATTTATATTTAGCGCTTTCCTAATATAAGATTCACACTGAGGAGGAGCGCAACGCAGCACATTTTACAATTTGCTGAAGGAAAATAAAACATCTACAAATAAGTTTCTTATTTGCATGCAAGAGTACGAGCGCAGCCTCATAGCTGCTTGAATTGCATGTAAATAAGAAACTCAACTACTTTGTGGATGTTTCAATTTCCTTCAGCAAAATGTAAAATTCTCCGACGCGCGCTGGTAAGTGAGAATCATAATACTGTAGTTTAAACTTGGACATATATTTTGACTTACTGTTTAGGTAACGGCAGATATTTATGTTTAATACTTTTAAAGCACTATAAAAATAGAGGGAGAAAATATCGCGATGAGTGTGAATTATCTTGCAAGTTAAGTACTTTTAAAAGAAGGTAATTTAGTTATGATTAATATTAAATCAAAAAGTCTAAGTTTATTAGCCTAAAACTAACAAATCAATAACCTTTTCTTTTCTTTCATTGTAGATTGGTGTCATCCGAAGACACGGGCGTTGACGAGGCTCAAGTGCAGAGCCTGCTCAAGAAGCACAAAGATGTCACTGACGAGCTCAAGAACTATGCCAACGTCATACAGCAACTCAAACAACAGGTGAAACTACAACCTTATAAATCCCTGACTATATTCTTTGCACGGAAACGAGTCGGTGCCGATAAACTGTTACTCTCTTTTATTGACCGTTTCTAATGTAGTTTGTTACTCGTTACTCGACTTTAATATTGCCCTTTCTCATGCGACGCAGCTTTTCAACATTTGTAGCTAACTCGTGAACAGAGTATAGTTCATGCCACATCAGTTAAAAGTCAATATTATTTCTTGTGATAGCGTTACATAGATCCTGTGAAAATATTCTATATCCTAAAAAGTGTGTCTTAACTATATCATCAGGCATTCTTCTAAACGGAAGTTATTGTATGCTCAAGCGAAATCTGCGGCCCAAGCACGAGTTTTTGACAGTTCCGTAACGTATCGCATCGTGAAAGTTTCTACGAAATCTTACTTACGATAGTTTACGGAGCTGTCAAAAATCTTGGGCCTCTGTCACGAAGACACGAGCAGTATTTTTGTTATTTCTATTGATAGTGACAACATACGCATTTCGTGAAAATTTACTATTCTATACCCTAAAAAAGTATGTCGGTATACAGGCGAGCGAGCTCAGTCCCGAGGACGCGAACAGCCCCGAAGTTCGCGACCGTCTCGCCGCCATCGACGCACGTCACGGCGAACTAGCCGAACTAGCGAGACTGCGTAAACAACGTCTATTGGACGCATTGTCTCTGTTCAAACTGCTTGCCGAAGCGGACGCAGCCGACCAATGGATAGCCGAGAAGGATAGGATGCTGGATACCATGCTCCCGCCCAAGGATATTGACGATGTCGAGATCATGAAGCATAGGTGAGTTGTTACTATGAAAATTCCAACACTTGGATGCGTTGTCTATGTTCAAACGATGCAACAGACCAATGGATTGCGGAGAAACCACTACACAAGTTAAAAATCATGTTATTTAGCAGTAAATGCTGCTTTTAAAATGTTATTTACGAACATTTTTCAGTCAATCGCCTTTTACGATCATTACCATTAATCTATTAACGTTGTCAGGTATGACGGCTTCGACAAGGAGATGAACGCGAATGCCTCTAGAGTCGCGGTTGTGAACCAACTCGCGCGGCAATTGATACACGTGGAGCATCCTCAAGCCCCCGCTATACAAGAAAGGCAGGCCCGACTCAACGCAGCCTGGGGCGCGCTGAGGGAAAAGGTAATGTATTCACCATTAAAACTAAACAAATACAAAAAAATATTAACATTTGTATTTATAAAACAATATAAACAATTACAAGTAATGCCTCTAATGTATTCACGGACGCGGCCTGCAATATTTATTATTATCCTAAATAGCCTCTTGTTTATTTGTGAATTTGATACAGACTCCTGTTCATTATGCATAGAGCATGATAAGAATACACAATTGTCACATTAAAATTTTAGGTCTAGAGAATAATGCCAGAATAACTGAAAAATAGAAATAATTAACAATTACATAATAGTCTAATTTACAATTAGTCAATACAAGGTCATATTAGGGCGGTGATAAAAAACATCTACACTATTCTCGTGCATTACCACGTAATGATGAACGCAATCTATAGAATGAGAAAGAACCTCCTAGATTTTTCTGTATTAACTATATATTAACCATAAAACAAAACTTATAACACGACATCGTTTCCAGGCGGAGTCAAAGAAGGACGAACTGAAATCAGCTCAGGGCGTACAGACGTTCCACATCGAGTGCCGCGAGACCGTATCCTGGATCGAGGACAAGAAACGTATCCTGCAGCAGACGGACAACTTGGAGATGGATCTCAACGGTGAGCTTTTTACATAGATCGTTTTCAGACGGAGTGGCAGAGTGAGCCGTGAGTGAGTATCTCAGCCCTTTCCAAATTAGAGGTAAAATCCAAGTAATTGGAAACGATATGGAAGCATTACTCTTTAACAAAGGCCGCTAAAACATGATTCCAAACTCATACCACTAAACTTTCATACTAACGCGACACGCAATACAAAATACTCTGACAAATCAAATATCTGCAAATTAATTTGGCTATCCATTGGTCCTAATTTTGACATGATTCTCTAAACCTAAAATTAAATTTGACAACAGTGTATCCTTGTCATTCTCTATACAGAATGAAAAGGAGAGATTGATTTTAAATTTAGTTTTAAGTTTAGAGAATCACGCCAGAATCGACACCATTAATTGGTTAAAATAATGTTAAACGGTCTTTCCAACCTATCCCATGATCGGCATGTTGATCGCAGTTTTTTCTCCCAGCACACTTGATCGCAGTTTGCGTGGAACCACGTTTTAGCGCAATTCGTATTCCATATCATTTCCAATCCTTTGCTTATAGCTCAATAAACTTACCGAATCGAATATTTTGCGAGTACGAAATGTCAATGTCAAATTTTGTATGGAAACTTGAACAGCAGCACCACAAAGTACGTAACGAAAACTAAAAATCAGTATACATTTGACAATGAAATTTCGGACTCGCAAACGTTACGAATTCGATATTGGTTCGTGCTATGGGTACTGTACTATGTATATCGTGAATGTGTTTATGTGAACTAACCTTCTCTCCACTATCGCCAGGTGTGATGACTCTCCAACGTCGCTTGTCTGGCATGGAGCGCGATTTAGCCGCTATACAGGCTCGAATTTCGTCTTTGGAAAGCGAAGCGAGTGCGATAGAAGGCGAACACCCGGAGGAAGCCCAGCTTATCCGCGACCGCATCGTCGCCATCACGGATAACTGGGAACAACTCACGCATATGGTGAGTTAATAGACTATTTGTTGCACCTAGGGTTACCATCGGTCCGGATTAGTCCGGTCATGTCCGGACTTTTAAAATTAGTCCGGACATCGTCCGGATCTTTAAACTTTCCGGATTTTTTAAATTACATTGAATATGAAGAATAAAAGTTCATATTGATTTAAATACCATATCAGTGTAACAAAGTGAGTAATGATACCATTTTGTCCGGACTTTTTTCGAAATGTCAGGATTTTTCTCAGGACTTTTGAAATTCCTAAATGGTAACCCTAGTTGCACCATTATTTTTATTGGAAATAGTTTCGTCACACAAGCGAAGTCAGTATGTTAAGGTTCCGAAGAAGCTTTTTACGACTTACATCATCACGCGACCAATTTTTACATCCTTCCTTTCTACGTAATCTGTTTCGGTAGTCTCTCGTTATATTTTTTGCTCATGTCCGAACCAAAGGTTAATAGGTATTCTCCGTTGGTTATAGTATAGTATATAGTATGGTTATGGAAAGTATATATTTATATGATGACCCAAGGGATGGATCGAAGACAAGTATGCGCAGTCTACGATAACGTAATCACAAAACTAAGCTTTGTGCAAGAATAGGGTATTTGAGTCGTATAGTATCAAAGGCGGCAAAGTAGGGCGAACCAATTATTTGGCAAATCAAAAAAAACTGTATAGTCTTGTTAGATCTCTCGGAGGATTTTTAAAATTGACATTTCACTACGATTTGTAGTTATGATGAATGTCAATGAACATAAAATCATTGCGCAAAATGAACCCCAGGCACCATAATAATAAAATAAAATAACTATATTGCCGCCTTTGCTAGTAAATTATTAGAATGGTGTGTTATTATGTGAATAACATTAAATTTTCTATTCCTCTAGCTCAAAGAGCGCGATGCGAAGTTGGAGGAAGCGGGCGATCTGCACCGATTCTTGCGTTCCGTTGACCATTTCCAGGCGTGGCTCACCAAGACTCAAACCGATGTCGCTTCCGAAGGTACGTAAAAAACATTATCTTAATAGCAAGTAGATGTAGAACCACAAATAACGTAGCTGCAACGTTCAAGCAAAGAGCAAAATTTTTTTTGTTACTGTCAATGTGTATAGTAAACATACAGCAATAGGGTATTTGACAAGTTATCGAAAACGATCTCATGTTTTTTACTAATGTTGATGGAGGCCATAAAACGTGGATATTTTTAATTCTGTCGTGTAATACAGTAAAAATACTAAATTAAAACTTCAAAAGTAAATATTACTAGAAAAACATCCACGCGGACCAGGCAGCAGACGGGGTCCCGAGAGAATATTTTCTTTAGATTTAATTATCGAGCAGTTACATGCTTAAAAAATAAAAATTATAATTAAAATTTCTTGGTCACGTGACCATGAAGCAAAATAAAAACATTTATATCTAATGATTTTATAGGAAAGTTATGAATTATTTGTTCTTTAAGAATAGTGAAATCGCTCCTACTCATGTTAAATACAGATATTGTTTTAAAAAAAACAGACCTTTTTACGCACGCAGACGACCCGGGTTCGATTCCTAGCTGTGCAAGGACTTTTTATTGATGATATTATTTCAATTATTTTTGTTGTAGAAGGTAAAATTTTAAAGTATTTGTATAACAATTGTTTGTATAAGACTGTTACCTGAATAGGGTATTTGACAGTATTAAAAATAAGTGTCAAATATTAGCAACTGTGATAATAATGAATATTGGCAGGGGTTTTTACTATTTTTACAAAAAAAATATTCATAATTTTACTAAAAACCCACGAAAAAGATAATAGTTTTCTTATCTATTGTCACGTGACCCAAAATGCTTGGGATTGGCGGAGTCTAAAATGACGTCACACGCAAGCAAACTTCCGGTTAAAGTGACATTACATTGTATCGGTTGACGTTTTAATAACAGTCGTGTGACGTCACACACTAGTAAGACGCCGTATTGTACAGAAAACGTTTTCGCGGCATCTTTAAAATGGAGTTTATGATTTGGTTATTTTTACTGAATTTCTAAAACTTGTCAAATTCCCTATTAAGTAAATATAAAAAAATAAGTTTTTTTTAAATTTCCAGACATTTAGTTATTTTAGACGATTATCACCTTTTCTGTCGCCAACAGATACGCCGTCAAGCTTGGCAGAAGCGGAGAAACTCCTCTCGCAGCACCAGACCATCAAGGAGGAGATAGACAACTACAGGGACGAGTACGCCAAGATGATGGAGTACGGGGAGAAGATCACCGCGGTAAGTGTTCATTGGTTATATGCACCGAATTAGAAATAATATCGAATACGAACTGCACTAAAAAGTGATTCTACGCAAACTGCGATCAAGTGGGCGAGGTGAAAAAACAGCGATCAACACGCCGATCATGGGAGTAATTTGGATATCCATTTAACGTTATATTTGACTAGCGGCCGCCCGCGACTTCGTACGTGTGTAGTTAGTTCGAAATAAAGGTTCACTGCTCGTTCCCCGTAGGTGATAGCGTGATAATATGTAGACTGTATGTTAACCCGACTTCTTAATAATATTCGTGCCAAATTTAAACTAAATCCATGCAGTACTTTTTGAATTTATCCCGGACATACATACAGACAAACAGACAAAAATTCTAAAAACTATATTTTAGTCTTCAATATCGATTGTAGATCACACTCCAAGTATTTAAAAAAAATCAATCTACAATTTTGTCTTTCCTACCATTTTAATATATGTATAGATATTTGATCTGACAAAGTATTTTGTTTTGTCTGCGTTCGGGTCGCGTAAGAATTGAAGTTTAGGTGTATGAGTTTGGAACCATGTTTTAGCGACCTTTGTTAAAGAGTAATGCTTCCATATTATTTTTAGTTCTATGTTGTTGTTTACATTAGTATTAGCCTTAAAATAATGACCACCAAAATAGGATATGGATTCAATGTTCATTGTGTACTAATTATAATCTGCCTTTCAATATTGACCACCGTAATAGGATTATGTTGTGATATAACGCCTTGTGCAAGTTGCCATGTTTAAATTTAGTCAGAGTGTCTTTCATTTCAGTGACGTTGCTGCTCGTGATGAGAGTGCCTTTGCTTTTACTCTATTTTGACTCAGATAAACTACAAAATTTAGTTCTACAGGTCTTAAGCACATCTATTAGATATTGTTTTAAATGGCAGATAACTAATTGAAACTCTGTTTTTTTATATGATCAAGTGAAACTGGCTTTTCTAGGAAAATTTTCTCAATATTTAAACATCTAGTAGTTAAATGCTTAAAAATATAATTATTATAAGAACTTGCTAGTCTAAACCTAGTTTAAACTTTTATTTCATTTTTATTGGTATATTTGTCCCCGTCATGTTAGCCTTTGTATCTTTTTAAAATGTTTAATTATTGTGTTCATATCATCCTCGAAGGAACCGTCCACCCAAGACGATCCTCAGTACATGTTCCTGCGCGAGCGCCTCAAGGCGCTGGGCGAAGGCTGGGCGGAGTTGCAGCAGATGTGGGAAAACCGGCAGCAGCTGCTGACGCAGAGCCTGGAGCTGCAGCTGTTGCAGCGCGACGCGCGCCAGGCGGAGGTGCTGCTGGCGCACCAGGAGCTGAGGCACGTATTATATGATGCTGAGGGCTGCAGCAGGTGTGTGGTAGCACTAGCAGCAGCAGCGCCCGGAGCTGTAGCTGCTGCATCAGGAGCAAACTTGCCAGTTTCAACCATTGCCATTTGTGTTTCTTATGTGTTTGTTTCAAGTGTCGAAGTTCTAACACGTGTCGGTCAAACTCGCAAATTTATGCAGACCATCAAAACAAGAAAAGTTGACCAATTTGGTTATACTTAGACACGAGAGATACGTTTTACTGCATCTCATTATGATGAGCAAAATGGTGGCGAAACGTCGAGCAGGCCATTGGAAAAAGTTGTAGTTTTGAAACATCCGCGAGTGGTCTGGAGTCAAGAGCGCCGCAGAATTGTTTCACTTAGCCAGGGACAAAGCCACGTTTTCAAGGCTGATGTCATATTGCTTTCCAATTCCACCAATGGTAAGGGAGATCAGTGAGCGGGACAGCACTACTCTTTTGATGGCCGTACGAAATCGCGGGATCAATGGGCAGCGCGAGCGTCAATATCAACGTCAATGGAACTTACCTATTTACATACTCGCATTACTTATTTTGCAGGCATTTCACATTGTAGAGTATAGGATTGGAGTTGACAACAGTATCCTTAGCAGGAACCAATATCGAATTCGAATAGTTTGCGAGTGCGAAATGTCATTGTCAAATGTCTACAGATTTTTAGTTCTCGTTACGTCCGTTATGTCGCCGCTGTTCAAGTTTGCATTTCAAAATTTGACAATAACATTTGGCAGTTGCGAACTATTCGAATTCCATGTTGGTTCGTGCTAAGGGTACAGTGCTGCGCAGTGACAACTTTAGTACTACAAGGGTCTATAGGCTATTGCGGCCGCTTAATATTTGGCGGGCCATTTGCTTGTATTAAAAGATTGCAGCCGGCAGCCTTTAAAAACAATAATTACCTTTATTTCTCACTATAATCCTAATAACATAGTAGGTATTAATAAGATGATGGCATAGAAACAACCATATAAAAATATTCTTTTTTATTTTGTTGTAAAAAAAGGTCTCTGTTAAATGAAGTGAAAGTATACTGAAGGAGTATAAGAGAGATTTTTTTAAACGACCTGCTGAAGATCACTTATACCTCTTATCATTATAAATACTTCAATATGTTAAACCGTTGTTTTACAACCGAAGACTAATTTGCTTTTTTCTCTGCAGATTGGCGAAAACCGAGCCTCCCACGAACCTCGAGCAAGCAGAGAACCTCATCAAGGAGCACGAGGCGTTCCTCACCACAATGGAGGCCAACGACGACAAGATCAACTCTGTCGTACAATTCGCCAACCGGCTGGTCGAAGAAAGACACTTCGACGCAGACAAGGTGCAAAGAAAGGTAAATATCTTCATCATCATCACCAGCCTATTAATATCCCCATTACAGTGGCACGTGCTAAAGACTACAGATGCAGTCGGGACCAATGGCTTAACGTGCCTTCCAAAGCATGCGGGAGCTCGAGATAGTAAATTTTTGGTCACCCATCCAATGGCCGACCACTGCGAAAGTTGCTTAACTTTCACCAATCGCAGCCGAAAGCGCTAACCACTTGCGCCATCGTGCTCCCTACAAAGGAAGCTAAATATATGCGTTTATAATAATATAATTTATTCCGCACTGGATACAAATCAACTCTGTCGCATAATTCGCCAACCGGCTGGTGGAAGAAAGACACTTCGACGCAAAAAAGGTTCAAAGAAAAGTAAATATATAGTTACGTTTGTAATATTACACTTTATTGCACACAACATAGGATACTACAAATGATGATATAAGCAAACTGGAATGGATTGTCTAAAAATCTTTTGTTTCATACTCGCTTTTGTTTAGTTTAATAGACGATAATGGCACTTCTATCAAGTTCACAAATAGCAAATACGAATAGCGATGTGTAGTGCCGGCATTACAAACATACAAACATTCACATTTATGATATAAGTAGGATGATACACTTTGTTGCACATGAAATACAAATGACGATACAACACAAATTAAAAAAAATCTTGGGTGCTTCATACTCATTCCAAAGGGTTTATTTCAATATGACGAGGTCATCAATTTACACTAAATAATTATTTAACGTAATAATCTCTTATACTAAAAGGTGAAAGTTAATAAATCTCGCATGCTAGTAATTTTTTATCTTTATTTTTAAAATATAAGTTAATATTCGTAATATTCGTGCATTTTCGTATTCATCCTATGTCCTTAAACAAAAAAATCTGTAAATCTGATCTATAATTAACTTTCCATAGGCGGACAGCATCGAGCAAAGGCGTGCAGCGAACCGCGAACGCGCTCTCCAACAAATGGAACGTCTGCAAGACCAATTACAACTGCATCAATTCCTTCAAGACTGCGACGAGCTCGCCGAATGGGTGCAAGAGAAGAACGTAACCGCCCAAGACGATACTTACCGATCTGCCAAGACAATCCACTCGAAATGGACTCGCCATCAAGCTTTCGAAGCCGAAATAGCCGCTAACAAAGAACGCCTGTTCGCCGTACAAAACGCAGCTGAAGAGCTGATGAAACAGAAGCCCGAATTCGTCGAAATCATCTCGCCTAAAATGCACGAACTCCAAGACCAATTCGAGAACCTCCAAACTACTACGAAAGACAAAGGAGAGAGATTATTCGACGCCAATCGCGAAGTTTTGCTCCATCAAACTTGTGATGACATTGACTCATGGATGAACGAGCTTGAGAAGCAAATAGAGAACACCGACACTGGCACTGATCTGGCATCTGTCAACATTCTCATGCAGAAGCAACAGATGATCGAGACTCAAATGGCCGTCAAAGCTAAGCAGGTAGGCATTCACGCTTTTGTTTACCAGTTATAAAATATGTAAGACCTAGGAACAAGTGACAGAGACGAGCTGCTACTGAAAAAAAAAATGTTTTTTGTCTTTATCCAGACTGTGTAGATGTCATAACTCTGACCAATGCTCTGAACCCCATTGTAATGTGGTGAAGTTTTTAATTTCCATTGTTGCCTTTTGGAAGCGAATGTGTTATCAAAGTGCTCCACTATCTCGTTTCCGTGAACAGAGTATAGTAAAGAATACATAGAAAATCATAATTTCTTAGCGATAGTTTTAGCAGCTGTGATCATATCTTCAGTCCTTGGAATATACTCCTACCTTACTCACCTGTATACCATTACTCCTGTAAAGCAATTTTTTCCCCCTAAATGTTTATATTGTTTGCAAAAATCCTTAACTGGTATTAAATACAAACCTGTTTGTTAGGTCACCGAACTGGAAACTCAGGCGGAATACCTGCAGAAGACCGTGCCCGACAAGATGGAGGAGATCAAGGAAAAGAAGAAGTCAGTCGAGCAGAGGTTCGAGCAGTTGAAAGCTCCTTTATTGGATCGGCAAAGACACTTGGCTAAAAAGAAGGAAGCCTTCCAGTTCCGACGAGATATCGAGGACGAGAAACTATGGATCCACGAAAAAATGCCTTTGGCTACAAGCACGGACTATGGAAACTCCCTATTCAATGTTCAAATGTTGCAAAAGAAGAACCAGTCGTTGAAAACTGAGACTGATAACCATGAGCCGCGTATCCTTACAGTTATATCTAACGGACAGAAGCTGATCGATGAAGGCCACGAGGCCACACCTGAATTCAAACAGCTTATTGAAGAACTAACCGCGAGATGGCGAGAACTTAAAGGTGAGTTCTTCGTATTGTACATTTATGTCATGTCGTGGTTATCATGGCATTGTAATTTTTATGCTACCCCTTCTTGTTTGCTATTTGTATACTTTATAACAGTCTGTCCTTGTCATGCTTTATGAGGAATGAAAAGGACGGCCTGTTTTAATGTGTACAATTAGTTTAGTAGAAGTAAGGAGGTTTGGTAGAAGATGTAGTCAGACAACACTGAATGATTGTCAACTTAGTATAATAGTCCACAAAATAGACTTCTACGTAAAAGAATCTTCATCTCTTTTAATAATCAATTTCAAAATAATATTTTTAGACATTTAACGATAGTCTTAATGCATTAATAATGGTAATTTATCTCAAATTTCGATGTTGGGCCATTATTCTCCATTACACTAGACTTCATCATAAAGTAATAACTTCTCCACTTCTACCAGATGCCATCGAACAACGTAAAAACAATCTGTCCCAATGGGAGAAGGCTCATCAGTACCTATTCGACGCGAACGAAGCCGAAGCGTGGATGAGCGAACAGGAACTATACATGATGGTGGAAGACCGGGGCAAGGACGAGATTTCCGCACAGAATTTGATGAAGAAACATGAGATTCTAGAACAGGCGGTCGATGATTACGCGCAAACTATCAGGCAACTGGGAGAAACTGTCAGGCAACTCACTAGTGAAGAACATCCTTTGAGGTGAGATTATACTAAGGTTTTGTTCAAAGTAAATAAGTGAGGGTTGTACGAGCTGTTCTGTCAATGAGGATCCGTTGAGAATGCATATTTATAGAGCTACGGATTCCATAAAATACAGTGGTTAAATTTTTGTTATACGACAAATATTGACGAAGTTATGACCAAATTACTAAACGAATTTTCCGCTGGTCGCTTGGTGGCTGTGACGTCACAGAGCTCTACGCGCGTACTGAAGTTCGACCGGAGTGAAACACGATCGAGCTCTGTGACGTTTCGGCCGCCGGTAAATATTGGCTACCATAAAATTAATTATAAAATCGCTATGAATGAACCGTTTGATGATTTACAAAGTATATTAAATTCAAAAGCTTATTAGAATATTATACTGTTGATATGCTGACCTAGTAATGATCCTCATGGCCAGGAATGTAATCCAGATGTAATTATTATTAAATATACCAGACAAGATGGAATTTGTAAAATAGACAATTAATTTTAGAATCAAGAAGCGAAACGCAAGTTAAAAATACAGTGACAAAAAATGGCACTTGCAGGTACCAACGCAAGTTGTTGTTTATTATGAGGCAGAGTTTACTTGGCCTCGCCCTAATCAATCAACACACCCTTTAAACTGTTGTATACCAATCAATAACATACTCGATCAATCAGTAAACTCTTTTAATTATTCTTAATCTTAATTACATGTATATACAATCCATAATATGTATTTTGACTAAAAGCTAATAATAAACCCCATTTTCACAGAAAACAAATCTTAGTGAAGTAGTCTCAAGTAGACAAACTATACGCCGGTCTCAAAGACTTGACTGTGCGAGAGGTGTGCTAAGCTTGACGATGCCTTGTGTTATTTTTTAAATCCGTCTCCAATCTTTAATTATGCCGCAAAGTTATTGGGCCTCTCCTCTACCAATTGATATAACCTTTCAACTGTCCCACACGATGTATTTTCAACAAAAATATACTAGCAACAAACCCCTTTTCACAGCGAACAAATCTCAGTGAAGCAGTCTCAAGTAGACAAACTTTACGCCGGTCTCAAAGACTTGGCCGGCGAGAGGCGCGCTAAGCTCGACGAAGCCTTACGACTATTCCAACTGTCCCGAGAGGTCGATGACCTCGAACAATGGATCACGGAGCGGGAACTGGTAGCCAGCTCGCAGGAACTCGGCCAGGATTACGATCATGTAACTGTGAGTATAAGGATCAATTTTGATTGTTAATGATAACTTTATTTTGTTGAGGTTGAGTAAAGACTATTTTGAATAAAGGATTTGTAGATTATTGTCACTTTGATGTTCCCTTGATAGAGATGTTTCTTTTCCGTTTTGCGAGAGCATCCAAGTTAACGACACAGGAGATCTAAACCTTTTAAGTAGATAAAGATTTGTAATAGGTATATTAAAGTTTTAATTTTAACATTGTTTTTTTCCTTCGTAGCTCCTCTGGGAGAGATTCAAGGAATTCGCTCGCGAGACCCAAGCCGTGGGTTCAGAACGAGTCGCCACGGCAGAACGTATCGCCGACCAGATGATCGCTAACGGCCATTCCGATAACGCTACCATCGCGCAGTGGAAGGAGGGTCTGAAGGAGACCTGGCAAGACCTGCTGGAACTTATCGAGACCAGGACGCAGGTTAGTCGATGCAGTGAGCCTGACTGAAATAGTAGTAGTCCTTTTATATTTTGTTCACAGTAACACAATAGAAATAAACCTTATTAAGTCGTATGTCGTCTTTTACTATTATTTTCGTTGAGAAGTAGAAATTTAAAGGTTAGCGAACGACACTCGAGTAGGTCTCGTAATATTCTGTAAACTTTACTAAAGTTGGTAATTTCTCTGCTTTTACTATTTTAATTTTCCACTGATAATTCCACTGGGCCAAAATAACGGTTACTCATTGTTTTGCCATATATATTAACTGTTTGAAGCAATTAAAATCTTCCGTTGTATCCTTCAGTCGCAGTAGATTTAATGGGGATTCTTATCAAGAATCAAAATAGATATATTATAAAATTATAGTTTTCTATGGAAATTGAATGGAATGGTCTATGAAATATTTTATTATATTTTCCCCTTTCTCCCATAGATGTTAGCCGCATCCCGCGAGTTACACAAATACTTCCATGACTGCAAGGATACTCTGCAACGCGTGAACGAGAAAGCGCGCGGTGTCAGTGATGAATTAGGCCGCGACGCCATCAGTGTCGGTGCTCTACAGCGCAAACACCACAACTTCATGCAGGATTTGAGCACGTTGCAACAACAGGTGAGTTGAAGATGGAATGGTTGATTAGAAAACTTTATCGTACTTTCGAGTGACGTTTATTTTTATTGGATATGTGTATGTTTAAGAATAGGTTTATGATTCTTTATTGTGTCTGGTAACTACTTTCCTTTTAGTTAAGTTGCATGTATCTTTGCATTTGTAGTCGCGGCATGTCGCCGTGCTTGGAAAAGCAACCATGACCGCAGGTGACACTGCGGCTGACGACAGTCGCTAGCCGCAGTGTCGCCTGCGATTGCCGTCTGCCGACCGCCTGGGAATTGTACCTTTAACTCTATTTAGTTCGAGGAAAATAATCTCAAAATAAACCTAGAAAACATAAATTGAAATATAATTTGGTTAAGATTTTCTTACACGAGTTTTGAAAGAATGTATTTATTCAGCACAGGCACGAATTATTGAAACTATTTACGATAGTTCGGTGACTATTTCGTTTAATCTTGTGTAGGTGGAAGCCATCACAGCCGAATGCAGCCGGTTAGGCGCCTCGTACGCGGGCGACAAAGCCGCAGAGATCACTCGACGCGCCGGCGAGGTAGCCGACGCGTGGGCAGCCTTACAAGCTGCGTGTAGAGCGCGACGATCTAAATTAGAAGATGCTGACGATCTGTACCGATTCCTGAACCAAGTGCGGACTCTCACGCTGTGGATGGACGACGTCGTGCGACAGATGAATACCGGCGAGAAACCTAGGTAAACTAATTAAAGAAAATTGTGAAAAACGACATGCACCATAAAATATATCAACATACAAAACATTTGTACTTGTTGTGTCTGGTTACCTTCCATTCGTCTGACACGGTTTCTGAAAGTAGAAAGGAATAGTATTCCATGCTAGATTGGTAGTGTCATTATTGCTAACAGCCAACCTAGACTTCACTCAACGCCAATTTGTCACACAAAAATGTGACTGTAATAAATTATTTATTATCATCATGAAATCATTTGCCTTTTTATATCTCACTTTTAACGTACCGCTAAACTTGCGTTAACGTAAAATTATTATTAGGCCTGACACTAAGGCCTGTTATAGAAAGATTCTCAGTAATTAATCTAGTCTTGAGCATAGATAGAAAGGGATGTCGCTATATATAGTACATAGTGACATCCCTATCTAACTGTACTCAAGTAAAGATCAAAACTTAGTTATCATTCTGTAATACGGGCCTAAGTAGACTCATTCTCCTCGCAGAGACGTCAGCGGCGTCGAATTGCTAATGAACAACCACCAATCGCTCAAAGCCGAGATCGACACACGCGAGGACAACTTCACCGCGTGCATTTCCCTCGGCAAGGAGTTATTGGCTCGCCAACATTATGCTACTCCCGACATTAAAGACAAATTGGTGCTACTAACCAACCAGAGAAACGCGTTACTGCGCCGCTGGGAAGAACGCTGGGAAAATCTGCAGCTCAGTAAGTATCACATAATGATAGGCTTATAGAACATGGTTTATATTGCAGTTCCGTCACAGTTTCTTCATTCTGTTGTTGAAAATAAGATCTCTAGGTAGACCGCTTAACCTCGTCTGTGGGGAAAATGTGTGGGTTTAGGGCGAAAACGGGGACCTTGAGAAATGCGGGTGTCTCAGTTATGCGGTTTACCTATGTCTTCTACTTCATGTTATTGTGAACAAGCTCAAGCGATTATCGCTTCTATAATCATCAAAAGTATCTACGGATAGGAATTGACGCCGCCATTAACGTCCCGAAATTAATAAGACTAGTTAAAAAGAAACTTCACTTTTGCTCTATTTTCCAAAATATGGACGCACTTAGTTTACTTATAGATACATAGGAATTAAAGTCAAAATCCAGCATAGAAGATATTTTTATATTGCAAAAATTTATACCCTCTTCTTAGACACCTGATACCAAATTCAAGCGATTATCGTTTCTACCACCTTTATTGAAGCAAGTAGTTTATCGCCTTTAAGAGTGGACTTTTGATATCATCTAACTTTACTACGTACTCCCTTTTCCAAGAATCCTAAATCCCTAACCACTCTAAAATCGTCCGCCAGTCCTGGAAGCATAACAGCCGTCGTGGCGAAGGCGTGGCTGAAAGCCTATTACTAACAACAAGCTCAAATGATTAATGCTTCTACTTCCGATTATTGAAGCAAGCGATTATCGCCTTTAAGGCAGAAAATGGACTTTAGATATGACCCAACATTGCTAAGTGTCTGTGTTTCTTAACTACCCCCAGTCCTGGAAGTATACCAGTTCGCGCGCGACGCCGCCGTGGCGGAAGCATGGCTGATCGCGCAGGAGCCGTACCTCATGTCCCAGGAGTTGGGTCATACCATCGACGAGGTGGAGAGCCTTATAAAGAAACACGAAGCTTTCGAAAAGTCCGCTGCCGCACAAGAGGATAGGTTCAGCGCGCTGCAAAGACTGACGACGGTATGTGATTTGATTAATATTGTTCTGAGGCCCGATTTGACAGCTCCGTATTGGTATCCTCATCGTCAAATTGTTTGTGGTGAAAGATAGTTCGTTCTATACTCTATTCAACTTCCTCCGAGACAAAAGGTTAATAAATAAACCAATTTTTCTAGAACTTTTTCATTGAGGATAAAAAAGTTAATTACAAAAGTTCACTTTTCAATGTAAATTTGCTTAATCTCAGTACTCTTCAATTTAGCAGTATTATAAAGCGTTCATAGCTTGGGAATACTTTAAGGTCTCATTAATGTCACTTTTTTAAATTATTATTTTATATACATATGAAATTCGACCTATTTTTTAAAAAAAATGGTTAGTTTACCTTTTGTCTCAGAGTAACTTGAATAGATACTCTATTAGATAGGAGTTAAGTTTTTGTTTAGTTTCGTCTGCTGCTTAGTTTTCATAGCAACTTTAACGATGCAATGCTATGAAGGAGCTGATTTATGTTAATGTCGAGTTACAGAGTTTATGTAGAACCTAGAAGGTGCCTGGATCTAATAAGTTTTTTTATTCTGCTCTCTTTTGTTTGATATTCTGTACAGTTCTTATAATGTCTTTTTTTGTATTTGCCTGTATTGTACAGTTTTATGGTGGCTATGTTAAATGATTGTGTATTAAGTTGTATATCCACTAAGTAAATATTAACTTACTTTGTGCTGTCGATATTTACCCCGTTATTAATAAACGAGGAACAAGCTCAGACTAGTTACGCCGTGTTTTGCTCATATCACTCAAATGCCATTTGTTATTCGATGAACAGAGACAAAACATGGTGTAAGTAATCCAAGCTTATTCTTCGTTTAGTAATAAAGGGGTTAGAGTCAATTGCACTTGCTTGTTTCAGCAAGTGTATTTGGTTTAGTATACTTAAATTTTAAATAACTTTTCTAGCTGACTGCATAAATAAAGTAAATCTTTATTTGGTGGACTTGTATATCATGAATTGTTGGTTGTGTAATACGGACGTGGATCCACCCTCATTTACCAATGGGTTTGCCGAAAATTGACAGTGTATGGAGTGCATTGTAAAAAATACATTATCCTTGTATAAATTAAAGCTTGGCACGGTGTTGGTTTTATATTAATTGTAGAGTAGTAATTCTCACACTGTCACTTCCATACTGCACTATCTTTTGTGTTATTTCTCATCTTTAACTCGCATAATGATTTTCTTTTGGTTTTTCTTTCCCATAACTAGCTTGAACTTCGTGCAGCAACTCTGTGGCCCCCCACACGGCCATGGGATAAGTGTGACGAAAGCACCTTCACTTTCCATCCTCCGCCCCATAGACCTAAACCCATTGTAATACAAACTGTTATGAAGACCCAAAAATCCCCAAGGGAAGTCGTAAAGGAAATAATTTTGAGCAGCGACCACTACAAATTGCCAGAAAAGTACAAACGCAGTATCACATTGGACTATTCTGAATGTAAAAAAAACGAGTCTGCCCTTTGGACGTTAGTTAATAACAATAGTTTGTCTACTATATCGGAGACAAGCAGCGTCCTTCAGTCCCCCGCATCCGAAATGAGTAGTCCTCCTCAATCGCCTTTGTACTCGCCCATGTCCCCCGAGATATACAGTCCAGTATTCTTCGAATACACAAATAAGGTTGAGAGCTCCAACGATTCATTAGCGTGTATAAATTTTATACTGTGGGAGAGACTATCGTATTATAACGTGTTTCCTAACGTATGCCTACTCACGCGTAAAAGTGATAGTTCTTCTAGATCTGGCAGTATTAAAAGGATCATGAATAAATTGAAAAGGAGAAGTAAGTCTACTGATAGTGACACTAAGAGTGAAGTTGCTGTGCTCTCCATGCCAGCTTTGACGGGTAGCACGAATACAATAAACGATTTAGGCAAAGAAGTGAAGACCATTCCCTTGAACTCCTCCTTACTTTTGCTATCCCAAACCCGATCTCTCCTGGGGCAGAATGGTGCATGGTATTTTAACTATTTGGATGGTGTAAGTGTAGTGTTTCTGTTGGGAATGCGCTTTGCATGATACTTTGCCTTTATGTAGCCACTTATCAGGTTAAAATAGAAGTTTTTTTTATATAATTTTAAAAGGAGAAAGGATTTCTGATACAGTAGTGTGTGATGTGGTAAAAACTGCAGATGTCAAGGGGGACTTTGAGCCTCTTATACCCTATTAATTGATCTTGGATTACATGGTTTGCAATATCTATGTACTTGAATATACTGATTTAATAGTAGATCAATTTACCGGAACACACTTTTTTAGTAAACAACATCATGTATACATCATCAAACGTCAATAAATAAATAAAGTTTCGTGCATTAACCCGTAAAAAACTAGTTTTATACAACATCATTTAAAAAACACTACGACGTCCTTGTCTAGTTACACTAGTCATTTATTTATTTATTTTGTCTCTATTAACTAGGCTTCGCTTGCATTATGTTTCGAAAATATTATCTATGTACAGTTAGGAACACATCAAGTTCCCCCAAACTATCAGTTTTTTTAATTGATAGTGAATCTAGTGGTAAACAAGGTAAAACTTAAAGTCGGAGTAATTATACCATTTTGGATGACTTCATCAGTGGCTATATGTACACACTTAACAGTTTTCTGTTTTTTTTTGCATGTAATTGTTTTCCAGAAACACTTATTTATAAATAATATAGTTTAAAAATATTAAAATAACTTCCTAATGCTAAAGATTGCCTACACTAATATTATGTTAATAAATAAATAATTTTTTTGGATGACTTCATCTCACACAAATGATATCCACATAGTATATAAGGCTCAAGATCGAAGAATGCTGTATTCCGACTGTGCTCCGATTACTGATTTCCGTTCAGCCTGGCAGTGTCTTTGCAGTCGTGCTGTATTCTATCTTCATCAAAAGTGCAATTTGTTAGTTGGAAACGGAATGTTGTCTTTCTATCTAGAGACTTATGCCGTCACTTCACATGGCTATTCTTTTCGTACTTGCTATTTGTAAACTTGACAAGTTTCCTTTTCCTTCCCTAAAGAGCGTGAAAAGGACCTACTGATGTTGATTCTGGCATAATTCTATAACTTAAAAATAAATTTCCTCTCTTCCCATTCTCCCCTTTTCATGCTGTATATAGAATGACAGGGATACACTGTTTTTAAATTAAATTTAGGTTTAGAGAATTATGCCAGAATTGACTTCATTGAAGTCAAATACAAATAGCAAACATGGATATCCACGTGCGGTGCTAGCTAGCGTCACGTATGAAATGATGAGTATGTATGTAACCAGCTCTTTTATCACAGTTCGAAGTGAAAGAGATGAAACGTCGCCAAGAGGCAGCCGAGGCGGCGGAAAGGGAACGACTGGAGCGGGAAGCGGCAGAAGCTGCGGCCGCGGCTCAAGACGCCGTCGATCGCGCCGCGGAGCCAGAGCCACAACCTCAGGGTGAGAATTACATACACAGCAAATACTGCAAACGTTACAATGTCATTCAAACTTGACGGCGGCTGTGGAATTAGCGTAAGGTGCGGTGCAGTTAACGAAATGTAAGACTATGATGATATCACTGATCTAAGAATAGTTCCGTTTGCTGCTAAGTTCACTAGTGAACGAAATGTAGGCGCGCGGAGCAACTCACTGAACTGCAAGCTGTGCATAGTTGCGCTCGCTGCTAACTTTACAACCAGTAAACGGAATATAGGATGATGTATGCGTGTCAATGATATTAAAAACCCTAGATATAACAATATGAACAAAATTGTTGCTGAAACCTGTCCAAAAGGTACATTGGACGATCCACGGAGCTCCGTTTGATGATCTCGTAGTCAAAAACAATATAAGACATTATTTAAACGTTTAAAGTCACCTTAAGTGCATACTGTATAAGATCTTAAATAAAACCCATGCGTCAAAGAGTTATGACAGTTCGAAATGCAAGCTCGTAATTTTTTCCATTTATAGCTATATGCGAAAGAATATCTTATTTCTTTGATTCTACGCGCAATTCTAAATGTGCAGTTAGCAATATAGCAGGTAAGGACCGCGAGGAGAAGGGACGGCAATATAACAGACCATGCATTTGAATATCACAAATAGTTTGTATTAAATCAGCAAATATTAAGTATGTATGACAACAAAATCTGCTTCAAATTAAAAAACTTTGATTAGATACCTGATACCTGTCGTAAAAACGACACTTTACGTACTATAACTATTTTTTTTTCAAAAATTTTCACGGAGTTTTCTGGCATCTTGACTTTAACGATCCGCGCGTGATTTTAAACCAAGAAGTGCTTGAGTTTAGTTCAAGCAATTCTTGATTGGGACACATTTTGAGTGCACGTGTGAGTATCTAGGGTATTTAATATTGATTATGCGTGCGCGGGAAGTCATTGTACTGAAATTTTCGCATTGTTGAGCTCGCTGCTAACTTCACAACCGCCATATAGTTTGTATGGCACTATACCACACACACAACACATTGGATAGAACTGTCTTACTGTGGTTAGTATAACGCGTAATAAAATTTTTGCGGAATAATTATTGAGGTTCTTATTTAGCTTGTTATTGTGATCAATAAACTGTTTTGTAGTGTACACCGTGCCTATTATGATTGATTTGAATTTAGAGTATAACTTTATTAATACTCGCTTTATGACATTTAAGACGTTTTTATCACAACACTCACTTCATTAAATACGAACTTATAATAGTTTTAGCAAAAGATTTCCGATTACGTTAATGTTCAGACTTGTCTCAGTAACCTTTAACACATCATGGTATTTATGACAGTGAATTACTGGCCTAGTAGTTAAAGATCGGACATCTTTGAGAATGAATCATAACTTCTAACTTTTGATTAAATAATATAAAAGATTGATAATTGAAGGTTATTGTAAACTATACTATTATGTTCAAAATGCCTTGCCATATGAATCAGTATTTTCGTTATTCTATTTAAAGTATTTAAACCATCAATTATCGTTATTTTATTAATAAACGTAAATATAATTGATTGAAAGTAAACATAGAAATAAGGTAATATTGTCGGAAGAAGTGTAGATTGTAAACGAAAGTATTGCTCATTTGTTTGCAAAAACCAGGTTACCCATTAATATTTTGATGACTACACAATTTATAAAAACATGTGAAGTTCCTTTTAATCATCGTTATTTAGATTAATATCAAGCCAAAAACACAGTTAAATATATTTCTCTCTAAATTAACCTCACCTACAAATCACGGATCGCAATGTAAGCACGCATGTGTACTGTCTTCTAGCACTGTCAATGAAATTAATTTCTCAGAAACAAAACGAATCTCCACTAACTTTCACCAATTAACTGGTGAATGCTGCTTGCATATTGCAATAACACTATGTTAAGAGTAATAGGTAAAGAAAAACTGTTTTAAATATATTTTTTAATATTTCAAGCACGGTTCGCTCGCACAGCGATAGAGCCTAAAAGGCTTACGGCATAGCTTGCCGCTTTTCGTGTCAATTTTATACAATGCTCTATTTTTGTCGCTTACTCAGTCGGCCAATGAAAATTGTATTTTCTAAATAATCAAAATAAGTCTTATTGTTGTGTAAACTTCATTCGCCGACCGAGTGTTGCGTGTGTGACAAAAATGTCTGTTACTTACCGATGTATTGTCCACACATGCACACGCGTAGTCGTAAGGAGAACATCCACTAAAGCGGCTGAGAAGGCCCAAGAACGACCGCATTCCCAGCCAGGTAAAACAGAGCGCTTATTATAAACCTACCTATGTAAAGATAGCCCAGCTACGAGCATGAGCTTTCATGGTAGTTAACATTTAATGGGTGTCTTCTTAAAGTGGTCGGATTACACTGCGCTCGATATTAGTTTATCACACTTTCCAGGGTTAGATTTGTTGATAATTTTTATAGTATTATTATGTTGTAGCTTTTGTGTCAACACGGATTATGACGTTTTCACTGTGTTTATTTTGTTAGGCTACTTTGCGTAACAGTAGTAAAATATTATTATATTTATATTAAAGAGCACAATTTCCTTTGATGCACGATTTCAATGTGTTTGTCGATTCACTATTTTATTTCGTTCAGGTGATTGTTTTCTTTCTGCCTATCGTCATCTTTATATTGAAGTCGATAATCATCTTGTAAAAAATCTTTGCTGTCTTTCATGTACAGACTTCAGCATATTAGGCTGATCAAAACTGACAACTTCATTTCATTCGATTTTAAACTTCGATGTAGTTCAAAATCGATTGAAGTAAATTGACAGTTTGTGGTCACCTGATTCGCTGTTGTTATCAATGCAGGGTAGTTTTTAAAATAGTAATAATCTTTTAATCTCCTAGTTTATTAATCAAACAACATTTAAAGTCATTCACATTTTTCAAATAATGACGAAGCGTTTAAAAAACTGCCAACAAAAGATCAGAATTCTATTAAATATGTGGAGTTAGAAGTCTGTTGCTATTTTAAAAATCACCCTAAAAGTTTTCTTTTACAACAACATTTCCAATCATTTTATTGTAATTCATCTTCAAATATTATTTTATATTTTCATATAAGAATTTAGCATTCTGTCATACTAATCGATCACGGTGATGGTTTGATACTCTATCTCATTTTGACAGTCACTCTACTATGTACACGCTATTATTTATGTAAAGTGTTTCGTCCTTATTAAATTAATGAAGCGCCTGCAGTAAAGGTAGGTATTATCTCACCAATATTCTTGTACTATACGCTTTTATATTGTATCCTATTGCTCTATATTTTGTATCAGTATTAGCACGACGCTGTTAAATAGCTTGTTTCTTAACATATTGAACTATTCGAAAATTCTTTATAGATGATGCTTGCTTTATGGATTTGGGAGTTTCTTAAAAAATATACACTATTGTTAATTACATTTATGACATAATAGCTTTTTAGGTTTATCTTTTTTAAAGCTTACGAACTGAATATAATTCTTTAATATTTGTTGTTAATTTGTGGATTAACTTTTAAAAATAAATCAAATTAACTCAAATCCTCACATTCATTAAATTTTTGTTAACCTGAGAGACTAAACATTGAAATTCGTCTTCCGTAGGAATGGTATCACTTTTAATAGTGGTCGTGTAGCATGATCCGTTGTTACAAAGAAATCTTATTAATTGATTATACTGATTTTGCATATTTCGTTACAACTTTATATATAAAAAACAAAAGTAATTTAATTACAGTAACAAAATATGCAAGACAGTAGTGGCATGTAGTGGTATAATAACGTAGCATGTAGCACGTAGTGTGTAGAGTAACTAGCACGTAGTATACGCATGCAGAGGCCTCCCCTACTCCCGCGGTCGCCACGCCGCCTCCGAAGCCCCCGAAGGCCACAAGCACTGCGGCTACGACTCCCCCCAGTGCTACGATACCTCCCAGTGCTACAACCTCCCCCGCGTCATCCTCTAAGCAGACTCCGGCCAAACCCGCACGCCTCTCTAGTAAGTATATTATGCACAGTATGTAGCCCCTGGTATGTATAACACAGAAGATTTGCTTTGAATCGTGATTTAACTGTATGAACTACATACTAACGATTCCAAGCAGGCTTCTTAACTAAATCTGTTTAACAGTAACGGTGAGGTAACTGTTGTTAGCGTCTTGTAGTGTAGTGAAGTGTCGATTGTTAAACGTTTAGGTATGCATGTGTTACTCTCCTTTATTATTAACATCTGTGTTTTTGTTATTGACGCCTTTGTTCAGTGTTTTTTAAATAATTTGATTATACCAAACATAAATATTAGCATGTTCGTTAGCTTTTGTTATTTGCTGCAACGCAAATTTCTTTTTTTATGTTGCTTTCATTAGTTGTTTTTTTTTTGTTTTCTCCCTGCGTCATTCCCTACCCTTTAACGTACTTTATAATATTAAATTCAATTGATTTCTATTTATGTCACATCCGATCCTCGAATCCTTCATAATTTTCACATATTTATTACTTTTTTTTCACTATTATTGTATATATTTGTCCGTACTACCCCGCTTTAAAATATGTTGCACGTATCCCCGTCCCCTACGACCTGTCCCGATGTCACGCGTGTAGCGCCCGGATCGAGTTCCACGCCGGCCACGCCTTCGAGCTCCGGTAAGGTGAAGTCGCGATCGCGCAGCAAGTCACCCTTCCGAAGCTTCCGATGGAAAACTGCAAAGAAACTGTTGGCTGGCTCACATCATAGCGACGACGAAGGTAAACGTGGTAGAAGATATTTGGTTGTGATCAGAGAAAAGTATTCCTTATTTCCAAAAAATAATGTCCTATTAAAAGTTTCTTCAGACATAAAATGTAGGAATTTACGTATTATAAGAAAAATAATGACATTAAAGTCATCAAAACCTCACAAGATCGGTTAAAAATGCAGAGAAATCCAATTTTAAAATTAATTTATACATTTCGTTTTGGTTAAGTAATCCGAAAGTTAAGGGCAAGTTTTAATTCACGAGTATATATGCGATATACATGCTTATAGTTTTACAGAAAACATTGTCTTTTGAGTACACAATCTAAACTGTAACAAAACTAATACGAATAAATTATTCAATTGTTTACTAGAATGGAAGATAAAATCTTCTAATCTCCAAATATCTTCTTCCATCATTAAAAAGTAAGGTTGGTTCAATGAATGTTTGCATATTTTTATAACATTCGATGTACCAACCTGACAGTCACTGTCTGTGGAATTGAGCGTTGTTTTTTTGCGCATGTGACAGAGTTTTGTATGTGTGTGATTTTTTTATTTACAATAAATGCCGTTTAGACCTAGTGGCTTTACTTATTATATACAATGCAGATAAGATGACCACTGTATCAAACCTATCACTAGTGACAATGATTTAAAGAGTATTTTTTAGTTTCTAAATATTCTAGTGCTATTTTAGGCATGTTATTAGATATTAAGTAAATGTAATTAAAAAAAAAGTGATTAATAACACATTTTATCGCAGATACTTTTTTTTATCAATACCGTAGCTTTGTCATGCGGATTTGTTTACAATTCATTCATCGTAACTGCCTAGATAAGCGACTCCAGCGGTTCAAGAGCTTTACAATGTTCATTACTATGCATAGTATTAAGTTTCATGTAAAGAATACCGGATAGGTCGTTTTGGGATGGTGATTCGCGCGTGCTGTACTCAACGTGCCAAATGGGAAACAAAACAAACAAAAAACATAATGGAAGACAAATCCGTATTACAAAAGAAAGTTCTATTAATCTGGTAAAAAACGTGTTAACTACTAAATTTAAAATGAGGGTGTTTTCTAACGATTGTTTTATGCACAGAGGGTGCTAGCCCCGCCGGGGAGGACGAGGGTGTAGAGGGCACATTGGTGCGCAAACACGAGTGGGAGTCCGCAGCTAAGCGAGCTTCCAATAGGTAAATATAATTCATATTTATATAGCCTTATAACAGGATCTAAATTTACAGGGGCAAAATGTGCTCACAGATTGTATGACACCTGGACAGGTCTTCTGCAGGTTGCTAAAAACACCTTATGACTATTTGAGTAATTTAAATAATTTTATTCGGCGTTATTTGTTGTTATATGTAATTTATCATTAATAATTTAATGTCTGTTATATTCAACGTCTGACAGTTAACGATCAAGTGTTAAAAAGTGAAAACTATTCTAAAATAAACAGCTGGAGAAAAGCTGTTTTAAAATACACGGAGTACCCCCACTAGAGTCCGCATCACGCAAATTTTGTTTGAAATCAAAATCGCCAAAGTCGGTAGCGTGCAGGGAGATCAGCCGCGTTGTGATTGGACACGTCAAGGTCAGATGATATACTCAGTGCAGCGAAGTGATGAGGGTAAGATCGATTTTAGAAAATATCGATATTTTCTATCGATAAATAAAGGACACTCGGCATTATGTGCCAAAGTTGTATACTTTTTTAATTTTTTTATCTGTGTTTCATAATTGGGTAACGTAGTCTGGCAATATTTGTCATCAGCAGCTAGCTGTCAATGTCAAATACGTAGGTTTGTCAATATAACCTCTATATGTAGCCGGGTCGTCAAGAGAAATAACGGATAAAAAGGCAATCACAGCAGAGAACATTCACAATCACAGTACGCGGGATAGGATGCGAAATGCGAATGATTTTTTTGTTTGTATTTTAGGATTGTCAAATTGACATTTGGTTTTTTATTTAGAAAAAGCAAAGGAATCATGGTTTTTACAGTCACTTGAGTAATATTTTCAAGTAAAATTCTGTCCCTTGAAGATTTAGGGTTTCCATATCAAAAAACATTAATCATTATATAACTTCTTTCCACGATTCACTAAAAATAAGGCAAAATTAGTTTTATGTAGCAAATAATTTTGGCTTCATTTTGAGACCAAATTCAACTGTATACAAGTTTAGCATTTTTTCTATGAAAAGTGCCGGATCTCCATTGTACAGAGGCCTAGTACTTTGGTGCGCTAGTGTAGCTATGCGCAAACATACTCTCTCCACTTTCTTCCAGCGTTCTAATTACATGACGCGACTAGTAACTACATACTAAATAAAATATAAGCAACACAAAAAACACGTAAAAAAATATCTAGATAGACAATAATATGCTGTTTACGACAACTTTTAAAACTTAAGGCGCCTTACTCATCGGCTCGGTACAGGTTCGTTTTGTTTGCGGGAGTGACTGTCATTGCGAGGCTCCGGGCGGCAGGTCTTTGCGACGTGAAAAGTATGTGATGCGAAAGTAGGTCTGGTTGTTTGGTTTAGGTATTTGTCATGTTTAAGGAAAAATGCTTAAATTATACAAATAAATCAAATTTGAATTTTAAAATATTTTACATTGAAAGATTCACAAAATTAACAAATACAGAGATGATAAATTTTAAAATTGATGTTTGCGGCTTTTCCTAAGACTAAAATCTTTAATTAAGGCACAGTAATCTAACGAATAAGCTACGTCATTTTCGATTGAAAGAATAGCGAGGGCTGAAAGCCGATCTTGTGTCATTGAAAAAATAGTATTTTTTTTTTATATTTTTAAAATTTGCTTGGGTTGTTGCGCGAGGCCCCTGTAGGAGCGAGGCCCCGGGCGATTGCCCTGTTCGCCACCCCCTAAGACCGCCACTGCTGTCGGTGGTAAAGTGACGAGAACATATGTAACTGTTTACAGTTGGAGTCCAATCTTTACGTTTAGTTGCACTTATCCAAAGTTCCTTCATCTTGGCACATTTTGGAAACCTATGAAATAAATAAAACACGTAATGTTACTGTATTTTGATTCTCGCATCAGTCTGTAAGAAATCACCTTAAATATCTCTTTAAAGATTTTACTCGTTGCTGTTCTCGTGAAAGGCACATGCGATATGCAGACTTAATGAATTTAATATTAATACGGTGACGTCCGTGGCTCTTGACTTAGCACACGCAAAATAACCTAAGTATAACCAAATTATTGATTTTGAAGGAACTTGGTAAATACTTATCAAATTTTATGCTAGCTACCACCCGCGACTTCATCCACGTTAACTTTAGTTTTTTGAAAATCCTAAAGAAACCTGACATTTTTCCGTTACAAAAAGTATTCTATACAACGATATTTTATACCCTAGATACGACAACATGTACAAAATCGTGGCCGAAACGTGACCAAAAGGTACATTTGACGATTCACAGAGGTCCGTAAGATGATCGCGTGGTCAAAAACAATGTAATGCATTATTTAAAAAAATGGGTGCGTGTACTTATGTAGCCGCGTGAGAAGTTATCCTTCTTTGGCATCGTTTAAAATTAGTTTTTAATTGCACGCAAATAATTAATTACAATAAATTAATAAAAAGTCTGGAAAAGGACGAAGTCAATAAAGTTCAGTTTTAATTTGAAAAAATAAATAAATATTCAAAATATTCAATTAAAATCGCTACTGAATATAATTTATTAGAACATATGTGATTTGCACTTGTATGAAACTCAAACACGTATTCCGAATATACAAACTAGAAACATGTGGATAAATATTATAAATATGAATACCTATAACTGTTACTTTATTACAAAAAATAAAGATGTGGTTTTTGGTTCTACTACACCAATGGTCAAGAGATGGCGCTGTAGTCTCCTGAATCGCTAAAGCGACCAACTTCATTATGTTAAAATTTTGTGTTACAGTGATGCGCGCGCATCTTAAAATTTCACTCTCATCATTTTTTCATAACGCGCCTAAAGAAGTATAACTTCAAAAAAAGTCACCTTTAATGCATACGGCATAAGCTCTTAATTAAAACGCATGCATCAAAGATTTATGGCAGTTCAAAATGCAAGTTCCTAAAATTTTACGACTTATTGTTATATGCGAAAGAAAATAGACCTTATTTTTTTTAACTTTTCGCGCTCAATTCTGAATGTGCTGTTAGCTATTATAGCAGGTACAGACCGCGAAGAAAAAAGACGGCTATAGGGCGACGTATAACCGACCATGCTTTTGAGTATCACAAATATGTTATATTAAATCAGTTTATAGTAAGTATTACAATAAAATTTGCTTCAAATGCGTTAAATTTATAATAATAATGTTTATTTGGCTCAAATTATATAAATAACTTATTGTATTACATAAAGATGACTATGTACCAAATTATAAAAACATTAATTAGATACCTGTCGAAAAAACAACACTTTACGTACTATTAGTATTTTTTTCGCATTTTTACGGAGCTCTGCGGCATTTTGACTTTTCATCGGTCCGCGCGTGAGTGTAAACCAAGAAGTGCTGGAATAAAGTTTAAGCACTTCTTGATTGGGACACATTTTGAGCGATCGTGGTCTATCTAGGGTATTTAATATCGTTAATTCCATGTCTTTATCTAGGTCATAAAGTATGCGCACTTAATTTTATATAGTACGATATGATTAAAAACTGTTGGTTGTATACTCATGATATCTGTTATTGTATACGATGAAATAAATAGTTTTTATTTATTTTTTCTATTTCCATAGCTGACAAACTTATCGATAAACTTACGGGTACAGACATGAGCTGCGTCAAGTCACTAGCAATACACGTGCCGGTGTGAGAGCGGAATAGCATATATGATGTAGCGCATGCGAGAAAGGGATAGTGTTAAAAGACATCAACGCGTTCACCAAAAAATAAATACAATTAAAAGCAATTTCATATAAGAGTATTTTTGTCTTTTTGTAATGCATTTAAACTTACCGGTGAAAAGTAATACCATCTTTTTGAAGACTGGAAGTTTTACTCCACTTTCCACATAATTTAATTGCACAGTACGGCATTTTTTCTAGTTTTTTAACGCAAAAACGAGAGAAGCACTTCTGCTAACGCTCGGCTTCGGAATGAAACGATGTATAGCGACGTCTGTGGGCGTGTCTCACGCATACGTAATATACTACTTAAGCTTGGCGTAAGCGCTTGCCCTTGTATGCGGACTCTAGTGGGGGTGCTCCATGTTAAAATATGACGAAAATCCTCTTTTTTGTCATTTATAAAACCTACCGACCTATTGCAGATCATGGGACAAGGTGTACGTGGTGGCAAAGGAAGGACGCATGGCCTTCTACAAGGACCAGAAGTCATACAAAGCTACTCCGGACCAACACTGGCGCGGGGAGGCGCCGCTGGACCTCAACGGCGCCGTCGTTGAAGTCGCCGCCAACTATACCAAGAAGAAACACGTGTTCCGGATCAGGTAGGCATTTCTTCATCTTATTATAGGTCTCGTTAAAAAAGATACAAGGACCAGAAGTCTTAACAAAGCTACCACGGACTAACAGTAAAAAAGTACTTATATGTATGTAATTAAGTCCCTATGCTAATGTAATTTCCGTTGGATATAGGTTGAGCAACGACGCCAAGTTCCTGCTTCCAGGGCACGATGATACGGAAATGCAGTGTTGGGTGGGTGTATCTGTGTCGTCATTAAGATTTGCTGAGAATCAAGTGACGGATCACTTTTTTATGCCCTTTTCCCCCGGTTTTTAGGTTGACCAAAGTCACCAAATCCCTGTTGGGTGTATTATAAGTTGAAATGGCAGTCTTTCTACATTGCTAATATTGTTACGGTGTGTCCTGGTGAGCAGCGGCGTCGAGTTTTTGCTGCAAGCGCACGACGACACAGAAATACGGTGGTAAGTGTATCTGTGTTGTCATTGAGAATTGCTAGGAAACTTGAGACGGATCCCTTTTTTATGCCCTTTTTCTCAGGTTATTTAACGAGGACACGGAAAGGCAGTGGTGGATTTATCTGTGTCGTCATTAAGATTTGCTAGGAAACTTGAGACGGATCCCTTTTTATGCCCTTTTTCCCAGGTTATTTAACGACGACACGGAAATGCAGTGGTGGATTTATCTGTGGCGTCATTAAGATTTGCTAGGAAACTTGAGACGGATCCCTTTTTATGCCCTTTTTCCCGGGTTATTAGGTTGACCAAAGGCACTAAATCCCCGTTGGTTGTATTATAGGTGAAAATGGCTCTCTTTCTATAATGCTACTCTTACTATGTTGTGTCTAGGTTGAGCAGCGGCGCCGAGTTTCTGCATCAAACGCACGACGACACAGAAAGGCAGTGATGGATTTATCTGTGTCGTCATTAAAATTTGCTAGGAATACGAATCATTTTTTATGCCCTTTTTCCCGGGTTATTAGGTTGACCAAAGGAACTAAATCCCCGTTGGTTGTATTATAGGTTGAATTGACACTCTTTCTACATTGATAATATTGCTATGTCGTGTCTAGGTTGAGCAGCGGCGCCGAGTTCCTGCTTCAAGCGCACGACGACACAGAAATGCAGTGGTGGCTGGAAGGTCTCCGCGCCCGCACCGCAGCGCCCGCTGCCCGTTCCCATACACTGCCTGCGCCGGCCAACGCCGAGCCCAAGCGCCGCTCCTTCTTCACGCTCAAGAAGAAGTCAGTCGCATCCCTCACCTTCCTATACTCACCGTAGTGCATGCCGGTATCCATGTGTGCTCATCGTAACATAACGCTTGTCGATTTAACTTTGCTTTCAGGACTATTCACGAGAAAATTTGTTCTAAAAACCAATTCAACTTGTCTTACAGTATCAACTTTTTTTCAAACTTTTTTAATTATGCCGCGTCAACGTCCCTGTAGCAAATATGGCGTTTTACAGGCAGGTGACGTCACACGGCTTTCATCAAACAGTACAAAGTAACATTACTTTGTACTTTTTTACTTTTTGATAAGAGCCGTGTGACGTCGCCTGCCGTCACTTCGACAGCATGTTTACAAGCCAATGTCGTCATTTTTAGTAAAATTATCTGTAAAAACAGTAAAAATCGCTGCAAATATTCATTCTAAATACAGATCCTTACTATTGGTATTTTTAATATTAATACAGTCAAATACCCTGTTATGATCAGATAGCTTGCAAAACAAGCCATTTGTGAAAAAAAATAAGTAGACTGCCAATCTTAGCTGATCACGTGTCAACAAATGCCAAACAATTTAAGTCGCATTTATATGATCCACCGACCCACACGATTTCGTGGAAAATATATAATTACGAAATCAATACATCTTTAACAGTAGAAAGCAATTGTTTTATCATTGCATTATAAATCTCTAATCTAATAATAATCTGATCGATTGGCTGAGATACAGCAAATAGTTTTTTTTTATATAATCAACTAGATATTTTTTAATGACTGAAATACCGATATTATTTTATTCTGCATGCAACATACATTATGTTACTGTTGTTAATTCTCCTTTTCACTGTAGTGCATGCTTACAATAAAATAGATTTTTGAACCTATATTATTATATCAACAGTATCAACCATATTGACTGCAATAAGTCGACATATTTTTATTTAGTAACATCTTTTTAAGAATCGAGTGAATGAATTTTGAGTAGGCTCAATAAATCCTAAATATAATTAGACTTACTAAAAATATCTATCAATTTAAATATTTGCTGAAATCATCAAGAGCATTCAAAGAACATAAGCTTTGCATGAACATTGTTGCTTACTCCATTATATTTGCTATTTGATGATATTACTTAGCCACATCTTAAAGCTTTTGTAGGCGTCTTCTACAAAAGCTTCTCAGGTCTACTTTGGACATGAAAAAGTTCTCAAAAAGGGATCATCATGATCAGCACCATAAACCTATTAACGCCCGCTCCCACGGCGTTTTACGATCAATACATCTAATTAGCAAAATGTCCAATTACCCTAAACGTCCAATTAGCAATACGTCTAAGTAGCAAATCATATTTGTAGCAATACGTCTAACTATTGAAAGGTCTATGTCTAAAAAAGTCTAATTAGCAAATCGTCTAAAAAAAGAGTACAGTCGTAAACATTTTTTGTTAGAAAAACACGTTATTATGAAAATATGTTTAATTATATTAGACCTAAGAATTTAACATCGTCTTGATATGTCCAACATTTTTCAAAAAGTTCATTGGACTATTTTTTTTCTGTTAGCATTCTCAGCTCCATTTTGTGTTTTATTGAATAATATATCAATTTTTGCCATTTGCTAATTAGACGATTTGCTAATTCTACGTTTAAGATAGTTGGAGATTTTGCTACTTAGACGTATTGATCTTAAAGCCCCACGGCTAGGGGTTCCTATGGATGGAATGGCCCTGCATGACCCACCACATGTACCCAGTGCGAATTCATGGCTAACGACGCCCGATGCGGTCGGGTCCTGTGGCTTAACGTGTCTACCGAAGCATGGAGGAGCTCAAGATAGTAAATTTGTTGGTCACCAATCCTATAGTGGTTCATTGCAAAAGTTGCTTAACGTCTACAAGCACTGACCGAACGTGCTAACCACTTGCGCCGTCGAGGTCCTCGACAAGATAAACGACAATAACATTTAAAAACATAATTATGTTGAGGAGTTGATACTTAGATTAAAACAAAAAGGGAAGGCACTTATGTTAATTAATATTTAATCGAGCGAGCGAGACAGAATTGCGTTTTCTTTTCTTTCTCTACAGACGGGTGTACTATATTGTTGTCTTTTTCTTGATAAAAAACGTCGAATCAGTTACTAACATTAATGGCAAACCGTGATTTTTGAGAAAAAACTGTTTTTCATAGTTTTACGAATGAAAAGTGTTGCATTTGTTATTTGATCTTTAACTATTTGTGTTCTTTATTAAAGCATCGAAGGTGTTGTTTTATCTTTATAACACAGAATATACTTAATATTGTTATGTTTAGTGTACATGCATCGTGATTGGATGTCAAATAGTGCCGAAATCGAATTGTCGTCATGTACCACAATTTGAGTGGATCACTTTTGAGCCGCGCGTGCCGTATCTTCCCTTTTTGTTTCTAATATAAGGTTGAATATTAATATTCTCGCGTTGTCCACAGCTAAACACAGTTCGCTGGAGCGACCCCACCGGTGGACTCTGATATTTCTCACGACGCTTGCCGCTGTAAGCTTTGCTAATGAAGAAATCAATGGCGGCACCCATCGACTGTCGAACATGATTCAAAGTTATTCGTTTACATTTTGTTGCGTACAAATACGTTATTTAAGACTGTATGGTTAATGAGTGTTCGATTCGCCTGTATTTATTGACCGGCCCGTTAACTGGGCATGTAATAGATTTATCTGCCGAGAATGTATGATTCCCTCATAATCCGAAAAGAATGTATAATTGTTGTAATATGAATAATAAAACGATTATTATAAATTAGATGAAAAAAATTACATTTAAAAGAAGAAAGTCTAAATGCGACGCTATTTATGAATAGATGATTTCTAAGTGTTTTAAATTCAGATTGAGAATATTATATATTTTAATTAATTATTTATAATATATACACATATATATTATAATGATATATATAAAAAAATAACATAGTGTAAAATAATTTTCGGTAAAATAGAAGTGTATGTCATTCGATTCAGCTACTATAAATAATTAAATTCAATTTTGAAGTTTTCACTAGACACTATATTTCGACCAAGCAAATATCAATCGACGGAATTTAAATATCGCATATTATGATATTTCTAACTACTGTAAGCTAAAGTAAGATGACGGAGTTTGACCGCATTTACATCCTCAATAGATGTTTTTTTTCCAGTGTTCGACATTTTTTATCAATGGACGGCTTTTGCTATATTGAAGCAATACTGTAAGCGTTCACAGATATAACGTAAGCTACGTAATAATTGTATTAGAGTTAATTTCCATTATTAAAGTGTCTTCTTTGGTCGCGCCGGTGTCGCCGTTTGATATCGCATTTAAATTAGTCGAAATTAACTTCTTATAGTGCTATTGTAAGAACGGTAGGTTTTAGCCTTATAGTACGGTACTTGAGTACCGCAATCGGCGACACCGAAGCGATTCGTTAAGTACCTAATCCAAGTTGTAAGTATGCTTCATCGCCTCGTAAGTGCTTCTACAAATAATGTGTCTTTATAAATTATAATTAATTAATTTTTAAATTATTTTACTGCCAATACTTCTCACAAAGTGTTAAATTTTTTCTAAGCGACTATAAATTCACGTGTTTCTATTAATTATTTAGTACCTACACACGTTTTTTTTATTTCTGTTACTATGTTGTATAGACGGAGTGTGCACGATGTGGCGCCACTTGACTGTGCTGAATCCGACAACGGCTTGTACTGCCACCTTGTTTCACATTATTGCATGTAAAACCTATATTTAAATATTTTATTTTAAAATTTTACTTTTTTTGATGAAAATATAATAATGATGTTTTCAAATAATATGACCTTGTTTTAATCGTATGGTTATTGTAAAGTTTGAGGCATAAATCACACTAATATTATAAAGGCGAAAGTTTGTGAGTGTGTATGTTTGTTACTTCTTCACGTCTAAACGACTCGAGCGATTTTAATAACATTTGGTATGGAGTAAGCAGACACCCTGGATTAACACATAGGCTACGTTTTACTGCGGGAAAATATCCCCTATAAACCGCGGATAACACCGCGGGGCACAGCTAGTTGATCTATATATTGAGCTTCCTCGACGATGCGGACAATCTTATGCATATCCAGTCTTGCAAAAGTCGAACTGGTATTATCTTTTATTTAATGCATTAACCTTACCTACCAATGTCGCCATTAGTTTTTGTTAGGAGTACATTTTAAAGCAGTCCAAAAATATGTTTTCATATAGGTTAGGAGGGCAGATGGCCGCTTAGCGGATGCGCGATATCTCTGTACCGCTGTAATTCCACAAAAACGATGAATTTGTGGTGACTTGGATTCTAAGAATGCTGACTTGATATATGCGGCGACGCGCGGTCCATGGTGACGCCAGCCAGTCGCACAAACATCCCGTCAGGTTCATTCTATAATTCACGCAAAGAATATTAGGAAATAGACAAAAAAAAATTCGGAGTCAGATTAAAGTTGAACTTTACATTTGGTCTTCAAATTCAAATCATTTATTATTCGGACAACATAGATTCATGTGTTAGTAGTATACAATACTTAATACTATGTTAGTAAATTATATTAAAGACATATATAACCCTATTTACAAAAATATTTATCAGTGGACAGCCCCCACGAGCCACTAAATGCCTCAACTCTACTGCGGCTACCACGAACCCGGAGCAATGAACCTGCTTTTTGCGCAAAAGAGCCGGGAAACACCTGCGCATCTGCGAACATTCCCGAAGCACTACGATATCGCGGCAGCTGCAGCAGTGCCCTGAAGGCATTATTGTATTGGACACGAAGGACATTATATGATTTTCGGGTAAATTTAACCCATAGGCTGCTCGAGTAGAAAGATGTACAAAAAGTGTTAAGAGTACAGTGTTAGAACATCGAGCAAAGCTACGGGCCAACATATTTACCCTCTTAGACAATACCCTTCCCTCCCTTTCAAGGTCAGTCAGGTCATCGTTTAAAGTATCTGTAACAAATGACCTAGATACATAAATTGCGTAACTCTACAGAAATCCATATAGTTTTACAGAGGGCACGGTTTCAGGTATCTTTCCGTGAACCTTAAAAGTCATATATATATTACACTTTTACTGGTATTATAAGATAAACCATGATTGGTTGAATAGGTTTCACAAATGTTCAAAAGCATCCTCAAAACACTGATCGAAGGAGCCAGCAACACCATATCATCCGCGTAACTGATATTATTTACGCATACACTCCTTACGTGACAGCCGACACGTGTACCGCTGAGCTCCTCAATCAGCGCGTTGATGTACAGATTAAATAATTTTGGTGAATTTCTTCCCCCTTGCCTAACCCCACATTCTAACCTGTACTCCTCCGAATGAACACCAGCCCATTGCACACAATTTGCCTGGTTCCCGTACCAGAACATAAACAAAGATATTACACGACGGTCTACACACGACACGCTATACCAGGTACAGGTACGTACCTGGGCGTTTTTCCCCGCCACCCACGACAACGGCTAACTAGAGCCGAGGTCGCCCTCTAGTTGAGCCGACCCCCTCAGGTTCGAGTGATCTGGAGGCTCCAGACGGAGAGGAGACTCCCCTCATCAGCGGTTCCAAGATACTGGAGATCATGTGGAGAAAGCCAGGTCTCCTGCAGAGCAATGATGTCCGCCGTCTTGCATAGCAGTCTTACTCCATCAATTGATCGCTTAAACGACTTACAGTTGAACGTAACTAATTGTGTGTTATATACCTAAATTATTGGAGTTTACTCCTTAAGAATCGATTTGCATATATACTTAAGGGGCCCGGTATGAGAAAAATGTGAGGAGTAAAATCTATCGATGAATGACATTAATGACCTCGTTACGTTTTTGTGCGCAACCTCATCTGCGCACCTTTCACTTTTAGCCATGGAAACGGATAAAAAACATTAAGTTGTCACAAATGTCAATAAAAATAGATAAAATCGGAGCAAAATTAATGAAAACAAATAAATAACAGAATATAGAAAAACGCCGGTAAGTGTCCAGCACTCTGGAATAGTGATTTTCAGTACAGATGGAATTATAATACATATTTAAAAAATGATGACTAGTGTACTGTGATATTTTTGAAATTGTGTGTTTCCAGAAATACATAATAAAATATATGATGAATATCGCTGATGTTAAATGATAAAATGTGTGACATGGAACCTATGATAGTCGAAACCATGGGACGATTCCTGAGGTATCTCTACTTGTAACCGACTTCTTCGGAGTTGATTTTGTTTTGTGTCTGTTCAAAGACAATCGTTTTTAGAGTGTAAACTCCGGTCGTGCATCCGAGCTGACACACACAATTTTTTTGTTGCTTGAGCTATCCATTAGTTGGTTTTATTATTTAGAACCTGAGCAGACTTTTGTCTGTCTATTTTATATCAAAAATGCACAAACCGTCTAAATAGTATACGATTAGGCCACATTGTACTGTCCAAAAATAAGTTCAATTTTTTTCGGGGCACAAATAGTTTATATGCACTGTGTCCTTCATCTCTTTTCATTGTAAGTTTTAAAAGGGACACGTTTTCCTGTGTTTTAGATTGTATGTACTGTATAATATCAGTATCTTTTTTGTCTTTATGCACATAAGAGATAAATAGCGGTATATACCGGTTGTACGTAAATGACGTTAAAGATTGTTTTGTAAATTCACACCATCTGCTCTATGCTGATGACACTAAAATTTTTAAAGTAATTACCTCTCTTAATGACTGTTGTGAGCTGCAAAATGATCTTAGTAGATTTCAAGATTACTGTTCAAGAAATCAGCTTTTCTTAAACACTGATAAATGCTATACTATTACATTTACCCCTAAGCATCATCCGATTGTTTGTGACTATAACTTCTTTGGAAGCACTATAAAAAGAGTCTCCTTCATACGTGACCTCGGTGTAACTCTGGACTCCAAACTTCACTTCAATACTCATATTGAGTATCACGTGCTTTTAAACAACTTGGTTTAATAAATCTTTTAGGGAAACCGTTCAAAAATACAAAAACTTTAATAACTTTATTTAACACTTACGTACGCAGTATTTTAGAGTTTGCTAGTGTGGTTTGGAGCCCACAGTATGCTGTTCACGTTGATCGCATCGAAAAAGTACAAAATAAGTTTTTAAAATTATTAAGCTATCGTGATGAACATATTTTAAACGATTACACTTGTGCCTCAAAATATAACATAACCCCATTACAAATTAGACGTACTTTTTTGGACACTATGGTATTATATAAAATAGTTAATTGCCGAATTGATTGCACTAATTTGTTAGATAAAATCCACCTTAAGGTTCCTCGTCCCTCCTCACGGTCTAAGAGTACATTTTATGTCCCGCCATATCGCACAAATTACACAAAAAACTCTTATTTGAGGCGATCACTTGATTTTAATAACAAAAACCTGACCAATATTGACATTTTTTCAAGTACTTATAATAATTACAGAAAACTGGTTCGCGAGATGTTGTACTAGTAGATTGTAAAGATTTTGAAACATTTTGTAAACAGTTACTAAGAAGTTTCTCATAGACTCAATTTGTTTAAACATAATATTAATTTAAGTTATGGTACTATAGGTCTAGTCATACATTATTTAATTTAAGCAAATATTACTGTTAGAGACCGTTTGTTACCTAAATCAATAAAATAAAAATAAAATAACGGATTCCGCCGCCTTGAATTTAATTGTCATTTTTTGCAGTCTCCTTGTTGCTAATAAAGCGGTTCTTTTGTTTATGTTTACTCTGAATTAAAGTCCAGCCTGCACTTTTCTGGTCAGCCTGGAGAAGTTTTTTAGACATATTCTCAGTGCCTTGTAAAGTCCCGAATACGATTACCTATGGAATTTGGCAAAACGACTAAGTATACAAGACCGGAGTCGAGTATTCGGGCGGTTTTCGTTTTGTTTACCCAACGCCGTCTTCCAACCCGTGTTCGAGTAAAAACAATGTAAATATTGCATCGGGTGCCCAAATTCGAGTAATGTCTCGAGCCTTAAGGGTGTTTCCCTTGTAAGTAGAGTGGCGCCATAGTGTAATAAAAAATAATAGAAAGATAACACATGGGATGCGGAGTAAAGGATGGTGGAGCGGGGATTAGGTTATTATTATGAGAGCGCTTGAATTAACGGAAGGCATTTTTGATGGAGGGTCAGAAATGAATTTATTTTTTCACTTTATGTCCTCACGTAGCTAAACGCTGTATAGGTATACCTCTTCAAGCATCCACCAAGCCCATGTATTTTTTCTTTATTTCTTTAGTGGAAATTACGATTGTGCACTATCTGAGAGCTGCCTATGATATAGGACCGCTGCTCAATAGAACTTATTCTAAGAGAACAAGCCAATCCAGTTTTTTTCGTGTAGCGTACCTAAATACCGGTAGGCCTGATGGGTTTGCAATAAAATTTAATATGGAAGCCCTTTAACGGTCTACCAGTGTAATATAATAATTCACAGACGCTTTTTATTTGATTTTGGATACCTTTAAACTATGGCTGACTATAACCTGCATACAAAATAAAAAAACCGTTACCGCCTGACCTCGATAGAAAATTTTTTGAACAAAACAATTATGTTATAATAAATCATTAATTAGTGCAATGACACTCGCTTTGCTTCTAATCTGATTAAAAAAGATTTATCTACTTATGTCCGGAAATTATAATGCAAAGTATTAATATTATTAGCAAAGTAAAATATATAAGTGTAAGTAATACCTAAGTAGAGATAGATAAAGAAATCATCGTCACTATCTATTCTTCAAATTAGATAAGTAATTTTGATACTGAAAATTATAAAATTGAAACGCTAATTAGTTTGCGCTTAGACATAATTAACATAGCTGAATATGCGACTGCTGGCCTTATTGTTGTTCGTAGTTGTGGGGTCCACCACAGCTTTGGTGGAGGTTGGCACTCCTAGAGGCTACCATGAGGAAGTGGGGATTTCTCTCGCGTCAAAAATAAAAGCATCGGAGGACGCAATAATAAGCAAACAAAGCAGAATCGTTGGTGGTGTCATCGCTCCTCTAAATAAACATCCTTTTTTGGTAAGTAGAAGTGATTTATCGTAATTGCCAATTGCCTAGAGACATTTTGCACAGATACCGTGAAAATACACTTTTTAATAAAAAAAAAACTTACTGTACTTATTTGCATCAAAATGCGACCTAGACAACCTGAGATCAACCCAATCAGAATGCTGGATTGAAATAACATAATTATTTACTTTGTAGAGTCGGGACCATTATAACAATGAATCATGTGTGTAGCACAAAGACTAGATATACAGTGTAGCGTAGAAGTTCTAAATTCGTAGTGCTAAAGTCTCCCTGTCCCTATCCTAAACCAAACTTACAAAACTTACTTATTCATTGTACAACATTTAGCGAAATTTCAAAGACGAACAGACTGGACTTAGCACAGTAGGTAATAGGTATAACTCACAGGACCCATTCTATTGCAGAATCATTATTATCCGTGAGAGTTTGGGCCTAAGTGGGAAATCAATCTTCTCGTTTACTCTTTGTTAAAGGGGTAATTATTTTGAAGAAAATCAGTATTATTTGATTTCTATTTTCGAGATGATTATTGCAACATAGAACTTCATATTCTGTAATCTAGTCTTACTCAGACAATGAATAAGGTTCATTAGTAGAGTTCGATAAACCGTCTAGTAGGCATTGATGACAACTTTCCATAGCGAGCCTATGCATGTTTTGCCATAATTTTGTTAACAAAAAGACTTCGTACTTATTAATTTATCTCTGTCAGGCCGGGCTCCTGATCAATTTCTGGAATATAGCTGGTACTTCGGCGTGCGGAGCATCGCTCCTCACCCCTGATCGTCTGTTGACCGCCGCCCATTGCTGGTTCGACGGTGTCAACCAGGCGTCTCAGTTCACCGTGGTGCTGGGATCGCACTTCTTGTTCTCGGGTGGCCAACGCATACTCACCAGGCAGGTCGTTCCGCATCCTCAATGGACGCCCAGCCGTCTTGCCAACGATGTCGCCATGATCTATCTACCTGTCCAGGTCACGTTTACCTGTGAGTATCAAGCATGCTTAGTTCATTTTTCAATGACACTCTTTCACTTTAATTTGTATCTCACTCTCACATTTTGTAATCTCACTGTAGAACTACGATTTTCCGAATATTTGACATACCTATTTGTTAATATGATAACTGTCTTTTTTATGTTAAAAGAGTGGCAAGCATATTATAGCCTAGGCGGCCACCATTGCCTATGTAGACGCTTGCGACACAAAAAATATCACTCACGCCGTTGCCTACCCTGTGCCCTACCCCGTGGAAACTTACCGACAAAATCACAGCACCACCTCTAACTTTTCTTTTTACGTCTAACTTTATGTCTAATTTGGTGTTGAAACTTGACAGTGAAATTGCATAGGTATTACACACAGAATAGTATTTTTGTAGCAAGTGTCTTATTGTATGTTAGAAAATAATAAAGGTATAAGTAGATAAACACGGGCCAGTAATATATACCTGTATATAGGGCCGAGGTAGCATAATGGTTGGTGCATTCGCCCGGATAGCGAAGGGTTCCGTCTCGTCTGCTGCCTGGTCCGCGTGGATATTTTTGTAGTAAAATTTTCGTTAGATTTCAACATCTAGCAGTTAATTGTTTAAAAAATAAAAATATTATTATAAGTAATAACTATATTAAAGGGACAAACCGTGGGATAACTTAACTCAAATTAAGATTTATTAGTAAATAAGCGAAACTAATGTCAGATAAACGATATATGGAAAAGTATGCGATGTTGTTATCAATATTTTAATAATGATTTCTGTTTTTAAATCAGTGCGTAATCTTAATCTTTCACTTAAATAGATAAAAGTTATAATAATTACTCTAAGTTAATAATATTGAAAAGATGTTTGTAACTATAATTTTTCTGAAGATTGATAAAGTTAAAGGTAGGTACATAAAGTTTTTTATTTATTATTTCCAGCTAGCATCCAGCCAATTACCATACCCGACTGGCATGAATTGGGAGATCTCTTCGTTGGAAACTGGGCAACTGCTGCAGGTTACGGCCTTACCAGCGACCGTAAGTATAAATTATGTTTATTAAAAAAATATACTGTTTATTGTGCACCACAGTTGAAATTACAATAAATTTTAGAATACATACAGCGGCCTTATCGCTAAAACGCAATTTCGTCCAAGCAATCGGAAATGTTTTAAACTAACTGTTAAGCTACTAGACTACGAGAGCTAGTAGGCCTCGATACAATTTTATGATTTTATTGATGAATGATCGTCTAATTAATACGCTTGATAACGGCCTCAAAAATTATATTTCGTTTTTAGAAGTCGGTAATTTTTTTATTTGCTTTTACACTATTCTTAAGAATCATTGCATTTTAAATCTTGTACGATGACATGGACCATGATGATGGCATTTTAGAAAAAAAAACAATTTTGCAATTCAAAATAAGGTAGGTATAGATAGACCAGCATTCGTGTGTGTGTTAATCCGATTTCTAGCCGAAGCTGTGTCGATAGTTTTTCGAATTGTTCTGGTCGAAGTTTGGCCAAACGTGTCCGAAGCAAGACGCCATTTACAATAAGAAACTATTCTAATACTATAACTTTATGTGCGTTTTAGTCTTCGACATATTTTGGTATCGTTCGTAACATTGTGGCAATATAAAAAGGTGTTTTACCTTTTCAATAATATCTTTCTACCAATGTATGGAGGTTTTTATAATAAAAATAGTTACAGAAATACATATAAATAAATAAATATTTCCAACACTCACACCAATTAGCCTAGCCCCAAAGTAAGCACTTTAAGGCTTGTGTTATGGGATACTAGGGTAACGGATAGAATACATATACTGTACATATATAAGTATATTTATATAGAAATACATATTAAACATCCATTACTGGAGTACAAATGCTCGTGATCATCACACAAACATCTGCTCCCACCGGGATTCGAACCCGTGACCTCTCGAGTCGGCGACGCCATGAAACCCGGCGTACAAACCACTCGGCCACGGACGTCGTCATATGTACCGTTAGCAAGAGTAGTGTCTCAAATATAGGATATAAAATCTCTTGGTTTATTTAGAATGACATTCGCTTGTTTCGCAGAGCAAACCGGCGTATCCTCTCAAACATCCGTGAGTCAGGTGAACCTGCAGGTGATCACAGAAGCGCAGTGTCGTGCAGTGTACGGGGCTAACTTCATACTGCCCAGCACGTTGTGTACAAACGGAGCGGGCGGCGTGGGCGTCTGCCGCGGAGACTCCGGTGGACCGCTCTTCATCAACAGAGGCGGACGCAGAGTTTTGGTATGTGTATCACATATTTATCTCTTTTTATCATAACTCTTGCGAGGCTGCCAGCTGGGCAGAACATCAATGAATTGTCTTCCACGTCATGTCAGGTTCAGAGTATAGAATTTGAGATGTCAGGTAGAATATTGCGGGCTTAGCAGAAATTTCTTCTCGATCAATGGCTTCAATCCCCACCATAGGTAATGGTCTAATATTTTAATCAAAATAAAATATATCTATGATCAGGTAATAACTTAAAATCAACTCTTTTAAATGGTCAAAATTTTTTTCACTCGTTCGGAATTTCTTTCTGATGAGTGTAGCAATATATAAGTCCTACGTACCTATGTATAAGCCTGATTATTGAAACTAAAAATGCACATCCGTTACATACTGCATGACTGTTTTATTAAAATAAGTATTTATCAATTTCCAGATTGGTGTCAGTTCGTTCGTGGCCCAAAACGGGTGCCAGCTCGGTTACCCATCAGCCTTTGCTCGCGTTACCAGCTTCTACTCTTTCATCACGCAGCACATGTGGTAAAGCAACTTCTACATCCGAAAACTTTAACGATGATTGGAAGAATAAATATTTTATTTATCAAAATTTTGATTTTATTTACGATTTGTTGTTTGTACCTATCTACCAAACAGGCCTACAACTTGTCTAAGGTTAACCTATAAAAATATTAAGATTTTTGGTACCTACAGGCCTATAAATACAGGTCCTAAACCCAAGACATCATATACCTAAACAAATAATCACTAAGCTAACAGAAATGTTCAAAAGATAAATAAGGTATATGGAATAAGGGAATCCCCTTTCCCTGCTGCCTAGCAGAGCTTAATTTGTCTTCATTCTTCTTCATCAGCCCATTACTTTCTCCATTAAAGGGCATATGCCTTCCTTATGGATGGATTGGAGAGATTCCACGCGGGCCCAGTGCGGATTGGCGGGTGCTAACGACTGCGGATGCAGTCGGGACCAATGGCTTAACGTGCCTTCGTGCCTCCCTTAAACAAACACTCCTCGCATTTAATATTTATCTATGAGAACAGATATAAATATAAAAAATAAAATACACCTAAACTGCACTAAAAAGCTAACAAATAAAATGTCAAAATTGTGATGGGTGCTCTTCATTAGGTACCTACCTCTTTATAAGCACCTTAACTTGTCCACATATAAAAAAAAATACAAAACTTGGGAAACTAATTAATTATAGTATGTAGACCTGGGGGCCATTTGCCTAACGGAAATGTTTTGGAAAACGCTAACGCTTACGATTTTATTTGTTATTTCTAGCCGTCTGAGGTTTTGTAATGCCTCGCGCTCTTGTTTTTCTTTTGCATTGGTAATAACAATTTTAAAAAAAATGAGCGTAAGGTATTTGAAAACCTTCGACGGTCAGAAATAACCAAATAAAATCGAAAGCGGTAGCGTTTTCCAAAGCATTTCCGTTGGGCGAATGGCCCTCTGAGCTATGAACATGGCTAAATACCAAACAATGTGTAACAATCATTCTATTTTTAATCATTTAATCATTAAAATTTATCGTCGTAATTTGGTATAAGGTAATTGCGTCTAATAAAGGCCCGGTTTTTGGAAATCGAAATAAATCAATGTTTGGAAGTGTGATAATTAGTACGACGTCATGATCAACCAAACTGTTTTTATTTGAAAAGAAAACGTTGCACAAAAACAACACACGAATGACCATTTATTTACAAAAAAAGTTTTTTAAAAGCTTGTTTATGGTCCTTATTGTGTACTAAGGCTCGAATTAAGGTCCATGATTGAACTGCAAGATTTCAGACGTTGAGTATCAGAAAAAATAAATCTTTAGATAGCAACGGCTTTAAACTACTTTCAACTTCATGGCTTTCCAATATTAAAACGGTAATTCATATAATTTAGTATTGTGGCCCTTATAAAGTCATACGAAATATATATAAGTTGTAACTTATATATTTTCTAGCTATAAATGAAACAAATTGAAGGTTTGTGCAAATTTTTATTAATTTTACTAAAGACAATCACTAAAAGTTACTAATGAGTTATTTTTTCAGTCTTAATCTTTGGACCTTATTAGGTATAACACTTATTTAATCATAGTGTGGACCTTATTAAGTGTTTCTAACTGGTAACACGGCAACCACAGAACTTAAAGGTTCAGTGTGAATATACTTATCCTTATTAAATATATTTTCTATTCAGTAATCAAAATAAATGTATATAAATGCCACTTGCTAGGCCAGGCTGCTTATTTACACTCATATAAGTCATTTATGTAACTGATCATGCCTATTTTAAAATATCGTACCCCCAATAAGGGCCGGCCCTTATTTGTAGACAACAACTTGGACCTTCTTAGGCAATCACATGTGTCCTGAGAAAATGAAACAAAATTTAGATAAATAAGCAATAATTTTAGTAACTTGCCCCGTCAATCCACGTTCTGAAAGTATTTTAACATTACTATTGCAAAATTATTACATAACACCGAGTTTTATTACTGAAACAAAGCAAAATTGGATCAGAATATTTTATTCGTTCAGTCACGTCGACTGCACCTGAGGTTACATACAGAGCCACTGCCAAAATGGCCGGCGCGGAGGCAATGAACGTCGGTGCGCTTTTATTATTGGTTACTGGGGAGGCGCTGCGCAAATCAGTTTTGGTTTAAATATTAAGTGCGGGAAGTTTGAAAAGATGGACCTTATTTGGAACCGGCCCTTTTTAGGCGCACTTACCTTAGACCGATTGCATATTTGCGTGATCTTAATAAAAATATTACATTGGTCAAACATATATGAAACATTAATCGTAGTAGGCAGGTCGTAATAAATAATAAAATGAAAATAAATATTTCCAATACTCACAGCAATTAGCCTAGCCCCAATGTAGGCCCTATAAGGCTTGTGTTATGGGATACTAGGGTAACGGATAGAATACATATACAACATATACACAAAGCTTTTGTGGTTTTATGAAGACAGGAATTATGGTCTGATATTTAGAAATTCGAGCACCAAAAGGCTAAAGGGCGGCAAACTCGTACGTTTCATGATTTTCCGAAAATTAACTCTTTAAGGTTTATTTTAAATCTTCATTAAATGGTTTTAGCTGAGCGACAATCGGTGAATTCCGATTCACCTATGATTATGACCGACCAACACTAGGAAAAAAACATAAAATATATTGTTTTAATCTTTCATGGTCACTAACATTATAGTAATATAAGTTATTAACGGGATTGTTACCATGTACCTTGTTTTTAGCGAGTTTTCGGAAAGTCGCTAAAAACAAGGTACATGGTAACGGTTATAAGAGTAGCCGATAAAAATTCGCGCGGTATAAATACCTGTGATTTGATGCAAATTGAACGTGATACGATGCAGATTTTCTGTTGTGGTTTATTTTAGACGTTCGCCTCAGCCGGTAACCGCTTTGAAATTGTCATTTAAAATTTTGTGAAATCGTATGAAATTTTAATCGCAATGCAATACTAAGCTATCATTCCGTCCAGGGAATACCTATATACGCGAGACTACAAATCGCGCAATGAAATATAGCAGTGCGGACAAGCCCTAAGCGTACCTTGTTGACTACGGAAACCTAAAAACTAAGTCGCATTCCAACCACTGATCTTCATAGATCAGTGGTTGGAATGCGACTATTTTTATTACTTCCGTCAAAAAGTCATTATGTGTGTTTCAAATGTACCTTGATATTACTAGTATGGGTACCCGCGCGATTTCGTCTGGGTGGAAAAAATAGTTTCCCATAGAACTTTCACGCTCTTCCACAACCCCGAGATAAAAACTTTCTGGCGTCCTTTCCCGGGATTCAAACTATCTGTATACCTACCATATTTCAGCTAAATTAGTTTAGTGGTCAAAGCGTGAGAAAGAAACACATTTCGCTTTTACAATAAAATATTATTATGGATTTTAAAGTGTTCCTAATACATTATTATATCAAAAGAAAATTATACACTATTAGCTTTCTGCACTCTTTACCCATATAAACTATAATTACATAAAAATCTCTTACCTACTTCTCTGTGTGCAAAATGTATAAAGGGGGTAAGAAATGTTTTCCTTTACGTCGTCAGCGTCATGATGTTGGACAGAATAATTGATTTCAATTAATAAAGATTATACAGCCGATGACGGTCAACTTTTGTTTCTAATCTAAGTCAAAAAGATTTCTTGTACTCAACTAATTACTTTAAAAAAATACGCATTATAAACAACGATAAGTAATCACCTTTACAATCAGAGTTGGCGAAATCAATTTCTCGACCGATAAATTTTGATAAGGTCAATTATAAAATTGAAATGTTAATTAGGTAGCGTGAAATAATTAATGTATGCTAGCTATGCGGCTAATAGGTTTAGTGGTGTTCGTTTTGGTTGGTTCCACCACAGCTGTCGTGGAGGTCAGCACTCCTAGAGGCTACCACGAGGATGTTGGAATTCCGTTGGGGTTGAAGATCAAAGCTTCAGAAGACGCAATCCAACAGAACAGGATTGTCGGTGGAGCTATCGCGCCTCATCATGCTCACCCCTATTTGGTGAGTTATCTAGTTGATTATGAGCTAAAATATGACACCATAGTTTATTTTCCACGGTCTTCTTTCATGTTAGTAGATACAATCGTTTGACAGTAGTTTGACGACCTCCGTGGCCGAGTGGTTTGTACGCCGGGTTTCATGGTGTCGCCGACTCGAGAGGTCTCCTGGGTTGGAATCCCGGTGGGGGCAAATGTTTGTGTGATGAATACGAGCATTTGTACTCCAGTCATGGATGTTTTATATGTATTTCTACATAAATATACTTTTATATGTAAGTACTGTATATGTATTCTATCCGTTACCCTAGTATCCCATAATACAAGCCTTACGGTGCTTACTTTGGGTGGCTAATTGGTGTGAGTGTTGGAAATATTTATTTATTTATTATTATCGAGTCGAAAAATTACACTTTTCGATGCATATTGCCAGGCTTTCTACACGTGTAGCCTGTGGGTCAGATTCACGCAGAAGGCTTATAGCGCACTATGAGTCTAGTACAGTAATGCTCTCAGGGTGCTATGGTGTTGTAGTGCCTCAAGTATGTTCGCAGATGTGCGTGTTGGTAGACGATAAGAAAATGTGTTTCGCAGGAAGGATGGACGGAAGTTTATCGTTGTTGGAAGAATAGGCGAATGGAGAGTAGGGTAGAAGGACAGACTGACATCAAAAGCTAACCGCATACGAGTGTTTTGCTTCCACCGTTATGACATCAAAGAAAATCCCTGCTCAAGATTTTTTCACCGTTTGTTTCAGGCCGGTCTCCTGATCAATTTCTGGAACATAGCTGGTACCTCAGTATGTGGAGCATCTCTCGTATCCTCCAACCGTCTGGTGACCGCCGCGCATTGCTGGTTCGATGGAGTCAACCAGGCGTCTCAGTACACCGTAGTGCTGGGATCGCACTACCTCTTCTCGGGCGGACAGCGCATACTGACCTCGCAGGTCATCATGCACCCTCAATGGACACCCAGTCGTCTGGCTAACGATGTCGCCATGATCTATCTACCATTCCCGGCCACGTTGACCTGTACGTTCCTGCTTCCTTGTTTAGCTTTTACAATACAATACAAAACTCTTTATTGTTCACACAGAAAACATTGAACATTAAGTACAAAACCACACAAGTGATACAATGGGCGGCCCAAATACAAATACATACATATCTACTAGTACAGTTGTTGGAAAAACAAAGATATTTGAAAACAAAAGTACTACATGTCAGTACCCTTAGCACAAACCAATATCGAATTCGAATAGAGTACTGATTTTTGGTTCTCATTACCTCCGTTGTGGCGCTGTGAACAGCAGCGGAGAGCAGTGGAACTTCACAAGGTTTTTAAAAGCAAAAATAAATATATAGCTTTTCAGCGATGCGTCGGCACGATGATTTTGTGAAACGCAATCTTTCTGTCGTGCTAAAATTGTTGGAATACTTGACAATCGTTAAAAACTCATTACTCTCGCTACTCACATACTGCTGATTAATGATGGGCGTATGACGGCTAGAACAATTTCAGAATATACCTGCACTGCCTGCTGTTTAGTGTGAGAGAGAGTAAACGTCGGTTTGCATGTGAATCCACAATCCTCGTGGCAGTAGTTAACTAAAGAACTCATTAAGAAATTCCCAATCGCACTATACAGTGACAACCTAGTAGGGAGGCAGTAGCGATCTAGGGAGCTAGGAAGGTGAACTAAGTTACTTCTTTGCTGCCCTGCTGCAGGGTCAATCTAGGAAATTGCCCCCGCTGGCTAATTCATATAAGAACAAAGGAAAAAAATCAGGTCCAATCCAAAATGGCCCCTGCGGCAGGTGGGTGAGTGACCGGAATCTTCAAAAGTGACGAATTAAAATCCTTCTCTTTTTTGAAGTCAGTTAAAAAAACTGAGATTGCTGCCTTTTAACCGTATCTACCTACTGCGAATCGTGCCAGAATTAGGCCTATTAGGTTAATAAAATAAATTTATGACATAGGCATTGTTATCAATAAGTATAATATCATCTGTTTAGGTACATAATGAATTCAGTGATATCTATCACAATATAGATAAAGGTTATAAATTAATCTGATCGTAAAGTAGACTACTTGGTATGCTATTTCCTTCAATCTATATTTAATTCTTTGTTTGCAGCTAGCGTCCAGCCAATTGCCTTGCCCGACTGGAATGATTTGGGAAATCTCTTCGTTGGTAACTGGGCAACTGCTGCAGGTTATGGCCTTACAAGCGACCGTAAGTGTACCTACTCAATTATATTATTATTTGTTCTACGGGTGAGATGCTTATTGAAAAGAATAATGATTTCTTCTATTATTATATATTCTATATTACGAATAGTGACCATTTCAAGAAATGCAAGGAGCTATTTTTTTCGTGTTATAAGGGTGCCAAACAAGCATATGGCCCACCTGATGGTACGGCACCACCATAGCCTATAGACGCTTGCGATACAAAAGATATGACTCGCGCCATTGCCTACCCGACCCAATCTCTTACCCGATGGAGCCCTGGAACAGGACAAAAACAGAACACCATTAAAAAGTAGTGTTATTTTACTGTGCTCTTCGGTAAGGTGGAGGTTACTTCCCCAGGCGGGCACTCAAATTAATAATTGCGTCGAATTTCTTTTGTTTCCCAGACCAAACCGGCGTGACGTTGCAGACGAGCGTGAGCCAGGTGAACCTGCAGGTGATCACGGAGGCGCAGTGCCGCGCCGTGTTCGGGGCCCAGTTCGTGCTGCCCAGCACGCTGTGCACCAACGGCGCGGGCGGCGTGGGCGTCTGCCGCGGGGACTCGGGGGGACCGTTGTTCATCAATAGAAACGGACGCAGGGTTCTGGTATGTATCATGGTCATATAACAACACTTGCAGGTGATCACTGAGGCACAGTTCGTGCTGCCCAGAACGATGTGCACCAGCGGCGCGGGAGGCGTGGGCTTTTACCGCGGAGAATCGGGTGGACCGCTGTTCACCAACAAAGGCGGGCGCAGTGTTCTGATACGTATCATGGTGATATTACAACACCTGCAGGTGTTTACTGAAGCGCAGTGCCGCGTCGTGTTCGGGGAGCAGTTCGTGCTACCTAGTACGCTGTGCACTAACGGGACGGGAGGCTTGGGCATCTGCCGCAGCGACTTCGGTGGGCAGTTATAACATTGAAAATGTTTTTTCGTTCGCTCCAGTAGGCCCCCATTTTCGCTGAAAGTGCAACTCGCCCGTATACCCAGAGGGGCACGAGAACGTATGAGAGCTCAAAAGATGCGGTATATGTAGGCTCAAAAGATGCGGTATATTTAGGAAAAGTCAAAAACTTTTTTGGAAATCGAAAATCAAACCGACTTATTTTGACCGAAAAATCATGTTTTCATAGAAAAGACGCGGAATTCGAAGGGCTTTAAGATGATGTAAAAAATGTGCGGCTGGTTAGGCCCACAAGCCATGAGAAAGGTTACATTCTATGAGCCCTAAGGTAATCTGTTGTCGTCTGACAGAACGGTGGAGTTGATAAAGCTTAGAATGCTCAGCTTAGGCCGCGACGTGAGTTGGACGGACCGTGGGACTCCAGCTTGAACCAGGACCGACGCTCTCGGTGACTGCATGGTTCGGAGCACTGATAATTTTCTCGCGATTCAGCGCCTATTAGTTTTTTGCCACGAAACTTTCATTGTTGTGATCATTCGCAGCCTTGTCTGCGAGTAAGCTCGCCGGCGCCGGCGCGGGACTCGAACAAAACGCACCCGCACTCGTCGCTATCCGGGCGAATGGCCTGACCATTATGCTACCGCGGCTCTGGTGGCCGTGTCTAATTTTCTCCAGTATTACTTAGGCTCTTTGCATTGTAGGTAATTACTAGAGGAAATTCGACACGGCCTTCAGGGCCGCGGTATCATAATGGTCAGTGCAATCGCCCGGATAGCGATGGATTTTTTTCTGGTAAAATATCCTTTAGATTTAAAACATCTAGCAGTTAAATGCTTAAAAAGTAAATAACTTTCAAATGTTTAATACTTGTAAAGGTATCATTTGACATTGTGGGCTACCTACAACAGCCACGGGTGCGAGTGCGTTTTGTTAGGGTCCCGGCCGCATGATCCGCGTGGAATCTTTTCTAGTATTTTTTTTTTAGATTTAAACCCCATTATTATTATAGTATGGTATAAATAAATCAAAAACTTTCCAGATTGGTGTCAGTTCATTCGTAGCTAACATCGGCTGCGAACTAGGTTTCCCGTCAGCCTTCGCTCGGGTCACCAGCTTCCACTCCTTCCTCTTACAGCACATGTGACAAAGAAACTATTACTATAAAAAAAATCTTTAGGATTACCCTTAGATTAAATATATTTTTATCAAAAAGCTTGTTTAATTTTTTTAAAGTCACGTACTGTTATAAATAAGATATGTATGTAATATTGAAGATAGGGCTGCCAGACAGCTGACTAAGCAATATGGTCTCACGTCCGCGTCCAAGCCATCTTGGTTAGTCGGTCGCATCACAGCCCTACTCGCGAACGGTCATTTCTAACTGGATAAATAGTGTGTGAAAATAAAATCTCTTTTTTAAAAAAACATCCGAAGGATCCCGTATAACAGTACGTAGTTCTTAGAGCATCCAAGTTAGATAAGTTCCATTCCACCTGGGGTGTATTTTGAAATCTGGCGCCCCGGGCCATTTACGATTAGTTAATTTCTGCCTCCCTTGCATCAGTATAAGCTAGGCGGTAAGACAGACGGACGATTGCCAATCGCGATTCAACTACCAATTTGGTATACTCTGGCCCTTAACAGTCACGATGGCGGGTCACTAGTCGTATTCACCGTTGAAATTTTTTTTTATAGCGAGGTAGGCGAATGACTCTACCCCACCTGATGTTAAGTGGTGATAAAGTCCAAACGCGAAGATAGCTGGTACAGCAGTTATAAACTGCTATCATCATCAACCATCCTCACCTTGCCGGCCTGCAAAAATATTAAAAGATATCAGGTAGGATATATAATAAAACATTGTAGGAAGGAGGGAACACGTGCGCGGGCAAAGATATCCACTTACGAATGGTATGACAAAGGAGTCACCAAATTTCTTCGTTTGTGTAGGAATAGTGGCCACAGTAAGTCGGTGGCAAAGAAGGCCAGCGCGCGTGGTCCTCTGAAGAAAAGGTGATGGAGGGATAAGGGAGAATAACTCCTGTGAACACTCACCACATCGCGGCGTAATTGTAGAGACTCGAGTTTCATAGTTACCTCTTCATCGCCAATGATGCGGGCAGCCTTGCGCCGCTGCAACCTTTCCAAGGCATCGAGTAAGTACATAGCGGAGCCATCCCAGAGGTAAAATCTTCCACGCAGGACCGCACTTGCGTTTTGTACAACAAGCACAGTTGATCGGGCGTGAAAAAACGCCGCACCTTGTTCAGGACTCCGAGTTTGTGTGAAGCTGTTTTGATCACGGTTTCGATGTAGTCCTATGAAATTGTGACCAAGAATTGCTTCTCATTTGCTTCGATTTGCTTCCTATCATGAGCCCTTTGCTTCTTCAATATATATATAGAATAATCAAAAAATTTAGGGTGACCAGCAATCCTGACCGCCGCCAGTCTGGTAGTCCAGTCACCAACCGCAGAATACGAACTGTTTGCAATTACAGAAATATTGTTAAGCCAATAATTTGCTTACCATTTGCTTCCTTAAAACCCTAAAACGTTTAATTCTGTAACTATTATATTTATGGGGCGTTATATTTTAAAATATGGTCCCGATTCTGTAGTTTCCATTGTTTTGGACGCTGACTGAGGCACATGGAGAACTCATGTTGAGGCCACACCTCCACGAGCGAGAGAATCGTTCTTAGTTATGCGATGGTAAGGCGATGAGCGACAAAAACATTCTAATTGGGTACTAGTTGTAAATGAAACGGTTTTTATCTCCCTACGACAACGGCTAACTAGAGCCGAGGTCCGTGTCTCAGAGACGCTCCTTAGTTGAGCCGACCCCCTTTAGGTTTGAGTGGTCTAGAGGCTCCAGACGGAGAGGAGACTTTCCCCGCGGGGAGATGCCATCCGCCTGGAGTACCTCTAGAGGCACTCACCAATTCTCGACTTGAGGTCCCCTTAGGATCTCGCCGTCCCCAAACCCGGTGATGCTGTAAAGGTCATCTGCGAACAACAGCATACACACTCAAAAAAAACTGTTATTAAACCAAAATGATCTAAATCCGTAGTCTTGAACCCTTTTCATTGGATTTAACGGTTTTAAACAACGAATGTTAGATTAAACTTTTTGTCGATCGTTATTTACTTGATTACAATCCCTATATGTTTAGTAATTTATTATAAATATATTTTATATGATTTCCAAAGAATAAACAACAATTTCAACATTTTCGAATAATGTTTAATAGAAATACAAAAATATAAAGTGATAAAAGTACCTACTATTTGTTTTATTTATTTTTAAATATTAATACAATAATAATTGATTACCTAAAAGAATCTAAAATATAATGTCCTCTTTAACATTTAAAATTCTGCTATATTTAAGCCTTGTCTGTTAGTATGTGAGTTGGTCGGTTAGCATAACATGAACTTATTATTAAAGTAATAGGTTATAAATAAGAGATTACACAGAAAGTGGAGTGAGAAGAGGACCGCTTTCTGTGTTTTGTGGGAGATTTAATCAAGCTCAATTCCCGTGACGTCACTGATCCAGTCCAGGTACCTCTGTACCCTGGTAAATACGGAAGGGTACTCCAGATTGCATCCGCTCTCATCGACGAAAGAAGTTACTCCTATCTGAAAAATTATGAAGACACAAATGATGATTTAATATACGAGGACCTACATCGTAAAATTTTTGCTTAGGGTTTTAGAGGGTTCTGGATGGTAATAATGGGTTTGTATATGTCGTACGATGATTTGATAATTAGATTTTTTGCGAAAATCCTAGAGATTTTGCAAAAAAACGGATAATTAGACAGTGACGATGACATTGCTCAAGATCTAATAAAGACCTGTCTAATCAGCTTGTGTGCTAGTATTAATTAGTCCTAGAATTTCTGGGCCCGCGCACACTGTGCTACAAAAAAATGCAGCTATGTTTGAAAGAAGATTTTTATTTATTTTACTATTAAAATAAAATGAATAGGTAGGTATTATTTATGTTCGTAGCTACCTAAATATATTTACCAAGATAGTCTCCTCCGTGGCGCTCATGAAAATTGTCATCGGACCGCCATTATCGCCCTGAAATTAATATGATTGGCGTTGGTAAACAAGCTTTTGGTCACCTGATAATAATGTTCACCCCGTGGAGCTAAGAAACAATATTTACTGCAGAACCACAGCACAACGTAATAGTGTTTTATTTAGCTCAAGTGCAAAAGACTTTCGAAGGCGATATTCCCTCCACCTTAACAAAATGAAGGTGGAGGGAAATTCGCAGCCAGGGTGTAATCATCATCTTAAGCCTCTTAATATCGCTACCGCACACAGGCTTTCCTTATGGATGGAACATGGAGAATGATTCATTAGTGGCGCCGCACACCGGCCACACGCCACAGCCACAAAAGCCGCCACGAGAAGCCAGAAGCGGCTGGTAAAGTGGCTGAGGCGCGCGACAGGCAATTGTGGCCGGTGTTCGACACTTGCCGTCGGTGGATGCTACAGGTTAACTAAGGTAAGGGAGAGAGGGGCGGTGCGGGCCACAAGAAGCGAGCAACGACGATTTGTAGCGTGTGGCGGCCACCGGCGTACCGTGTGTGGCGAGTCCATATAAAATATATGAAAACAGCAAGAAATATGCCGGTGGCGGCGTTTTGTGATTGTGGTCGTGGTCGGTGGCCTGTGTGCGGCGACACTCACCACGCGAGCCAACTGCGGATTAGTCGGTACCGCCGGGACCAACGGCATTATAGTTTCTTCCGAAGCATGGTCTCAAGATAATATTTTTATGGAACACCCATCCCATGTTCGGCTATCGCGAAAGTTGCTTCACTTCCTCGATAGCTGACCAAATCCACTCAAGATGTAATAAGAAAGTATAATCTACATATACGCTACTTCTCTTCTACGATATGTAATTACCTTGCATGTTCCTGCAGTTGCGTTGTACCCACATATCGCGTTAGTTGGCAGCTGGTTGTGGTACAGATTGTTGCAGTGCGTGTTTGTTATTACCGACATTACATGCTCCCTAAGAGTAGGAGACACGAATGTCACGCCTGAAACAAAAGTCATAATCAACATTTTTTTTACCCATATTAAAATGGCGTTTTTCCCTAGTGCTAGAGCGCTCTGCACAAAATTAGAAAAAAATAGATCCATACTAATAATTACAAAATATGCAAGTGTGTCTGTCTGTTACCTCTTCACGCTTTTAACATACATAGGATAGTTTTCATCCCAGAAATCATCTTTTAGGGGGTTGGAAGGAGGGTGAAACTTTTTATGGGAAATTGATTGAAATACGCAGGCGAAGTTGCTGGCAGTCACTAGTGAGTCATATATTTTATGTCACGACACGGAGATTCAGTTGCTGTTGGTTTTGGGTGCCTAATTATATCCATATTTATGTACTAAGCAACTGCTAGATTTTTATAAGCTCATTAGACTAGAAAAAAGACTTTGTATGTATCAAATTAATAAGGTCTTGGACTTTACCTGGAGCTCCAATACCCCACCCGGAGGCTATAGATGCCTGACCTGCGAAGTTAGCGTTGACCTGACTCAGGTATGGCAGGCGAATTATGTTTATTGCGTCTGGAAAAGATTAATTCAAAAATAAATATCCTGTCACCATTTATTGAACGAACAGTAAGATGGAACGCAATATACCTATTACTTCTCAAGATAACTTTAATGAGTTACTCATATCTATACTAATATTAGTGTAGTATAGTATTATAAAGACTGTGCTAATAATAAAAAGCTGAAGAGTCTGTTTGATTGTTTTTTTGTTTGGTTGAACGCGCTAACCTTAGGAACAACTGGTCCGAATTAAAAAAATCTATTCTGTTGGATAGTGCATTATCGAGAAAGGGCTGTATAATATAAGGATACCAATAGGAGCGGAATACAAAAAAAATGTAATAAAATACAGAAAAACGTGCGTGAAAAAATTTGCGTGCGTTGCGAAAATGGCAAAAGTTACACAAAATCAGACAGTAAGACAGAGTTGTTCTTCTTTTAAAGTTCTATATAAAAACCGCGGTTACATATAATGTCTATCTTTTAAGGGTAACTAGGGTTGCCACCTTTTTTTTGGCCAAATAAAGTACATTTGATATTTAAGGTAAAAAAGGAAATTCCATTATGTCCAAAATAAAGTACTTTTTATTCCTCTTTATTAATAAGCTTAAAATATATTTTACGTTGCTCCTAGCAACTTTTAATAAATAATGTGTGGCTACTAAAAATCTGTATTTCTTTTCCGCAATGGGAAAGGTCATATTACAAGGCCACACAGCCACGAAAATGTTGCAGGAATTAGCTAAGGGCCTAATATTACCCTTGATACACCAACACCTTTAATGCATAAAGTATAAAGTCTCAATTAAAACGCATGCGTCAGAGAGTTATGACAGTTCGAAATGCAAGCTCGTAATATTAACGACGTATTGGTATACGCGGAAGAATATAGACCTTATTTGATTACACGCAATTCTAAATGTGCTGTTAGCAATATAGCAGGTACGGACCTCGAGGCAAAGAGATGGCTATATTACCGACCATGCATTCGAATATCACAAATATTTTCCATGAAATCAGTTTTTGATAAGTATTAGAACAAAATTTTCTTCAAATGCGTTGAATTGACAAACATTAATTAGATACCTGACGAAAAACGAGACTATACATACTATAAGTATTTTATTCACATTTTTTCACGGAGCTCTGCGGCAACTGACTTTTCAACGGTCGGCGCGTGACTGTGAACCAAGAAGTGCTTGAGTCGTGTTCAAGCACTTCTTGATTGGGACACATTTTGAGCGGACGTGGTGTATCTAATGTCGTTGGCTAAGGGCGACATATTCATACTGTCTGTCCGTTTTACGCAGAAATTCTTCCTATTAACCTCTTTTTGTATATTTTATGTAAAATTAATCCCCGAGTAATCAAATCACATTAAATAAAGTATTTTCGTGTACTTTATTGTTGGCATAAAGTATAGAGTACAATTACCCGGAATAACGTACAATACTTTATAATAAAGTACGGGTGGCAACCCTAAGGGTAACCCACTATAACTTTTTCCTCAAATTAATGCGGATGAAACCACACCTCTAATAATTTATATTGGAGTGAGAAGCATCTGGTCGTGAGCAAACTTTCGAAACAAGTACATATTAAAGGACAGAGTAATGTTGTTAATGAAGATTACCTGTGAGCTGTATAACGTTGGCGAGTTTGAGGAGCGCCAGATCATGAGCAAAAGTGTCTGAGTCGTAATCAGGGTGTACAACTATAGAGTCAACGTTCACGACCCGTCGACCGTTCTCATAGCGATCGTACAGCGAGTGTGCACCCAGTATAGCCTGTGGATGAAGGAATGATATTGTCGAGTAGGGCGAGTAACATCTATAGCAAGTAGGAGTATAGAAATATGTTCCAACAATAATTATAATCAAATAATGGATAATTCGAGGCTCTCTGTTATTAATTTATGTAAAATTTGTGAAAAGCTGAAAAACAGCGTTAGTCAGGTCCGGGCTTGACCAACATTGGCTGAGCCATTCCCTATTGCCTTGTTTTTAATGAAATATTATTTAAATATATGTTAGCATGTAAGAAAGACACAGATTATTATAACACCGTTAAGTACAGTCAGAGGCTATCCCGAAGAAAGTGTTAGGCTACCGGTTTTGCAATGTCATTTGTTCGGTGGTAGATGGAGATGATCAAAACGACCGGAACCCGGCAAGTGACACCTTTATGCAAAAATATGGCTAGAAATAAGCTATTAGCTATACAATTATTGTATAAAAGTTGCTAGTATGAAACTTAACCAAGAGCGGGTACTTTAAATCTGCTAAGAAAAACAGCTCTTTATTTATAGTGCAATTTCAAACTGTTGTGTAGCAACAAAATAAAACTAGATAGGAAGGAAGGAAAAAAATCAAAAGAACAGTATAGGAATATATATTTACAAGATAAAGTAGTATTTACAGATTATTTAAAAAAACATTATGGAATATGTGTGTAGTGTGGGTTGTGAAGTGGGCGTGGGTCGTCGGCGATCTTCAGGGGCGGCTTGAACGCTAGGTCGTGCAACAGGTAGATGGACGGCGCTCCTTGAAGGCAGAAGCGCTCCTGTGCAGCCGTCTTAGTTCTTGGGCTCCCCTGGTGGTTGCTGGCGACGCTGCTGGTAGATTGGCCGGCGTATATCGGCCAGAGGCGGGCGTTGAAGAAACGGCAGGAGTCGGTAGAAGGCGGGCTGAAGCAGCTGGAGGCTGGCCGAAGAAGCTGGAGTCCAGGCGCAGTCCCACCGATGAGGTTGCGAGAACGTGTATAGTAGTATAGTATTGGAGTTAGGAAGATGATTAAAGAGCCAATAGGTGCTAAAAAGCTTTGAGGTCTTTCTTGAGTCCCGGGGCAGTCGGCCCCGGGACAAGGCCTTTTATTAATTTAGAGCTCGGTAGCGAGCTTTTCAAAAGTTGAGTAGGCAACTTTTGCCGTAGAATTGAATGAATGATCAGGGAGGCTCGGCCTTTTATAGGTCCGGAACCATTTGTATTTAGACACGGTTCGAATCGAGCCAAAAAGAATCAAAGTAAGTGGTCTGTGGAGGTTGAATAGTCATAGACGTAGTTGGAGAGAGTATCCGTGTCATGGGTAGCCATGGCAACGGATAAAAAACATTAGGTTGTCATAAAATGTCAATAAAATAAATAAATTAAAAATAGATAAAATCAAAGCATAATTAGTGAAAACAAGTAAATAACAGAATAAAGAGAAATGCCGGTAAGTGTCCAGCACTCTGGAATAGTGATTTTCAGTACAGAAGAAATTATTATACGTATTTACAAAATGATGAATAGTGTGTGATATTTTTGAAATTATGTGTTTCCAGGAATAAATGATAAAATATATGATGATGCCTGATGAATATCGATGATGTTATATGATAAAATGTGCGAAATGGAACCTATGATAATCGAAACCATGAGTCGAAACCATATTAAGGTACGTTACAAAACTTAACGGCGGCCGTGTGTGGCCGCGCAGTAAACAAAAGGAAATGGTTCAAAAGTGGGAATCCGGAATTCCGGCAGCGATGAAGTATAATATCATCTGAAAGGTTATTTTATGTTATAAAAAATCTATTCATATTTGAACCATCTCCTTTAAATGCTTGTTTGTTTCACTGACCGAAGCCGCCTGCCCAATCACGTTAATTAAGGCTTCAATAACACTCTACCTGTACGTTATCCACTTGGATAGAGTCGTGGTAGCAGCAGTGGGCGGCGGTGATCACCCATTGTAGATGTATCAGGCTTCCCCCACAGAAGCCCAGCGGACCTGCCTCCACACGCGAATACAGCGCCACCTAACGATGCAATACATCCAAAACATAAGTACGATCAATATCACACTATGCATTATGGTCATTGCAATAGTCATGCCCATCTACTATTTTTTGATAAAAAAACAATGCAGTAGGTATAGACACTGCATGAGTCATTGGCAGCAACATTTTCAACCGAGGAAAAAAAATGAGGAGATTATCAGTTCGACACGTATATTTTTTTATGTACAAAATAGTCAGATTTTGATAATTCTTTTTTTATTATAAATGTAAAAATTTGGAAAAAATTGCCTAAGGGGCCTTCCCCTTCTAATGTATGACCACGTAATGTATAACTTCTAAATTAACTAGAATAAATTCCACGCGAACCAGGCAGCCCAGAACCCGCGCCCTTCGCTATCCGGGCGAATGCACTGACCATTATGCTACCGCAGCCCTGATGGAAGTGTTGAATTTTCTCAAGCCTTAGGCTGCAAGGAAGCGCCATCTCTTCGCATTGTAGGTGTCAAATGAATACTTTAACAAGTAATAAACATTTGAAAGGAGAAATAGCAATTATGTTGTTATATTACTTATTTTTTAAGCATTAAACTGCTATATGTTGAAATCTAAAGGGTTCGAGACCCGTCTGCAATGGTCATGGATTTTTTTCTAGCAAAATTTTCTTTAGATTTTATCTATTAAAAACATCTAGCACTTAAATGCTTAAAAAAGAGATAAAAAATTAACAGGCTTGTCAGATTTTGATGATTCTTTTTTTATTGAATTAGTCCAAGATTTTTAGATGTCCGCTCTGCATAAAATCCTTCTACGTTATTTTTCGATTGGATTATGTCGGAGGGTGCCCCCTAAGTATAAAACCGAGTTTCTGTCGCCCGAAACTGCGAGCGTTAGCCGCCATCTTTGAAACCGTTTTTTTGCATATATCTCGGAAACGGTAAGTTTTACGTTAAAAACCGAAGAGATCTTTTTTGTAGAGAACAAAATTTCCCATCTTTTTTATACCAAACTTTTCCCCCTATTGTTGATATTTTCCGATATATTGAAGTAAAAAAACCAAATTTTTTGTTTTTGTACAGTAACTCAATAATTTTTGGAGATACGAAAAAAATGTTTGAATTAAAGTTGGATGCAGGTAACATGGACTTGGAAGAAGAAAATTCGCAAAACCTTCCAAAATCGCCCTTCCGGTTGTAAACAGCGAAAAATTTTATAAATCTAACATCGACGAATAAAATTTATCAAATAAAGGGTGTCCCAAAATTAACGCAAGATTTGAATTAAATAGAAAACACAGTTTTTAGTCTTTTGATTGTAATTTTTTTATTGATTCATAAAGTACATAGGATAGGGTTATTTATGGAATAACACATCGGGCAAATGGCCTCCGCGGCTTTGCATACACATACGCACTCGTTTGTCGAAATTTTCCATGACCGTTCTGCATAAATGTGGCTGAATTTCGTTGATGCAACGTTGAATCTCCTCCTTTAATGCACGCGTAGTTGTGGGCTTGTTGACGTAGACCTGTGATTTTAGATATCCCCTTAAAAAGAAATCTAATGGTGTTAAATCACATAATCTAGGGGGCCAATTCTGATCACCGAAACGAGAGAGTACACCACCTGGAAATGTCTCATGCAATAATTGAAGTGTTTCACGGGCTGTATGGCATGTGGCACCGTCTTGTTGAAACCACATATTGGCCACATCAATATCATCCAATTTCGGCAAAAAGAACCGTGTTATCATGTCGCGATATCGAGCAGAAGTAACAGTCACTGCTTGACCAGCCTCATTTTCAAAAAAGTATGGTCCAATTATGCCTCCAGCCCAAAATGCACACCAAACTGTGACACGTTGTGGATGCATTTGTTTTTCGACAATCACATGTGGGTTTTCAGAACCCCAAAAGCGGCAATTTTGGCGATTAACAAAGCCATCAAGGTGAAAATGTGCTTCGTCGCTTAGGATGAGTTTGCTCGAAAAATCAGCATTCATTTGTTGTTGCTCAATAATCCATTCAACAAACTCTCTTCGCTGTGCATGGTCATTGGGCTTCAGTAGTTGTGTTAATTGAATTTTGTAAGCATGGAGACACAGATCTTTAGTGAGTATACGCTGTAGAGAGCTTCTTGAAATTTGCAATTCTTGTCCACGACGCCGAATTGAGGTTCCTGGATTGTCACCGACACTCGCACGCACTGCCTCTATATTGACATTTGAACGGCTTGTTTTTGGACGACCAGTGTGTTTGGCGTCTCCCACGGATCCTGTCTCTCGGAATTTTTCAATTAATCGCTTCACAGTTGACGAAGTTAAAACACTCCGAAGTTGGTCCTACATTTGGAAACAAAAATCCTATCTTTAGGGTAGGAAAATAGGGATGATTGTTTACACACAGATTTTGATGCATAGTTGTACATTAAAAAATTAGTCACAGAAAATTATAAAAAAACCGCCGAAAACACGGTAAAGCAAAAAAAAAAATTTTTTATCTTCAGTCAAATTAATTATTTGGAGTCGGTGCATATCTAAAAGATCTGAGTTCTCATTTACTACTTGGGTTGGCATGGACTGAACACCGACTCCAAATATTTAATTATTAAACTAAAACAAAAAATCATTTTTTTAATATGATAAGACATATTTATAAGAAGTGTAGGAACATGATTCTTTTTATTATGGGAGCCCCGGTTAAATATTTATTCAATTTTTTTTGACGTATATAATATTTACACGCTTAAATATTTATTTTATCTTAAATTTATTAATAAACTTCGGTCCAAGAGGTGCTACTACCTAATACAATTGTAAATTAAACTTTTAAAATCCTTCGAACTTAATATTATAAATTCGAAAGGTTATATTATATGAATGTAATTATTGATGTTTGCTATTCTTTCACGCAAAAACTACTGAACGGATTAAGATGCAATTTGGTACACATATTGATGACATATGATAATTTTTATACCAGAAAAAAGTTAAGTTCCGGTGGGATTCCTAAAAAACAAAATATAACGCGGACGAAGTAGCAGGCGGCCGCTACTTTTCAAATAATACGTAAATTTCTTAAACCAAAACATTTTATAAATGTTGTATGATCCGTTTTAAAAAAGGTCGTCATAATACATTGAAAATATTAAAAAAAAACTGGTTACTTACATACCTACATCAATATATTAGTGAAAGGTATATGAGATATACCTCAGATACACCTCAGAGATCAGGGCCGTGAGGAGCTCGATGGCGCGGGTGGTTAGCGCGTTCGGCTGCGATCGCTGAAGTTAAGCAACTTTTGCAGTGGTCGGTTATTGGATGGGTGACCAAAAATCTTCTATCTGGAGTTCCTCCGTGCTTCGGAAGGCATGTTAAGCCGTTGGTCCCGGCTGCATCTGCTGTCGTTAGCACCCGCCAATCCGCACTGGGCCCGCGTGGTGGGTCATGGCCCAATCTCCCTATTCCATCCATAGGGAAGGCCTGTGCCCCAGCAGTGGGGATATTAATAGGCTGGTGATGATGAAAAATATGAGATAACACCTAAATACAGATTTTTTGCAATTCTTCTTATGGATTAGAGAATGAGCACTTACTTGAAATGGTCTAGAATTTCTTCCGCTGATCTGCCCACCTGCTATCCTCGAATTGCTTCTTACGCACTCATTATTAGAACAGAACTTAGTTGCGTCCAAAACGATCGGTAAAACTAAAAATATAATATTTCGGAACATTTTTGATACTAACGTTGATGCTGTTTGCCGAGAAAGTAGGAAAAATCATAATCTTAGAATGTTATCGTGTCGCATCGCGCGTCTTGAGATATTGATATTTTGTCAATTGATAGAACATGATAACGCAATGAGGTCACAAATTCTGAGATTTGCCTGGGATATATAAATAAATATTTCCAACACTCACACCAATTAGCCTAGCCCCAAAGTAAGCACTGTAAGGCTTGTGTTATGGGGGGTAACGGATAGAATACATATACAGTACATATATTAGTTTATTTATATAGAAATACATATTAAACATCCATGACTGGAGTATAAATGCTCGTATTCATCACACAAACATCTGCCCCCACCGGGATTCGAACCCGGGACCTCTCGAGTCGGCGACACCATGAAACCCGGGGTACAAACCACTCGGCCACGGAGGTCGTCTAGGATAGAAAGTAAATGGTGTAAGAAACGGGTATTTATGGTTGGCCACTTAAAGCCGGCCCATCACTACGGGATATCACACTGTAATATTATAAAGGTGAAAGTTTGTGAGTGTGTGAGTGTGTATGTTTGTTACTTCTTCACGTCTAAACGACTGGAGCGATTTTAATAAAATTTGGTATGAAGTTAGCTGACACCCTGGATTAACGTATAGGCTAGGCTACGTTTTACTGCGGGAAAATATCCCTAACTGCGGGTAACACCGCGGGGCACAGCCAGCTTGTATATAATATATACTATATCTCGAGATATACATATGTTACATCCTTACATCCCGCGGTTGGCGTTAAAACTATTAGATATATTATAAGCTCATTCAGTTTCGATGGTGGTAGCGATGAAGGGATCGGAAGGGCGTGCAGGGTACGGTCATTAAAAATTACACTAGTTTACACGGTTTTCTTACCCCAGCTGAAAGTTGTTATTTTATTTTGTGTTCAGGTAGAACTATCCAGAAAAAATAATAAAAAAATTCTGTCACGTCTGGTTTAAAAAATATTTATGATCTTGAAGGGAAATACAAAAATTTTAGGATTAATACAAAAATAAATTAAAAATGACTAATTTTTGCTTTCTTTTTATAGTTATTTGAATCAGTTTCTCTTATGATAGACCAACAGTAATCCCCTAACATATTTTCATCCCAAAATCCTTGATGTCGTTCTTCGAAAGTCCTTAAATCTTGGTGGAAACGTTCACCCTGTTCGTCACTCATACTTCCTAAGTTTTCAGGAAAAAAATTCAGATGAGAGTGTAGAAAGTGAAATGTAAAATCGGCTTAGTAACAGACGGAACATCGGCATACATAATACTTGCCTTATTTTTTTTGTTATATCCCAATGTCTTCGTAACACAAAAGTAACAATCATTTTCATGATTACTAGGTTCTCTCCATAGCATTGGCGAACCAAATGGAAGGTAAACTTTTTCTCCTGATGACCACTGGAGTAAGATGATTCTACAGCTTTCGCAAAACACGTGAGGCACCCACTTTTTATCTTGATTTGCAACAGGAAATCCAAAATAATGAAGATATGCAGTTTTTAACGAATCTACAATAGGTCTTCTCTTTTTTGAAAATATAAACTGTCCACAAACATAACAAAAACGGTCAGAACTTTGTTTGCACTTTCTGCTAGCCATTTTAAATTAATCCAAAGCAAAGTAACTGTCGTTTGAAGCGAACGAATAAACAATAAACTATCACCACCACGTCGGGTAGTTAAAAAAAAACATTTGACTGCAGAAAAAAATTCCGACGTGATAAAATATTTCTGCTAACACTTTTAGGTTTAGGGAAGGTAGATTAACATATTGACATACATTCGGTTCGGGGTATAAATAAAAAGTAAAATTTTGTAATTATAATTTTTATTATTTTTTTAAAGCATGTAACTGCTTGATGTTTAAATCTAAAGAAAATATAACTAGAAAAAATTCCACGCGGACCAGGCAGCAGACGGGACTCGAACCCGCACCCTTCGCAATCCGGGCGAATGCACTGACCAATTATGCTACCGCGGCCCTCACGGACCGCGTCGAAATTCTTTCTAGCTATTCTTAAGCTGCAAGGCAGCGCCATCTCTTCGCATTATAGGTAAACCCACAATGTCAAATGAATACTTTTACAAGTATTAAACATTTGAAAGAAGAAATAGCAATTATAATTATAATTTTTATTATTTTTTTAAAGCATGTAACTGCTTGATGTTTAAATCTAAAGAAAATATAACTAGAAAAAATTCCACGCGGTCCAGGCAGCAGACGGGACTCGAACCCGCACCCTTCGCAATCCGCCGCGGTAGCATAATTGGTCAGTGCATTCGCCCGGATTGCGAAGGGTGCGGGTTCGAGTCCCGTCTGCTGCCTGGTCCGCGTGGAATTTTTTCTAGTTATATTTTCTTTAGATTTAAACATCAAGCAGTTACATGCTTTAAAAAAATAATAAAAATTATAATTATAATTGCTATTTCTTCTTTCAAATGTTTAATACTTGTAAAAGTATTCATTTGACATTGTGGGTTTACCTATAATGCGAAGAGATGGCGCTGCCTTGCAGCTTAAGAATAGCTAGAAAGAATTTCGACGCGGTCCGTGAGGGCCGCGGTAGCATAATTGGTCAGTGCATTCGCCCGGATTGCGAAGGGTGCGGGTTCGAGTCCCGTCTGCTGCCTGGTCTGCGTGGAATTTTTTCTAGTTATATTTTCTTTAGATTTAAACATCAAGCAGTTACATGCTTTAAAAAAATAATAAAAATTATAATTATAATTGCTATTTCTTCTTTCAAATGTTTAATACTTGTAAAAGTATTCATTTGACATTGTGGGTTTACCTATAATGCGAAGAGATGGCGCTGCCTTGCAGCTTAAGAATAGCTAGAAAGAATTTCGACGCGGTCCGTGAGGGCCGCGGTAGCATAATTGGTCAGTGCATTCGCCCGGATTGCGAAGGGTGCGGGTTCGAGTCCCGTCTGCTGCCTGGTCCGCGTGGAATTTTTTCTAGTTATATTTTCTTTAGATTTAAAATTTTGTAAACTTGTGATCGCTCGCTTGATCAAAAAATTGTCTATAGTTTGGAATGTAATATATATTATATCTCAGTGTGAAAGAATTCTTTTTTATTATTATTAATTAATGAAATAATCAATTTCTATCTCGAGATGTATATGTATTACTAGCTTCCGGTAACCGCTAACTAACGGTATGAAGTTCGCTGGGTCACAGCGAACTTCATACCGTCATCAAAATAGGGACTGGTGGTAGAAGGGTGAAAATTTAGGGTTGTAAGTATTTTTAATGCTACATTATAAAAATAAATACCAAAAAATAAAAAACAAAATGTTAGGCGTGGACAACCCTTGTCACTTAGAGGTTTGAAAAATAGATAGTAGCTGGTCCTCAGACCTACTGAATATGGATACAAAATTTCATAAAAATCGATCAAGTCGTTTTGGAGGAGTATGGTAACTAACATTGTGACACGAGAAATTAAATATAAGAAGTTTACACTATTTCGGCGTCAGCGATTAGAAATTTCTTATATGATCCCTTATAATGTAAGATACACAAAGTTAAGGTGCTGGTGGATAATAAACTGGAGCATAATATATATATGTATTGTTATTAGTCTAGCAGACTCCTTATATGAGATTGTTTTTTTAGGAAAATATAAAACATCCACGGCGTCACATAAAATTGAATCCCTCATGGGATTGAGAGATTCAATGGAATTAATTTTATATATAAAATTGAAGAATTAAAGAGCCTATACTTATATATTTCATCTCTATGTATTTTTAATTATTTAATTATCTGCATAACTTTTTCAAATATATTGGTATTTCTTTTCCAATTAATTCTTTGACTCTAACATTACTAAAAAATATTGATCGACACCTTTTATTTACCCACATCCAACTGTCGACCTTGTTTAAAAAATCAAGATCATTGATTCTTCAAACTAAATCGACAGTCAGATCCGGGTAAATAAACGGTGTCGACCAATTTTTTTCAGTCACTTCAGAGGTCCTAGTTTCAGAAAATCGTAATCAAATCCATGTAGACGATGACTTAAGATAAATTAAAAAAAAATGGCGGTCGACTTAGGAAAGCTAATAAATAGAGCTTGTCGACCTTTGACATTTCTATTCTACTCATCATAAACTTACGTTTGACATACATTTTCTTGGTGTATTTGATAAAGTACAATTACACCTACAATAAAAACCGGAAGTGACGTCATAATTTTGCATGTGGGCAAAATCAAGCAACTTCAGGGGTGTAGACCTCTAGACCTATGGCTTTATTGTTCATGTATCTGATCCATAGGACTTTTATACAGCCGGCTCTCGGACTATAAGGCTTGGATGCAAGTTAAGCCTTTTATAATCGACAAAAAATATGGGAACACATTAATAAAAGCCTTTAATTTATTTTTCAAGCTCCTTTATTTCAACCAGGTACCATTCACGATCATGGCTAAGTTCTCTCATATATTTAAAGACAATAGTAATCTTGGAACAGCGAATACTTTATGCCTCGTCAAATATACAATTATACATTGTAAGGTCTATCACACTTCATAGTAAATGAATTTAAGAAAATATAGTTACAATTAAGTATTTTAGATAATATGACTAAAACCAAATTACATATATTTTTATTTAGTACAAGAAGACAATCAATATGTTTGTTTTTTTAGTCGAAAACAATTTAAAATAACTTTGACGGTAGTATGTCTAAATGAATTGGTTACAGACATATATTTTAACAACTCTTGATTTCTTAATATGAAATTGTTCAAAAAAATGTTTTTTTAATAATGTTGACAGTAAAGATAAAGACTTCTTTAACAACAAAAATACATATACATGTTAGTTAAAGCTTTTAAATAAGTTTATATGATAAGTTTTGCAACAATGGACCGATCTGATTTATTTATGCAGACCTTTCATGTAATTCAATCAATTAACATTTATATTTTTGTTCTTTTTTTAGTATTCATTAATGTTCGCAATATTTCCTACACTAGGTACCTTTGTTCGTCTATCCACAAATTTATTAGTGATTTTTTTTTGCACAACAAATATGTGTTCTAAATATTATGAAGTCCAAAATGTGCAATAAAAGCATCCACAGTAACATCGCGAACAAAATTTAATTCACAATCAATTATTTTTCGAAATCACAACAATTCATAACTTGACATGTAAAGGTTACATCTTCTCCTTATTACAATAACTCCGCCGACATTTTTTTTTAAATTAACAATTTATGACTAAAAGACGTTGAGACTAGATATACATAACTTATACATACAACAAATCGTCTTAGAACTAAGTATCTATAAGTTTTTTTTAATGAAATAGCTGTTTATTTCGGGCAGACAATGCTACATATCTAAAACTACACGATTGCCGTAAAAAATAAATAAACAAAACTTCGATGTTTATACAAAAATGAGATTTTAGTTAATCAGGCGTGTGACAGGTCAGCTGTTAAAACGATGTCAGTAGTAAGTTATCTTAAAATAAACGCTACATACGACGATTCTAAGCATAATTAAAAACTATTTACAAGCCTCCACAGCTGATGTTACCTTAATTAGAAACATTAATTCGAGAGGACAATTCCATTTTCAATATAAGTTCATTAATATTTACATTATTAATCGAATTCACATTTTGACAGCGACAATTGACCGGAAAATGATAGTTCTGGGTATTTACAGGAAAATCATAGCACCTAAGTATAGCATTTAACAAAAAATGCCCTGCATAGACACAGCAACTTTGATCTTCAAGTTACAAGAATGTGCCACTGCAAGCGCAAAAACGAATGCTGCGTCTTTTACTTGTGAATTTTTATTTGTGAAATTGCCAGTTGCTTCACCCAATCTTGCTAAACCTATGATTGCAGTAATATACTTAGTTGCTACGAGTTTTGAAAACAATTAAAGACGTGAAACAAAAATTGACTGACAGGTTATTCTAAAAGTGTTTTATAAATATTTAGCATGCTTCTTACCTAAACCTCAGAAGCATTAAATTAAATAACATTACAAAAGTCAGTTAAAATAACTTTATTTAAATCTAAAAGGTTGCATTTTAATAACTACCTCATGATATCACAGTTCATTTATGCAAATAATAAACAGTAAACGTACAAATACATAAAACGTATTACCGCAGTTGTAATTATTATAAATTATGGCAATAATTAACAGAAATGAGTATAACAGTTCCTATGAAAAACAACTTCATTGATTTTTGTCATTAAATCTGTGACAATAGAAGAATATCATGTTTTACTCTGGGAATATTACGCCAAAAATAATGAAAAAAAAGGTTAAATAATATTCCTTTTTAGATAAAACTCTCAGAAAATATTTTTATTATTGTAATGAAGTTCAAGCAAAAGTGACGTGGAATTTATTCTTCATCTAGATTCCATTTAAGCATATCAATTAGATAAAATTTTCAATATTTTTTGTCGTTAATAATACAAGCAGAAGAATCGATAAAAACGTACTTAATTACTAAAAATATTTTTTAGAAATTCTCAATAATTTTAGAGCAATAAAGTCAACGTGTTAATAATTTATTAGTGTTTATGATTTGATGTTAAAATATCAATTGTCTAATGGTAAAATGTGTTTTGACTTACATAATAATATAAGTATATTCATGATAGGTACGATATATTTTTACTATGACTTTTCACAGCGATATTACTAGGCTATTGCCCGTACTTAGTAAAAATTACACCTGGAAAAAATTATGATCCTTGATGGAATTAAGAATTGAATTCAAAATTTAAAACATTTTTACAAATTAATGTTTAGAAATAAAACAGTCCATAATTTTTCTATTACCAACAGGGTAATGCTCATCAAATATGACATTTTATGATAAATTCATATGAATAAGATATTGTGTATGGTTATTTTTGTATTCTCTCTAAGTATTAAATGTGCAGATTCTCTAGTACGAGTTGTGGAAGTATTCAAAAGCTGTGATAACGTCTCGTTTCTTTCCATACATTTCATAGTAGCGAACCTAGCAAAAACTATATCAAATATATGAAGACAAAGAGACCATCGCAGTTTTGGAAAACTATCAAATCATACATTAGGCGTACAGACAATGATTGTTAGATTTCAATGAAGTATATATTTATCTAGGTATAATAGGACGAGTGTTTATGTTGGGCAGAGGACCTTGAGTATGTAGTCTGTTAATAGTGTGGGCACAGTAGGACTGTCTTCGTTGATCGCCTTCAGAACTGAAAAGATTTACAATTTATTAATTGCGCAGTATAATGGCACAATCATCATCAGCCTATTAATGTTCCCACTGCTGGGGCACATGCCTTCCCTACGAATGGAATAGGGAGTTTTGGGCTATGACCCAGTACGCAGGCCCAGTGCAGATTGGTGGGTGATGGTGAATGGACAAGTTTAGCAGCAAAAAATAGTTGAATCACTTCCACGGATTACACTCGATTGCACTGGGGCTGAAATACCTTATATCACCATCACTATTCCTTTAAATTTTCTGGATGTGAAAGAGATAACTCATGTAATACTGTCCTTTTCTTTAGCTTTGAAGGGGTAAGCGAAAGAGATAAATTTAGACAGTTTAGCCTCTTGGTTCAATTCCAGAAGTCTCAGGGAAGTCTTTTACGCGTAACGGTCAGTAAATTACATTTCGTTTTTTTTATGATTATTATGGTTCAGAACAATAATGGCGGTGTTTGTGGTGTTGTCGTTTACTTTGTGACGGGTTTTAGTGGCATTTTTGGTCACGCGACTTGGTAACTACCGATTGCAAGATAAATAATAGGGTTGAGGATATGACACAACTCTTTAACTACACTCATATAACTAGTGTGAGTGATTTACTATCTGTTCCAGAAGGTTCACAGTTGGCTTGCGAAATTTTGCGTCTGTCTGTCTTTTTGTAACCTCTTCACGCTTGAACCGCTGAACCTATTGTGATGAAACTTGGTGTAGAGTTTGAGTCCCGGAAAAAGTAGTCCAGAAATCAACCACGCAGACGAAGTTGCAGGCACCCACTAGTATTTTTATATTTTCATCTGTTACTATTGCTACTACTTGCAATAGGCAAATGCATTTTATAACTTTTTTATTAACTCCCAGTGTAGCATAGTTTTTCACAGGTTGATGAAATAGATAAACTACTTCGAAAACTTACTTTTGATAAGAACTTGTAAGGTCTGGTTGTCTGGCGGGCCGTTGTCAAGGTGGAATGGGATAACCGTCGTGAGGTACTGAAAATAATTGAGTTGGATTAGTTGAATAGCACTTCTTAAGCTGGTTGGTAAAGTCATTTTGAGAAAATATTTACTTTATTTAAATAGGTATCGATGCGAAGTGCAAAGATGTGAATAAATTAAGTATATAAATAGGATATATTTTCATAAGTTTAGGAAAAACCGGCTAATTGCGAGACGGATTCACAAACTATGGGTCCGTTTTGAAAACAAGAGATTAATAACGGGAAAAAAAAATTGTCACGTGAAATCTTCAGAATCCACGGAATATGTCATTAATACAACAACAAAAAAGGTTTTTTTTTTGTTGTTTCAATGACATAAGCATTCTGTGAAGATTCCATCTATCTACCTATCGGATGCACGGACAACAAATCCGTTATGATGTGTAATGTATGTAACAATAACAATCGCGTATAAATGTCATTTTGAAAATCAGCACACAGGCCACACCACACAGCCACAAACGTCGCCACGAGAAGCTAGAAGCGGCTACTAAAGTAGCTGAAGCGCGCGACAGCGGCCGACTAAGGTAAGGGAGAGAGGGGTGGGGAATCACGCGAGTGACGTATGGCGGCGTTTTGTATTCGCGCATTAAGTAGCCGGTGCGGGCCACAAGAAGGGAGCAACGACGATTTGTAGCGTGTGGCGGCCACCTGCGCACCGTGTGTGGCGAGTCCATATAAAGTGTATGAAAACTACAAGAAATATGCCGGTGGCAGCGTTTTGTGTTTGTGGTCGGTGGCCCGTGTGCGGCGACACTAGAAATCGTCTAGAAACTGCAAAGTCTCAATGCTTAACAACTGTTATTACCTTAGGTTCCGAGCTGGTGGAGTTTATGTTAGGCGACCTGGGTGGTCCCGGCCGTTTCTTCCTCTCCACGTGGTGTTGTCTCCTCTTGTTTTGCACCGCTAACAGTAACGATATGAACGTGTTCTTCAACTCTTTCTCGTATTCCAACTCGTCTCTCAGAGCTAACTCCGCTATCAACGTCTCGGAGAACTCGCGGATCAAAACCTCTAGCTCCATGAATATCTCGTTTAGCTGGGACAGCGATAGTGTGCGAAGTTCTGAAATAAAGACACGAAAATGTCCTTAAATATGCTTCAATCAATAATTAAGAGGTAGCGGATTTTCCATTCGAATAGGAGAAGCCCATCCAGGTTGGGGGATTGGGTCTGGGTAGACAATGGTGCGAGTGAGTTAAATAGATGGAAATACAGATGATGATGATGAACAGATGGGCCATACGCTTGTTTGATACTTTGATTGATAGTATAATGTTAAATGTAACATAAAATAATGGACAATTTACTTAATACCATTAATAGGCTTGATCTTTCATATTATTGAATTGTATAATGGTATTAAAACACAGACTTAAATCTTGGTCTGTGTATGAAAATCCCATACAGCCTTTTGGCTGTATTGAGAATCTTCTATCCTATCTGAAGTCTGCAAAATTATTTAAGTTTTTTATCTTATTTTAATTAAAATATATGCGCCTCGTTATATTTTTCCCCAAATCTGGATTGAAACTAAAAACTAACTTACTAGTAGGTATTAAGTACCTACCCTGTTTTTTTACTAACTTTATTAAGGACCTACCTAACCCAACAGAAACATGAAAGAAAAGAAGCAGAATTATTAAATTTATTTCATTTTGAAAAATTTCAATTTTCATTTATTTTTAAGTTTCATTCCCCAACTCACTGTTCTAATTTTAAAATTGCGTTCACCGGAGATTAAATTTATGATGTGCGAATCAATCGATGAGTCGGTCGGGGTGAACGCCCTTTAGATTCTGCGAGAAACAACAGCTGTTCGGCATTTCGGCGTTATGGAACGAACGCATCTTCAAAAAGAACATTATAAAAAAAGTTTGGCTGTGTATAGTTATTAACCCAAGTTGAATGCGTAACAAAACTATAAGCGTTTTTTTTTTGAAAATTGTTTATGTTAACATACCTATTTTTTTTACTTCTATCAAAATAAAAGCCGGATAACCCGGCAAGGGAGCGAATACCTATCTGAATAAATCCACGAAAACAGCTTTTGATCTCATAATAAATCTCAAACTAGAGCACATTAAAAATACATATATATATATACATATTACTAAAAGTATTACAATACAATTACTTGCAGAGAAATGTCAAGAGAATTCCTATCTGTTCTCAAAATCAGACAAACAAACGCGTGGGATCAGATGGGAATGGATCAGATGAAAATAATTGAAGGTTTATTTTTCGCTCAAGCGGCCGTCTTCTGCAATTTTACGCTTATAATTCGGGTAATGAGTCCCAAAAATATCCGTTATAATTTGCGTCAACCTTCATTAAAGTCAGAGGAAACCGTCAGTGAATGCAGCGTCCCGCGTTTTTCTCACGGTGCGGTGTGACGACTCGACTCTAATTACCATCCGTGCTCAAATTTGTACGAATAAATTCATGTTCGTTTTATGAGAAGATATAGATAGATATAGAATGTTATCATTTTTGCTAGTTTGAATTAAAACAGAAAAACATAACCTTTTTTGAGCAGTCGTGTAAAAATAACTTGCTAATAGATGATTAGGTACCTTACATCTCAAAGTCTTGTGACCATGAAATTAAATTAAAAAAGATTCGAAATGAGATTTTTTGTGAAATTTAAAAGTGAGTACCTAAGTATGCATCCGTGCCTGTACAAAGGTATTTCCTTGATGCACGCGAAAAATCTTTTGAGATGTGAAAAATAATGTTTTTTTTTTTAAGTTAAAGTGAGTAGGCACGCTCTTTATATCCTGCACAAATGTGTTACGTAATGTGGAAATACAGCAAATACCCATTTTCACAACTTTCCTATCTTCTGGTACCTAAGATTGAAGTCCTCATCTTCTATCTATAGAAGTAAGATTAAATTATGATACACTTTCAAGCACATTCTTTTGAGGTACTATTTGGAGTCTAAATTGAGTTTTATTTATTCGATTCAGCTCGGACTCGTAAATTCTGCGGTGACGTCAAGAGAATTATTGATTTATTTATTTATTATATAATAGAAATAATTACTATCCAAATTACCTTAACCTACTTGAACAATACATACATAATTTACAATATACGTTTGACTCGACTCGTCGACTTAAATAAGGAAATAAATTTTGAAATTTTATCATAATCAATTTTTATTAATTACTGACAAAGGACTTCAAAGTTTTTCCTAATGTATTGCCACAAATGCTCTCGAACCAAAGCCGCGAACATACTGGAAACATTTTTAACCAGGAGCGCCAGGTTAATACTCTTATACTATTTCTTACTACATATTTATTTTTAAGACTCGAATTTTATTATATGCATTCTTCTCAGAAAATTGTAGTTAGATTCTGAGGAGGTTTTTGTACTAGACATCAACATAAAAAAAAATAACTTCTATACTTTATACTCACTGTCTTCGTATAGCGGGGAGTTGAGCACCTCCTTGCCCTTCTCGAGTGCCTCGTTGTATTCTATGATGTCCCCCTCCGACGACGGCGTCTCCTGCATCATGTCATCTATCTCTTGAATCACCTGTAAACATACATCGGAAATTTATGGTAAACCTGTATTTACTGCCTCAAAAGCATATAGCATTTACTGTAATACGATATGTTGCTGGCAAGATTTCTGATTAGAAAATAAAATTAAAGATTATCCGACTTGACAACTTTCTTTCTATTGTCTGGTAAAATTATTGGGGCATAGCCCCCATGGCGCGGCGGACATAAATTTATTAGGCAGCCAACTATATCCCCACTACTGGAGCACAGGCTCTCCCCAGGAATCGAATAGGGGGGACGGACCTTGATCCACAAGGCAGGCCCTGTGCCAGAGCAGATTGGTAAGTGCTAATAACTACAGATGCAGTCGAGACCGAGCTACCAAAACACGGTGGAGCACTAGATAATAAGTGTTTGGTCAGCTATCCCATGTACAGCCACTGCGAAACTTGCTTATACGTATTCACATGTTCTTTTGAACCTCCTCATGAGCACCCTCATACCACATCTTAATCTGAGGAAATGTCTTTAAAAATGGACGTTACCAACTTGGTTCCTCGGTTTAGGAAGAATTCTTCACACCTAGTAGCCAAATTGGTTTCTAATTAAGTAATTTATTTTATCAGCTTACCTCGTCTGCAGTCTTGACTGGGCACTCGTGATCTTGATGCAGCCCGCCCAAGATGAGAGCGTGCATGTCCAAGTCTGATGCCACCGCCTCGTCCTCCGAACTGTGAATCTCATCATCTGGGGTCATGGAACCCTGAAACCAAGGACCGTCTATCAGCCTATATTAGCTTTCCGTACCTCAAAAAAAAAACGGAACTATTATGGATCACTGTGTTGTCAGTCTGTCCGTCAAGACTCATTATAATTATAATAATATATATTTTCAACACACACACCAATTAGCCTAGTCCCAAATATTACTACTACTACTACTACTATAAGGCTATTGTGTTATGGGATACTAGGGTAACGGATAGAATACATATACTGATACAATATATATAAATATATTTATAAAGAAATACATATTAAACATCCATGACTGGAGTACAAATGCTCGTATTCATCACACAAACATCTGCCCCCACCGGGATTCGAACCCAGGACCTCTCGAGTCGGCTGCACCATGAAACCCGGCGTACAAACCACTCGGCCACGGAGGTCGTCAAAAGTTTGCATTACCTCGGGAACGCGTTTTGGTATCGAGTTGAAATTTAAATCGTATTCTGATGACTGCGATCCATTGAAACTTTGAAAAAATCATAATTCTAAGTTAAAGTAAACAAAAGATACGTTCGTAATGGTTGCGTACCTAAAATTTTGTACGGAACCCTCCATGGGCGAGCCCGACTCGCACTATCCTGTTTTTTTTTATGTCTAGACAGGCTAGAAGCCTTTCTCATCGTGACTAGCAACAAAAATATAAGTGAGACTCTTCCCTGCTCATTTCGTCAAGGTCTATAACTCCGCGAAATGAGTAGGATACTACCCACTAAAACCGGCATTGTCTAGACAATGCTCCTGCACCAGTCACCTGACACACGTTATAAGTCTTCAGAATGTGTGAGAGTTGCGAGCGTAGTTACGGTACTCCGTTAGGACTGACCACATAACCGCCGGTGATTGCCCGCGAACCTTCTCCGACCACTCCGAGGGAGACATTAAGATGAGTATATTATTTAGTATTAATACCCGCTATACTCATCTTAGTGTCTCTGTCTAATAGGTTCCTAAATGGAAAATTTCCCTTTTCATTGTTCCTCTGGGGAGAGTAAATTTCCCTCTAGGGCACCTATGCAATGCGAGCCTGATTCCCCCAGGCCAGACCAGCAGGCAGCAGTGGGTCTGTCAGTCTAAAGTGGTAGAGTTGTTTTTCCTAAGATGACGAAGGCTTTAAATTTTGCATTAATTCATCGTAAATTATCACGATATACCTAACTGTAGAATGACAAAGGTAATTTAGTAATTTTAGCTATAGTTCTGAATAAAGTGAACGCTACCTTTGAACCGAATTTGAAGAGAGATGCCGGTTGTTATTTCTTAGATGATGATGACTTTAAAATTGCTATTATAAGAATAGTCATAGTAAGTATTACGATAGAAGTGTTGAATAACAAAGGTAGTACTCTGAACAAAAAAAGAAACTAATTATTTTTCACAAATTGCAAACTTAGCAGCCCATCTAATAAGATTTGAGCAAAGAGCAACAATAAAATACAGTTACCCACGTAAATTAGAAATGCTAACAGTGTAGAGAATTTGTGAAATTGTGCCATTGTCTAAAACCTAAATTGAAACAAAAGACTGGTTAACACGCTATAATTAATCATGAAATTGATGCTTGGCACAGAGTAATGGTCAAAGGAGCATTATTTATTTTATTCCCACGTTTTCATGTGACAATGATCGTAATACGAAACCAAATATGTAGAAAGGTAATTCTTCGTAATTTGTTGTTGGATTTTTTTTAGTAAATTACAGAGAATATGGATATTATTATTATTAAAGATGAGTTCTATCTTATAAGCAGTAAAACTTAATATAATCTTTCGATCTATATAAAAATCAATTGCTGTTAGTTTGTCTTACTATGGCTGGGCCTATTTAGCTGATTTTGGTATTGAACTGTAATATATAAGAGATATATGAGAAAGATATGTATATATAAGAGAAAATATGGAAAAATTGCGAGGAAGATAATTAAAAACAACAATTTCATTTTCCCACATAATCTGTTCTATCTACTTTCCTGTCAAGCATTTGACGTTCGTCCCTTTGGTACGGTGGACTCGAGTCATCATTTCATCCAAATTATTGTAAGCGGTACAAAGTACGCGGTCATCCAGTTACTTCTATATAAAAACAGTAGTCTTTTTCTTAGCGTTCAGGCATCGGCAACATACACAAACACATTATGACAAGCATAATCACAATAAGAATTATTTAGGATGTATTATATATTTACTAATCACTCACTTTTTTATCGCTTAGGTTCAAGGTCGGGATGTGCATCTTCCTGGAGAAAGACTTTGTCCAATCTATTGGTAGAATGTTCCCGAAATTCCCGGTGATCGTCCACCACATTCTGAAAGATAAAAACAATTATAACTAAATGGGATTTGAGATTTTAATAAAATAACACTCATTCGTAATCGGTTCACCGATAAATCGTTTCTACGGTTAATCTGTTTTTATGGCGATTATAATGATCAATGATCGAGATTACATAAAACCGACGCTGCGTTTTATGCTTTTCGAAAGCTGAGACATTAAATTCAAAAGTAAGTATAATAATAACCGTGGTAACATCAATCATTGAATTACTTAGTCAGTTTATAATAGAAAAGACGCATTGTGGTTTTTAACAATGAGTAGCTGTTTATGGTATATCAGTTGACGTATTTAGTAGGTACGATGGCCTTGGTCCTGTTAAGGTCATATTAATCATATTATAAGCATGAGTAGTGTTTTGCACAGCTCCAGGCAGCGGGATGGGAAGAGCTCAATTGCCTTCTGTCAGTAGTTATGTACTTCCATTCGCAACGCAAGGCCGCAAATGCAATGAGATTCCGAAGTCGATTCGATCGGTATTTAGATTGAATGTTTATTTCGGTAGCAAAGATCTGTTTTGATTTACTTACATTTTAGTCGGCGGTCAATGTTAGCGTTCATCTAAATATGTAACAAGAATAATGTCAATCTTAATCTTTGCAGCTACTCAATTACTTAAAAGGGGTCATACATAAAGTACGTCACACTAATTTCGTGATTATTTTACCCATCCCCTGTCTTTTCACAGTTGGTCACATTTGTGAGTCTCCCCTCCCTAGTGTGACATTACATATTTTGCTACTTTGAATTTAGAAATTGTTATTAACACAACAGTTCTAAAATAAGTTCCTAAAATTAGCCAAAAAACAAATGAAACCCCATACAGATAGAGATGTACATATTTTAAAAATTTTTGATAATTGTTTTAAAGTAGGGATTACATTTTGAAATGTGACGTCACGAAACTTAGGACCCCTTGTTACACAATGTCACACTTCGTCAACCCCCTCTCTATTAACGTGTGACGTACTTTATGAATACAGTACATAGATATAAAGAATTTCAGAGTTTTCACACTAAGCCCTAAAGTCTAAGGTCTCTAGCTGGTTATTGTGAAATATAACCGAATAAAAAACAAACAGCCCGTAGAGACCTGCGCGTGAGTCAGCCGGAGACATAAATTGGTGCTAATTCGAGATCTCGCGGCATGCCACCGCTCAATTGAGGAATGTGTCATTTTTTATTATGTACGCTGTACTTTGTGTATCTACTTTAGAATCTAGCTAGTGAGTTTCTCAAAGTATAGTCCATGGATATGGTTCCCTCAGAGGAATCACCACATACTGATGATATTGTGAAGGCTGAACCCATTTATGAGAGATTAGGAATTCAATAATCGTTTTCACTAATCTTTTATTAACGGTTTTCATCTAGAATTAATTTGTCATCATCATCATCATCAGCCTATTAATGTCCCCACTGCTGGGGCACAGGCCTTCCCTATGGATGGAATAGGGAGATTGGGCCATGACCCACCACGCGGGTCCAGTGCGGATTGGTGGGTTCTAACGACTGCAGATGCAGCCGGGACCAACGGCTTAACGTGCCTTCCGAAGCACGGAGGAACTCGAGATAGTAAATTTTTGGTCACCTATCTAATGACCGACCACTGCAAAATTTGCTTAACTTCAATGATCGCAGCTGATCGCGCTTACCACTTGCGCCATCGAGCTCCTCTAATTTATCCTCCTCTAAATTAATTTGTATTTAAAAGTAATTATATGAATTTTAACTCCAATCTCCCAATATTATTACAGGCGTGCAACTTTTTATAAAAAATATGACGAGCGTACTGAATATTTAATAACACATCAGCGTACAAGCTGCAGTTTCCAGATATAAATTATATAGTTGCAAATAAGACAAGTTTAAGATAATAAACACGTATTCACCAACACAACAGAGAAACTGCATGCAACATTATATTTAAGCAAGTAGGTAAGTAGCTAGTTCTGTGTATTGGTTACTGAGAATGTCAGTGTGTTTACATAAGTATTGCTGAAGATAACTATTGCTGCGTAAGGTCACGCGCAGGCGTAATCTGGGGTCTCCCCTTATGGTCAGCCAAGTGACCTCAATTCACAGCTGTTGTCAGCTTTTATAAAATATTCTTTTTATTTTTCATGTTTATGCTAATTTTCGACAGAATATGTCTTATGTACTTTGTTTTACAACACTCCGCTCTATAATAATACTACTCTTCTCTCTGAATTTAAAAAACTTTCATAGGTATATGTGTGGGATAGCGAACATTTATTTATCTGTAAGTTAACAAAAATATCTACCTAAGCCCATTTAATTTTTAGCTGATTGGAATTGCAGGCATTATCCTTGAGAAACGTTTTTTTTCTTTTATTCATTCAGCATCTTTATCCTATTAATCATCCTGCATAGTGTGAACGACCTACGCGAATCATACTAACATATTATACATATAGTCGATGACATAAACAGATTTGAGATTCAATGGCGAAGTTTGGGCGTTATTTTACAGCTGTCAGCATGCGAAATAAACGCAAACGTAATTTCAATAGCAGACCTGTGGCACGGTCCTGTGGCCTGTGTTGCATCATTGATCGCCAGATGGCTCTACGGCAGATAATGATATTCACACTATTCGTTTAATATAAAGTGGTGTGTATTCAATAAATAGCTGTTAAATCGTAATAAGAGTGGTTGTAACTCCGCAAATGTTTGTTGACAACACATTTTAGTCATTCGTCGGACAGACGTCATTCTCGTATGAGTGGTTTAATAACATTAGGACTTGGAGGGATTCATGATATGACATCATAGGAAGTTATATTATTACCTACATAAGAACATTGTACGGAGCACAGGAACAGCTATTTATAACTTTTCCCGTCGTCTCTATAATTTTATTAGGTTTTTAAGCCATCCTTTTACCGCGAAAATAAAAGTTGAACAAGATGGAATACGAAAAAAAACAGGATTTATTAATATGGTTTCGCAATTAGCACTTATTATAACTTTATGGGTTTTTTTTATATAACTGAGTTTTTCACTTGGTTCGATATAGTTTACATATTGTACGTGTTCTTAACTAATGATTCTAAATGCTACTGGTGTCCGGGTGACCGGAATATGTGTCCGGAAGCCCGTCACGAAATCGTCCGTCAGCTATACCATGCTGGATGGACGATGTGATGAAAGAAGGGGACAGATTTAAAGTAGGGGGTTGCCCCACTTGCCAAAGAGAATAGGCAAGATGGGACCTAGGGAGGAAGAAAGACAGAGAAATTGATCAGCGGATCAGATGAGGAAAGGAAGGATGAAACTTTATGGGTCAATCGCGATCCATTTGATTTCATACTTGAGAAAGAGATATTATGTCATATTGACACTTTTCTTTAACTTTGAAAAGGAAAGAGAAAGAGTTAAAGTTTAATATTTTTGTAAACTGTCCTTAGCATTTACCATAAATCTACTGAGATTGTAGAAGTTCCAGTAAAAAAGAATCACAGTTCATGTCACAGGATGTGGAGAATGGTAAGTGTGAATGTCACTCGCTCGATATGGAGCTCGGTCTACTGACCCGATTTTCTAATTATTTTCACTGCGAGCTCGCCAAATTCGTGGATACCGTTAGTTGAGGTTTGTCGATGACAATCTGTGTCTGTAAAACCTTTTGCACCCATCTTATAATTTTTGATCATCAGCTACCACCCACTAGACTACTAGAGATATTTGTTTCTTAGGTTTTCACGCACATCACTCATTCAATAAAATAAGTTTCAACGGGTTAGATGCACTGATTTCATTTATTTATTGACGTTTGCAGGAATGCGATGATGCGATTATTCTGACGACGCAGTCCTGCAAAGGATGCGAAACGCCAATAAATAAATAAAATCAGTGCATCTAACCCGTTGAAACTTGTTTTATCAATAGAGTTCTTTATTTTTGACTAAATTACCATAATCTTCTCGTAGTAAGGTTGCTTAAAGATACTTTTGCCAGTGTCATTTATTTTTTTATCAGTGTAATTAGTTATAAGTGCCTATGCATTTATTTAATTACTTTTTGCATAAAGTATCTAGGCCGTATATACCCTAGTACCAAGAGCGCCATGATCGAGGGGGCCATCGACTATAAGGATTGCTTAGGCTATCGCTATCGCCTACGATTTTATTGTGTTTTTTCTGACCGCCGAAGGTTTTCAAATAGCTCACGCTATTAGCAATTCAAAAAAAGAGAGCGAGGCATTTGAAAACCTTCGGTAGTCAGAAATAACAAGATAAAATCGTAAGCGATAGCGATAGACATAGCACTCCCGTTAGGCGATTGGCCTCCGGAGCGGCACGCTACGAAGGGCGACTTCACGATCTGCGAAGACTGGGAGAAGGCAAATACAGGAAATCGTTACTGACCTATATTTTGATTGATTTACCAATTCACATTTTTAAATACACCCCTGTATCTATCTAGGTATTTATTAATTAATGATGATATATTGTTACTGAAATATTAATATTAGTTTCAGTAACTAAAAAATCTTATTAAAAATCATAATTATATCTCCTATTTTAATGGACTTATGTTTGTTTAATAAACGTGGTGGTGGTAGTGCCATCATTGTTGCCTAGGAAACAAACTCCCGTACTTTCACATTCAATTTAATAAGTAATTTAGGACCATAAAGATGGAATTTCATACCGTCTACATCAAAACGAATTGCTTGTTTAATTGATCCCATTGTATTTGATTGTTCGTCTTCTATCACTTACTAATTCTGAACTAACGGGCGCCTGCGACTTCGTCCGCGTTCTCAGTTTTCTGAGAATCCCACGGGAACCTTCAATTTTTCCGGATTAAAAAGTATTCCATGTCCAATCCAGGTCATAAACTGAATGCGTACCAAATTTTATACAAATCTGTTTGGTAGTTTTAGTCTGATTAAGTAATAAATACCAATCCGTTCACATTAATAATATTAGTAGAATTGTATTAAGT